TATCTTTGAAACTTTGCCTTACTAAAGATGAAACATAACGATAGCATTGCCCCCTAGTGGCCTTTTCTCCATTAGAAATGAACCTATGATTTTTTTTATGCCAACGTGTAGGTTTAAAGCCCAACCTGGCCCGTGGCTGGACCGGTAAAATTGGTAACCGAATCACAGGTTTGTTTTGCATATTGACCCAATTCTCCTAGCGAACCCAGTGACCCAATTCTTCTACGTACCGATGATCAAACCGACCTTTCATTTTCAAACATTGGCAAATGACAATGAGTTGTCAATGAAGTCGTTGTTAGGTGGCCTACCTAGGTAGCCTTTTGTTTTTTTGCCACGTCAGTATCATTCCTTGAATGGGTTCCGTTTGAATAAAAAATGATGAATCTACGGATACACATATTCACGAGTGTTACAAATATTGAGCTATACGATATAAAATTAATTGTTTTTATTACATAATTATTAAAAAAAATTAAAATTATTAAAATTCGAATCTTATTTACTCAAAAAAAAAAAAAAAAACTTATAGGTTAAGTTTGATCATTTTAGATACACATAATTCAACATTTTCATTTTTTAACCATAACCATATTTTCAAAATTAATTTTTATACGCCTTGGCCATGGGCTTGGATCTACCAAATGATAAGAATGCGTCTGAGATTCAATCATAAACGACTTTGCGTTATAAATATATAATTCATATTCGAATAGGATATTAATGACAAATTATTTTCTTATAATCCTCTTCAAAATTTGAACCCTAGATAATGATATAAATAATAAATTCTACAAATTAATGTAAATTAGACAACATAATACGTACTTTTACATATATTTTGGAGAAATGCAAAAATAATGGCTTTAAAATGATATTTTCTACAATAAAGTAGCAAAATGCTCGGAATGGCCTTGAAATTTTGAATATCGTACACAAAAATCTAAGATGGATGACCGAATGTTCGAAACATCAGCCTAAACTAGTTGCAATATTAGTTCAAATGCTTTCGTTATGTCAGTGAACCATTAGGCCATTCTCAGTTTTTTCAGCAGTTCAATTTACATGCATGGCTTTCTATGTTACGATACTCTGATTGAAATGTTCTATTTTATGAAAACAAAGGAACTCGGCGATGCAATATTTATCCTGTTGTCTTGCAGCATCAGTATAATTTTTTTATCCTACTTAATTTGGTCTAATTTCCATTTGCAATAGGAAAAAAGGCCAACAGATCAGAAAGCAATAAAGATATATATATATATATATATATATATTTCATTTTGCAAGCCTGCCTAGCTACACTTTTACTGTACAGAAAAAAATATTTAAGAATGTTTAAAATCAATTAAAAAAATTAAAGATTCAACTTTAAATCACTTAAAATTCAAAAGTGATTTGATTTTTTAGCTATAAAAAAAATGTATCTATTGATGGCAAAGGCGGATTTGCTGCATCCATGGCCGCGGATCATAAGTAAAAGTAATCATCCAAACATTCTGTAAAACTTCTCCTTGTTTACGGATCAAGTTCTCAAATTATTATTATTATTATTATTATTATTATTATAAGGCTCTATCACACTAAACCTCTTAGAGGAAAATGTCAATTAATTGTTGTTGCATTTGTGTCTATATAGTCTTTGCTTGAATGGGCGGAAATGTTTTCTTATTATATCCATATAAATAAAAAAATTCATTCGGTGTTTGAAGTTAAAAAAGGTCAGAATAAAATATTTTGTTATAAGTGCACCAGTTTCAGTACATAAACCAAATAAAAAAATACCTTTAGAAATAGAACCAAAGAAAATATTTATAAAAATTTTATTTTATTTGACTACTTGCAAATATATATAACGTATGGTATCTTTAATTTGCCCCTTTCTAAAATTTATGTCGTGCATGTTCCGCCACAGTTTACTTGATTTTAGACTTCTTTATGCCTAGCAGCTTTTTCATTGACAAATGAAAATCCCTATGCGTTCTTAGGACATATTAAAGTTCAAGAGGGTAAGCCACAGGCACAGTATCAATTGATCCTGAACCCTTATCTTTCTCTATTGAAACTTGATGGGAAGTCGATCTTAATGGCCCCTAATAATGAACTGTTGCAATTTTCTGCACCTCTGGTTCTCTCTGGTGTCTCTTTCCATCTCTATTTTCGTGCTTGCAAATCTAAATTGAAGCACTCCATATTTGGTGCTTGTACTTGTTCATTTCCTACTTAATGATGATGCAGAATCCGTGCTGTGGCTTCCCTGATGCAGGTTAAATTTTATCCTTAGAACAGAGTACAGACACCTCCTAATCATTGAGGTTGGACCGGAGCTTATTAATATTGAGGCCCTCCACTTCTGAACGTTGTAGCATTAACATCATCCTCGTTCTCGGTTTCGAGTAAAGAAACGGAGTATGGAGTTTGTTTTAAAAAAAAAAAACAAAGATTCTGATCAATCAAGGCTGTTCCATTTTCCTTGGTGCAACTGTATGTAGGGAGAAAATCAATCACAGGGAGCTTCATAGGGAGAATGAAAGAAGCAGAGAGATGCTTGAGTTCTGCAAGGAAAAGGGATTGACCTTCATGATTGAAGTAATCGAGATGGATTATATCAATAAAACTTTTGAGAGGCTTGAGAAAAATGATGTCAGATGTAGGTTTATTATTGATGTTGCTGGCAGCAAGCTTAGTCAATGAACAAAAATTACTACACTTATAAAAAGCAAACTCAATAAAATATAACATGATCGGATGTGACTGTTTATTACAAGTGCTAGCTTTGTGGTTGAAATGTAACTTTCGTTCTTTGCTTTGGGAAATAAAGAAAAATCTGAACTGTTGTTTTTATTAATTATGTTCTTCTTTTATAATTTAACACATCAATTGTTTGTGTTTCTGGTGATCTGTCCCCAAATTTTGTTTCGTGTGACAATGAAATATAACAGCCTTTTGAAAAAAAATTGTAACATCTGTTTTCCAATCTCTCTAAGTGATGACTTTGGTCTGAAGGCTTTGGTGAATTATGATCTTATCAAAGAACTCTTCTATGAGGCAACCACCTGAAGTTACAGAATGAGTGATGTATATTTCTTTCGCATTCATTATAATATAAAATAACGTGCGCTGCTTATTGTGTGTGAAATCATGTGAATGTGTTTAGCTGAATGAAAGGGTTAAGCTGTATCTTCGAACTAGGCTTAAACTGGATGAAAGAAGAGTTCCAAGTGTGACATTTGTAAGCGTGTTAACAAGAGAGTTCCATTGATCCCAGAAATCTGATAATTGAAGAGTTCTGTTTCTGTCATGTTATCTCAACCATCTATATTATTTATTAATTACTAAACTCCCACCTGTCTTGCCTACCACATTTGCTGTTCTTATCATTTAAGATGAAGTGTCTGGAGTTGGCAGCGATAGTGACCTGAACCTCTGACCTTGTTGGAGCCCAAATCACTATATTAATCATCAATCAAGACTTAGATACCACATGTAGGTGCCTGTTCAGAAGCCTTTTCTTGCATGATTGTGTGCTCTTCCAAAATTGGTAATAGATATGCTTGATTATAGTCCGTGTGAAAAAAGCAGTATCGTATGGATAATCAATCGTAATTGACAATACTGATACTCCTTACCGATAACAAGAAACATCATGCAGATGTCCTTCCAAGGAAGTTTTCACCTAACCGAATGCTCCTAAAATCAAACCCTATAAAATTTTGGCAATAGAAGTGTACAAAAAGGAAAATTGAGACGGTTTGCATGAAACTATGAATTCACGTATAACTTCTATTCAAAATGATGAAAGAAACTTCAACCACACCCATTTCCACTTGTAAATCGCACCACATGCCTATTTGCTCGGCCATCACTATAGCTGGTGTTAGTTGCATTAAAGTGGAGTTCATCTCTAACGTCCCTTGAAAGCATCGTCTCTTGGACACTTTTTCTACAATGACTGCAGCCTTTATGAGATGATTATCCCCGCAACTTGATTGATCTGCTTCGTTCTATGGAAGAAAAGCACCGTAGAGTTGTACTTATCCAGTAATCCTGAAGCATAATCTCTCTTGGATTCGGTCTGTATCTCATTTCTATTTACAGACACTGTAAAAAGACACCATTAATAGAAGACTGATTGCACCGAATCCAAAAAGTGTAACACAGTTAAAACTATTGTCATCACACACCACATTCTGTAACTAATTGTCATCATCATCGATAAGACTGATTTTACAGATAGGAGGAGTGTAATTAAACGCTGCCCGTGCCCATCCCCAGAATCCCAGGTGACCATTGGTAACAGGCCAATTCACTACCAGTGGGATGAAACATCTTCTAGGATTATATACGCTGCTCTTGATACCTTAATGGAGATCCTTCGTTTGTGTGGTTAATTAAGATTAAGAGAATTAAAGGCCGAGTTCTCCACATAATCTTCTGCATTCAAATATATTCCAAGCCTTGTTTATAAAAATTGATGGCACAAGGCAACTGATTTAAAAGTGAAATCAACAGTAACTACTACTCACAGTAACATTTATCAGCACCAAAAGTATTGGCTTTGACATTACTGAATCCATTTTGATGATAACATTTCAGATCTTCGGCTCCTGTTTTTGGAATGCAGAAGATGCATGCAATTCCAAAGAGACAAGGGATTTTCATATTCACTTTTCCAAATAAAGACCATGGAAAACACAGAATTGACCCCAAACAAAAAACCATGGAAAAGACAGTACCGACATGCAAATCATTACATTCAATAGATCCGCTTTAACAATGATGTTGACTATCAAAAAACGCTTCTAGCCTGACTTGAATTGGTTTGATTTCCACTTGCATTGGAAAAAGGCCTACAAGAAAGCTACAAAGATTTTCATTTTGCAATCCTGCCCTCAGTTTTACTACATGTATGTGAAAAAATTTTGGGCATCTCATAGTTGATGCAGTCTCTGAACTACCCCATCTCATATCTGTGTCATCCGAAGTGTTAGCTTAGTAAATCACACCCTTTGACTAAAGTACACATTCATAAAATATCTCGAAGGGTTGAAGCCACTTAAAATCACTGCAAAGTTGAAAGAACTAAAAGGTTGAGATACAAAACAACCTGATACAAAGGTCAAGTCAGAAATTGCATTCAGTACTTACAAATAGGAGACAAGACAATGACAGCACCAATTGGATAGAGGAAAAATGTTGTTCTCTCCAGAAAGGGTAACACTGCAGTAATCAAAAGACAGTTTATCAATATCTTAATCAATCAAAGTGATCAGCAGCAGTATCATTACCACAAAAATTTCAATAGCCACCCAAGTTTGGAACTATATCCAGGCAAAACCTTCTATTGCACATGTTTAACAAAGAAAGGTTTTGATATAATGTTCATTTTTCCTGGAAGTGGAGAACAATCATTGGATTTCTGTCAGTGAGCTCGTGCCACTCAATCCAATGTTTCAAAAGCTGACCCAAAGACTGAACCAGAAAGAACAGAGGCGAGGTGTCAGAACTTCATACAGGATTATACTGGAGGAGAAACATACTACAGATCTTTTTGTGTCAACTCATTCAACTAAAAATATATCCTAAACAGCATCCATGTGCACATAAATCCCATTATTTCATGCAAAAAAGTTAAGCAACTGCAATTTTTAATTTCTATCTTTTAACTTTTCTCTTATTCATGCACAACAAGTGTGAGATTTATTATACCATTGCAAGTGCTTAAAATATCTCATACGTCATTTATTTCAAAGAAAACAAACACGTGATGTGATTACACCAAAACATCCATGGCAACAATGTCGTCGTGTTTAATAGCAGTGTTTGAGTACTTTAATTCCCACAGTCTTGGTTCGAGGCTCCAAGACTGTAAGCAACGATGAATCGTTGAGACAATAAAATGGAAGTCCAGCAGTTCGATGACAGTTTCCACCTGGGTGACCAGTCTGACCAAGTCAATACCATCCAACTCAGGCTTAGATCAGGAATAGGTAGAGGCTCTAACTCAGACTGGGAAAAGATGGTGCTTTAAGACAACCAGGTTTAACATTCCAGTCCAGTCTAGGTCTAAAAATGCTGCTCAAACACTTAATTGAGGTAATGACATGGAAACCAATCCATCCAAGCCTTTGAGATATCTCTAATAATTCACATACCAGTGATCTCCTTTTAAGGCTCTTGTAGGAAAAAAGGAAAGCAGTAAATTAGATACTATGAAAAATCAGCTCACCATCATAGCCTAAAAAGTTGAGGTAATGATAGTATGAGGCCGCCACCATGAACAGCAAGTTTGACAGCAATACAGGTATGAAACCATGGGCAACCAAAAGAGGTGATAGAAAATAATGTATAACTACAACAAAACCAAGACATCAGTGAACTTTGGTGGCATAAACAAAGTTTGAAAATCTAAAAGCTCAAACCCATATCTGCATAGCACTTACCATAAAGCATGACAAACATTGGGAAGAAAGAATTGCAGTGCACATCAAATGCATACAGCCTTCAACCAGAAAGCAGAATGAAAAAAGGGGTCAGCACTAAGTGTTATTACTGAGGAAAATACAAGTGAGAGACAGAGCATCTGTGAAACATCAGAGACAGACATGAGCCAGAATTTATAATGATTTGCAAACACCAATTTGCAGGCATATGGTTGTTAAAAACATATTTCTGAAACAAGCAAGAGCAGAAAATTCTAGACTTGCCATTCAACCCGTTGCTCAACGACATGACTATTTGGAGCCTCCTCCCGAAGGTATGCATTAGTTAGAAACCTGTATGGAAATGAGAAATGGAATCACTATCATGCCAGCATACTATAACATATGGATGTGCAAGCTCTAATCAAACAAGTGGAGGAAGGAAATCAAGAAGTGAGAGATCTGATTATGAATGAAGAAAGAAAAAACGAAGCATCAATGAAAGAAATCCAGAATTAGTTTCTTTATCTAGGATTACATTCTCACAAAAAGGGAAAGCATCACTACGGCAAGTAATGTCTCCAGATGGTATAACAATGTTTGGAGAATTGAAGACTTTACAAGTAACAGATTTTAGAACAGGTATTTCAATTATCTAACTATACACAAACCCTTATAATTAGTAATGGTACATAACCTCCCAATGTCTCCACTGTAGTTTCACATATACAAATGTCATTCATTCACCTGCTTCAATTGACAGCATGTGATTTTCACAAAATTAAATATCATGTGCAAGGCCTGTGGCATTGGCTGCGACATAGAAAGTCTGAGTTTAAGACAAACAAGATCTATTTCTTAAAGTGCCAACTTTGCATTACATGGTCATTTAATATCCATTGATAAGGGCATTCAAAGAAGGATGAGATGAAAATAACATACGCACATATTACTATGAGGTGGACAGTGGTTCTTACCAACAACATGTAGCCAGACCTGCTCCAGAAATTAAAAAATGAAAAAGTAATACGGAAATAACTACAAAAACAGCATGTCCGGCACTGTGGTCATACCTGAAATGAAAAGAAGAGACCAACAAAGATTTAATGTGGAAAGAACACTCAAAGAACGCACTTGATGCAGCAATAAAAAACAAAATAGTATAACAGTAAATAGGGGATAGAAAAACGAAATGCACTAAAACATTTGGCCATAACATTGCTAAATTGGATGAAGTCAGACATCCTAAATGCAGCCTACTTGTGCATATGCAACATTACTAAACTTGGAAGAAGTTAGACATCCAGGAGCATTGCCTTATCATGCATACTCATAATTAATAACTGCAAGTTTAAGTTTCAATAGAATCCAGATAAAGGAGGTCCTGGACAGTCTCATGAAAAAATAGACGAGTTACTTAAAAATTATTTATTAGCCCTACCATCATTATAACAGTTAATCATGAGAAGTTGCTAGAGGCAGGAAACTTACGCAGCACAATAAGCCAAAGCTGCAACTGCCAAAAGAAGGCTGCAGATTACAACAAAAGCAGGGTCGTCACGTGCCCATTGATTCTTAGTTTCTGAAACGAAAAGAAAGAAAAGTAAAAATTTTCAAATTGCATGTAATTTTCTAAAGAAATTTTCATAGTTCTAGACCTCCAAGGGTGCATAGTTAATATTCAAACTGGAAAGAAAATCAAATATAAAATCCATATGGGGCAATATTGAACGTGAAACTTTTGGTTCATAAAAAACAACCACTGGTTTTCAATGAAAACACAGACAGTATACTTTTTGGATCATGAAATAAGAACTAAAATATAACTACAAAAAAATTTATAAAAATAAAAGATCAATAAGATTTGCAGATTTTCAAATAACCATGTACCACATCAAAAATAACAATCTCTCTTCATCAACCATTAGATGAAAAATAAAAGATTCTTCAGTTGGAGATAAGCTTACGTTTGTGATACTTAGTGTGCTGATAGCTGCATCCATTGTACAGTCCAACATGCAAAATGTAATAACTCAATTACAAACTAGCAAATTAAAAAGTAAACAAAATAGTTACGCACACTTATTCAAAACTTCCAGCCAATATTATAAGTACAGTTTTCCCTTTCTACAGGCAAGTTTTGCAGCAAATTAAAAAACAAGCGGTATTATAGCCTCAACGCTGCAAAACCTTATACTTCTTTCTGATGCAACGCTCATCCATCCAATTATAAACCAATAAGATAACATTTTCAGAAGACCAAGGACAGCGACGAGGAATGTTCGAGTGAAGTAATTCTTACACAACTTTCGGTGATGTGCACAAGTGAAGCATTTGCCAGAAAGTGTATTCAATATCCATTTGTTGCCACTGCAATGCACAGATAAAAGACAAGGGTTTGTAAATGCCGCGATCCACGCTTAATCTTAGGCATCATCGAAGCATTTATTAACATCAATATTCTAGGATCAATAAACATATTTCACCATAACATTGATGAGCACCAAAAACTAAAGAATGAAAATCCTCCTAAACTGGCAATTAGATATCAAAAAAGGCCAAAACAAAATAGGAAATTAATTAATAAGAAAAGGTGCAAGTATAGTTTAAGACTTGAGGATGAGGTATACGTCATTTCAGCCGATTTTAATCACTACCGGAAATTACACATTTTACAGAGGCAAATTACAATTTGTGAAAGTGATTAATAATTGAAAAGGTGAATTTTGGAAAATGTTATAATTGGATCAAGTATGAATGAAAAAGCGAGAGAAAGATTAACAAGGAAATCAGATCTTGAGAGAGGAGAGGACCTTGATGATTCGACGGAGGTAGTGAGGGAAAGTGGAGGAGTTAGCTCGAGAAGTGGAGGACGATGATGTACGTCCTCTCGAGGTTGTAGGCAACATCTTTTTTCTTTATAATATGTTTGATGATTTGCTTCTTCTTTTCTTCTTTGTGATTTCAGGTCAGGTAGGTTTTGCTTGATTGGAGATCTGCGGAGAGTTTTTCACAGCTTTCTTCTCTTTGTTTCTGTTCTGATTGGAAGAAGAAGAAACGTAGAAACGACGACGGCTCCACTTTTCTGCAGTGAGTCTTCTCTCTGAAACCAAATGTGAATGGGGCAAAGGAGATACTGGGCCAATGTTTTAACTTTAACATGGACTTGTTAGCTCGGTTTTTTGGTACTGGGCTTTGGTTCTGAGCTACAGAGAAATGATTGTGTCTCTTTCGGCCTCTTTGGTTTTCGTTTTGCTTTTCTATGGTTTGGGTCATTATATTATTGTTTTATAAGAGACGTAATTCAAATCCAATTGTTGACTATGTATATTTCTCAGGAAAAATAAATGGCTCCTTGTTTTGTAAACAAATTTCTTTTTAAGGTAAGGATATTTTGAATCAATTTGTACATTTATCAACATTAAATCTCTTTTTAAACGATTTTAAAACACATTTTCTTTATGCATCTAATACATTCAAAAAAATTTAACAAATTCTTCTAAATTTTCTTTGTATAAATTATAAAAAAAATGTTGTTAGCTATCAAATCAACTTCTTGGAGTTGCATTTTTTTTTTTTAATGCAAACAATGACCTAGAATGTTTATACCTAACACCAATAGCATAACTTGGATGAGAAGTTTATTTTTTTACAAGTTGAAACCAACTCTTAAATAAGTAAATTATAAACTAGTCCTCATTGTTTTGCATAACGAATTAAATAGTTTTTTTAGTTTCAAAAACTAATTAATTAAAACATTGACTAATGTTAATCATGTTTAATTAATATTTTTTTAAAATATATTTTTTATTAATCTTTTTATATTATCTACTTCTTCTTTTATTTTTGTTTTTTATTTTTCTATTTCTCGGACAAAAACAAAAATAAAATTGAAAAGTAACATGAAATGGACAAAGTTCCATTAATTGGTTTTTGAAACGAGAGAAACTATTTAATCTGTTTTGTAAAATTAGAGGGACTAATTGATAATTTGGTCACTCTTAAAGCATTTTTGAAAGAAAAAAAGAAAAAAGAAAAATTGGACTGATAAGATAAGGATTTTTTTGAAATCATGTATCTTGAAACCAACTTTCACATTAATCGATTATATATATATATATATATATATATATATATATATATGTGGTGCATCTAGAAAAATAAACTCATTTAATTGTTAATCTCAATTTTCGTACTCTAAAAATTAAAAAGAACAAGCTTTTTTAATCACCTAACTTGTCATTTGGAATAAAACAAGGAGAATATACCTCCCCTTTAATCTCTAAAATTTGAGTCACAAATAAGATCTACGTAGGAGATAAAGTTCTCATAAATTTCTAAATCCTATTACCGATGATTTGTCTCTTAAATATCAAAAGCGCTACCCTTAATGCCAAATATTAGAAAGGAGTTCGGAAATAATAGCTCAAGTAATTTTTTTACAAGTAGGATTTAAACCTAACACCTCAGTCACCCTTTTCACTTTGCAAGACTGCGATGTAAGCCAGAGTCAATAGGTAATACGACCTTTGCGAGAGAGGGACCCTTAGTCAAAGGCTTATGTAAAATATTTTTCTCGTTTTTTTTTTTTTAATATTTAACTCACCTGAAAAAACTTAGTTAATCGGAAATGCTTTGCAGTCAAAGGAAAAGCAAGATTAAAACAAGGGAAAACAACTTAGTGTTGTTAAAATTTGAAAATATCGAACGAAATTATTTTCACGATTGAATCATGAAGCCTACCACTAATACTAATTAATTATCGTCTTTACTTTTTTTACATTTATTTTTCCATATATACTAAACAAAAAACAATTATTTCCCAGTAATTTTTATTAGCTTAACCAGATAATGAAAAATAAAAAAATTAAGAAAAGACTCATTTTATAGGGAACGATTTTCCAGTAATTTTTATTAGCATCAACAGGTAATGAAAAATAAAAAAACAATTAAGAAAAGACTTATGTTATAGGGAACAATTAATTGATATTCAACCCTAACATCGAAGCACTCATAATTTGAGGTGACAAGCATTCATAAATTTCAGAGAGTCTATCTTCCTTTTTTTTTTTTTTTCCTTCTCTGAAAATATTCGATCAAGACCTTAGGTAACAACAGCCTTCGCCCCCTGTAAATGGGCTACCGGCCTACGGTCTACAGCAGAACTAAGGTCTGGTCATATGAGAAGGCGTAAGAACGGAAATTCATCCTGGCCAATTAGCTGTCTTTCGGTTTTGGGTAAAATGTCACCAACCGCCTTATCAGCGTGTCTAAACAGATTAACATTCGTGGGAAGCAGTACAATAGTCAATTAAAAATTAGGTATGTTGTGATGTTTGATTTATTTCAGTTGATGCAAAAAATTAACAAAAAATAAAATAAAATTATTGTTTATAAATATTAGAAAATAAAAAAAAATCCAAAAATCGTACAACCATAGTACCCCAAACGTACCACAACGCGCCGGACCGCTTGCCAGGACGTTGGGCTTTAAAATCTTTAAGAGGTACGCTGCATTTGAAATCACATTTACCTTTTTTCTTTTTCTTTTTTCCTGTTCCATTGTAACACACACCTAACATTCTTTTGCACACTAAAATTAAAATTTTAAGCCATTTATACATATTTTCCTAAGTGATTTGGGATAAATTTCTTGGGCATACATTTTTCTTAAATCCAATCTCAAGAGTATAGGTCCAGAACATAAAAAGTGCTGGTATTTTTGTGCGTCTTTGAAATTCAAAACGATAGAGAGCACAAAAGCAGAAAAAGAAAATAACTTATTAAAGAAAATCGTTAAACGAGGAAAAAAAATTGCAGTAAATCATCAATGATTTTCGTTCTCAAATGAATTTTACTCAAAACAACATCGATTTTGAATAAGAAACACTGCTGTGATATAGATTTTTCCCTACAATTTTGTACATCTAGAAATTATTTCATTTTTTCCAACATCCAACCAAACAAAACAGCTTCTTTCATGTCCTTCTGTAATCCTCAAACCTTCCTAACCTCTCAACACACGTCTAATCAATCTATCTAATCTCTAATCCTCTCACTTAACAGCCCAGTATGTTAACTAATCTCATTAGCCTTAATGTCATTAATCCTTACCACTTTTCTTCCCAATCCCAACCATAAAATTCCTCACTTCGTCTCTAATCATCCCCTGCATAACTGCTAACAACTCCGGCGCAAACGTCATCGTTTTGTCAACATCTCCCATTAACAATTCTTTAGTACCTACCCCATCTCTCCCCAACTGTCCAGACTCCGTCCCCGGAATAGACAACGTAAGTTCAGTCGAAACGACAGCATTGTTACTAATCCCAGTTTCAACAACTGGCACGTTTTCTTGTACCAGAAACGATGACGTCACCTGTAACCCTGCATCGCTGACGTCAGATCCCAAAGGAGTACTAGCCCTCTCGTGAACCGAAGACCACGACATCGTTTTAGCAGATTTCTCCTTCACTTCTTCTTCATTAACCGTTCCACCATTCTCAATCAAGTCCGCGTATTTCCTCTTTAACGTGGAGTTCCAATGATTCTTGATCGCGTTATCCGTACGTCCATCAAGGAGTCTTGCTATGGTAGCCCATTTATTACCATACTTGACATGAGCATTGACGATGATCTCGTCTTCTTCGAGTGTAAAAGCCCGGTGCTCTACCTCCGGTGACAGCTGATTACACCATCGTAACCTGCAGGATTTCCCGGATCGACCCGGTACTGCTCTTGCTATCATCGTCCAGTTACGCGGCCCTTGTTTTATCACCAACTGCTTCAACTGTTCGTCCTCTTCCGGGCTCCATGGTCCCTTAACTCGATTATAATCCATCAAAAACTCTAAAAGAGATGAGATGGTGGTTTTTAAGAGAGAGGTTCTCTTTGTTGGAGAGGAGGAGGAGAGGAGGACTGGAGGAGGGGTTTATAAAGGAAGGGTTAGGAGAAGTGATTGAACTTGTTAAGGGAAATAGGTGGATTGGGAATGGGGGTACCGGTATTTTTCAGTTACCGGTTTTGAATCACACAACTGTATAACTGCCACGTAGGTCCTTGGATGACTAAGAATCTAACTAAAAACTCGGCAAGTTTGGGAATTTGAAGGATTTTTCTCGCGGTAGTTACCATAACTGATAACTCCCTTTAAGGGGCTGGTGCCTGTATGCTGTTTGCTGTTTGGTGTTGGCGTTTGTTGTGGCTAGTTGCAGTTGTAAATCTCCTTGTGAAAATTAAAAGGTCTTTAGTTAATAATCGTGTAATTTTTATATTAAAATGATAAAAACAAATAAATTAGTAATAATTTACTTCATTCTAATATGGCGTGTGAAAAAATAACATTCTTTTCATCTCATAGTAATGTTTGTTTGAATATAATAACATTACGATTGAATTATATAACCAGATAAAATATATACATATAAAAATGAAACTAGAGTGACATATAAAATAATATTTATTTTACTAGATAGATAAAAAAAATTTGTAGATAAAAACCAAAAACAAAATGTTATCATAGACGTTTTATTTCACGACATAACATTTAAATTTGAATTTTTGATTCGAATATAAGAGAAAGAAATAGCAGATCTGTTCATTTTATTAATAACCATAGATGACACACAAATTTAGATTTTTTTTGTCCTCTTAAAAGAGAAATTTTTTAAAAAGAGACAGAACAGAAATTTTAAGAGATCAAATGTTTATTTATTTTGTCAATAACCATAAATAACAATCAAATGGATTTGTGATTTAGACAGAAGAGAAATTTCAAGAAATGATAAATTTATTTATTCATTACGTCAATAGCCATACATGACAATCAAATCTGGATTTTATATACAAAAACTAAATTTTAAGATATCTATCTATTCTGTCATTAACCATATATGAATATAATCTAAAAAAATATGCACAAGATTTTAATTTATAAGTATTGAAAAATCCATACAATCTTAAAATGAGGGGTTTGAAACAAAAAAATCTAAAAAAATAGCGTGTTTCAATTAAATTAAAAAAATAACAAGTCTCGATCAAAAAATTTGAAGAGCACATGATCTAAATGTAGGGAAAAACCGATTAAAAAAAATAGACAAGGACAAGAAAAGCTCATGCAAATTAAAGATGATTAAGATAGAGAACAATTTATAACGCAAAGTATGGAGAAAAGAAAGAAACAACTTTCTTATTTATGTTCAAATTTTTTAAGGATTGTTATAATTGATGTATTCATTGCTATGATGTAATGATATTTTTTTTATCGATTTATCAATGAAATATCTTCTATTGGGTTAAAAAAGAAAAGATGGACAATTTTAATTGTTAATGACAATAAATAAATAAATAAAACAAATGAAAGAAATTGAATTTTTTTCATAGAAAAATAAATTCAAAAAACAATGTTTTTGATTTCCAAATTCCAATTTGTAGTTTTTATATTTTATTTTAATTATTTAACTATTTTTTAATTCAAGTAGTGTTGCAAAAACAAACTTTTCACTTAAAATTCACATACGGATATATGTGATAGCTATTTTTATTTTGATGAAAGACTAATTATCATTTAAACAACGTTTTATCACCATCAATACCATCATTCAACATCATTTGTCCTTTATTGTTACAACCATCACTACTAATTCTATTTTGCCACTATAATCACTACCACCACCGTCTCCATCATTGCGAGATACTATTACCACTATAAGTTTATTACAAATACTTTATCATTGCCATCACGATTATTGCAACATCGCCACCACTACTACCTTACCACCATCATTCCATCATCATTGAATCTTCATGTAACTATTTGCCAAACATTGAAAACTACATTATAAAATGCATTTGATGGGAAAAAAAGATTAAATAGATAAAATATTTTATGTAAACAAATATTCTTTTACAACAACATACACTACTACACTAGCGAGACTCTTTTTAATGGATTTAGATTTCTTTTACATTCTATTGACCAATCATGTTTTAATTATCATTATTAGTTTTGAATTTAATAATTTGATTTGTATGAAAGAAATAAAATAATAAAAGGTTACATTGTAGCTATTTTTATCGTATATTAAATGATATTCATCCAATTTGAATTCAATAATTTAAATTTAAGGAACATGACAAAATATGATAGAATAAAACATTAGGGAATCTTGATCCCTTTTCAATAGGTTATCAAACAGGAAATAAGGATACTTTTAATTTTTCTAATCAAAATGAGATACTTTTAAACTTATTTACCAAATTATTTATCAAATTATGATATTTTGTGACATGCAAACTCCACGTAACAATCTATGTCAATCTTTATTTTAAAATGAGAAACAATTGTTTAAACTTTTCTATAGTCACAAGGGAAAGAGCGAAGGAAGATAAAGAGAATGATTTTTTCGAATTGGATTGGAAATAACAAGAGGTGGGGGCATTGATCTTTTCATGTGTGTGTATATATATATATATTATTGAGTTGTTTTATTTTTTTAATATTTTTTTTAATTCAAACAAGGTTACTGTTTTGTGAGACTTATAATGTCATGTGCCAAATATTGATAAGTGGAAACTAACAAAAATTTGTTATGTCAAATTAAAAATAAATAAGGAAGAGTTTTTAATAAAACTAAATGAAGAGTACAGAGTTTTAAAAATCAAGCTAAAAAACATGTAGATTAAAAAAATTCAAAACATAGAAGGCCTATTGATAGAAAAACTCGTTATACAATTAAAACGGCATAACTAATTCAAATAATTAGTTAAAAGATATATAAAAAATAAGTAAATTTTATGAAACCTTATAAACGTTTTGATAACAAAAATTGTTGTGCGTCTCTTTCACCTTAAAAGACAATGAATCTATTGTTTTGATAAGGAGGAGAATAGAGAATGGTCGTGGTTATTCGCAACGGAAAAAACCTTGAAAAAAGAAAAAGAAAAGAAAGGGTGAGATCTGTTCATTTTTGATATCTTAGCTTCTCTCAAGCTTCCAACGAAAAAATAACTTCTTCTTTTCCTTCCTTTTTTCATAAAAAGGAATCAAGTACTAGATATTAACATCAAATTATATATGAACTTATAGACCATGAAAATCATATATTTTTTTAATACTAATTGATTTATCGGAAAAGATTTTTACTTGTATTCTATTCACCATAATATCTAATGTTAGGAAAAAAAAACCCTGAAAAATTGTCTATTATCCCTTTTTTTTAATAACCAAAAGAATTTATTTTAATAATTTTTTATGAAATAAATAAATGGCATAAATAAGTGTAATCGTATATGGAAAAAATGGTAAGTTTAAAAGTTTAAATTGGTTTTGTTTTGAAACACGAACGAACACACATATATATATATATATATCAAATTGGGCTAAATATTAGTTTTGGGAATTAGTTTATGAAGAAGAAGAGGAGTTGAAAGGGGAGAATATCGCGAGAAATTAAACGGGGAATATTGGCGGTTAAGTGGATAAGTTTGACTAGACAGGCTGGAGGGCATTACGTGAGGGATTTTGATTTTTTTGTCTTTTGGGCTTTGTTTGGTGGAGGTGCGTAGTTATTAGGGGTGCACGGAAGTGATGGCGTGGACATAACGACCAAGGAATTGGAGAAGTGATGATCACTGGCAAGTTGGCAGCCCAGGCTGGGAACCTGACACATCATTGACATGTTAACGGCTCTTCTCGTCACCGACACTAAGCGGTCACCGACTCAACCGAATGTTATTTAACCGAATTACTAAAAACCGAAGTCTGCCGATCACTGTCCAGTTCACTATGCTGTTGCTACGTGTACTGTTTGGGTTTTTTTTTTAATTTATCATTGCTACGCTACGTGTGCTTGGGACCAGAAATTATGATTTTTTTGCTGTCCGTTCACAGTGATTAGCAGTAAATGAGCAGTGGCTCCTGAATCCAAAATGCAGTCATGGTCGTGGATAAGACAAGATCCCTCTCTTATTTGATAACATTCAATTCATCATCAATTATTTAATTGTTTCGTTTTTTTCTAAAAAAGAAAAAAATTACTATTATTGGTAAATGCCTATTTTCTTCAAATTATATGATACAGTAAGAATATATGTATATGAATGTACAATCTGTTTAAATTGAGTATAAAAAACTGCTCCTAAAATATGTTAGCATTAAAAATATATACATAAAATAAAAATTAATGTTTCTCTTAATTGTATATTAACATGGCCTTACTCCATAAAAAGGACACAGTTATTTTACGAGTAAAAAATCACATAATATTTTAACTCTAAGGTTTGTTAGGACAACTGAAATTGATTTTATGTTAAGGTAATGCAATATTCCGCTATTGTTATTCGATTTTGTGTTGCAACTGGGGGCTAGCTGATTGGTAAATGGATTCTGTAAAGAAGTTTAAAGCAATTCTCGATCGATCCCTTTAAAGTAGAGAAGTGATCTTCAAGAGTGTGAGATTCCCAAGCAAGCAACAAATTTTTCACACTCCCTTTACGTTCAAATTCTTCCACACATCAGACTCAATATTAATTACTTGCTTTTTTTTTTAATTTAAAAAAAAAATCCAAAGCAAAAGTAATTCAACAACCTTACACGTAATGGAATCCTCAATGATACCTAACTTATTTCATTTTGACATTAATAACATTCTTTTTATAGAAAGAGACTGGGGAAATGATGAACAAGAAAGGAGGGATTGAGTGTAATTTTGTCTGACAAGAAGAATAAGGGGATCTAGCGAGGAATCGGAGGGATTCCTCCAGTCATTTGTTACTTATAATTTCAATATTGTTTTACTAACCCCATCCAGACATGTTGCAAAACTGAGTTTCTACTTTGTACCATTGTTTCTGTCAACAAAGCAAATACAATTATTGTTGCAAATTATCGCATCACTGCATGCACTGTAAGACATTGGGTTGAAAACCTGAAATACAGAAGTCTTTCTTAAATCGCTTGAAATGCCAGCAGAAATCTATAAAATGCCTGTTTAAATTAACTTATATTGCTATTGATTATATGGATAATTGACAATTACAGTAATTTATCTCAAGATCACGTACGGGATGTGGACAAAAACACAAGAAGATTAATTATAAGAAATGCATTATATATTCAATGACTAAAAGCTTTAACGCACAAGCCCCTACAAAAAATTGTTGTCGAATGATCAAGTGAAATTTACACAAACAATTTTCCGCTGCAGCATCGAAACACATAAAGCAGAGGATGATCGATATATATAGCTCGATGATGTTGGAAATTAGCTTGCATCGGACTATGGACATGATATAAGTAGATTATCATATAAGCAGTATGCACGTGTTAAGGAATAATCGAGGATGTTTCATTTTCAGAACAAAATGGTGGATGTTACTTTCCCTAGGCATTCACATGTTGCTGCACTCATTGCAAATTGTAGGAAAAGAATCAAAACTGGATTTTATTCATGCAATTAATATCAACTTGCAATATTTATTCTGATATACGGTTACCAACTAAATGTGACTGACCATATTGAAACTTGCAGAATCATCAGCTCCCTAAATAGAAGACACATTGCAGTCAACAAAACTGTACTCATCTCATGAATTAAAACAATATATACATACACCAGTGCAGTTAGGTATGCTTTTGTTTTGAAATTAAAGTGCATTGGACACTGGGGTATAAGATATAGAAATAACTATAAAAACGATATTTAGATGGCAGGGAACCATGGAGGATGTTTCCTTTGCTGATTTAATATGTCTTGCTACCTATATATTTAAATAAATAAATAAATAAATCAGAGCTTGCTTTTTCCAAGCGCTGCACATGTTGCTACTATCTTGATTGCAATCAAAAGTGATGACAATGCTTGAATGTCTCGAGCCGGTGGATAATTGATTCCTCTTTGGATTAATTTGTATTTATGTGATTCAAGAAAGTTAAAGGGTGGCGTAGTCAGGAGAGGGGGAAAAATGCAGATCGATGTGTCAGCAAAGTAGCTTTTGAAAGCCTTTGGTCTAAAGCTAAATGGACGCGTTCGCACCATAGGCAAGTTTCGTTTTTTTTTTTTTTTGAGTTACTTGCCTGTGATCCGGAAATGAAAGGAATTATCTAGTACATCCAGAATTATACTATTTTCTCTTCTTATATGTAAAGCTTTAACAATATATGATCTTATTTTTATATGATAAAAAGAGTATAATTGGATAGTATTTAATTTTTTTTAACACAACAAGACTTATTTTAACAATTGTGTGCTAAATTAATTTTCCTAATGAAAGAAGTTTTGAGTCTAGTGACTCTAAATTTCTTTAATAATTATATAACCATAAAAAACAACTTCTCATTGTATAGACCAAAAATCCATAACCTCTCATAAATTAAAAATAATAATAATAATTTCTTTTCAAATTAACTAAAACACTAAAACATATGGATTTTTCTTATTCATAGATTATTTATCTACTCACGTTTTACTTGTCGATTGAAGTTTTTTTTGTTTTGTTTTGTTTTTTTTTACCTTTTGCATTCTAAAAGGCCTTCTTTTTCTTTTTAATTACTTTTATTGTCATTTGTCATTAAGTGGATATGTGAAAATCCACATTCACCCTTGACTAATTCTCTTTTCAATTTTCTTTCTTAGCCTTTTTTGTCATTTCCCTTCTTCTTTTTTCATCAGCCTTATAAATGGCTTTTTCTTTTGTATTTAATTACTCTTATTGCTATTTAATAGATTTGTAAAAATTCACATATACCATTGGCTGATTCTCTCTTTCTTATTTCTCTTGTAATCTTTTTTCGTCATTTCCCTTTCTTTTCGGATAAAGCATTTAATGCTTAATTATGTTATTGCTTTTTTCCCCCATTCTATTTTCATGAGAGGAGAGGAGACTCAAAGAGTAAATTATAAATTAGTCCCTCTTTCTTAGAGAAACAAATTAATTAGTCCATCTAATTTTAAAATCTATATTTTTTTATCATTTTTTTCTATTTTTTGTTTTTTTTTTTACCTTTTGTTTTAATAAATTGAAAAGAAATAAAAAATATATAGAAATATATAAAAAAATGATGAGAGAATAAGACATTTTAGAAAAGAAACAAATAAATTAGCCGTCTTCAACACTAGTTACAAAAATTAAATAATTATTTTTTGAAATCAAAATGACTAATTAATTCATTTCTCAAAACAAGGAGGAGTAATTTCTAATTTATCTATCAATATATTCACATCGATCGCATGAAAATAGTATAAATAATATATATAGTTGTTAATAATTTCATATATTTATCGGATTGCAAACAATGAATGTTGAGACTTTAAAATAGTTTTTTTACATTATTTTTGTGATTTTAAGTTGTTTTTGAAAAAACAATTTGGACAAAATTTGGCTTTGGAGAAGTCGGAAACCAAAAACACAAAATTTCAACAATGTTTTCGATCAACATCGGCTCGATAGAAAGTGTATTTTTTTTTAAAAAAAAACTTTCCTAATAGGTGAATGGTCTAGAATGTCGAATTTTATTTTTTTCGTGCAAGCTCGGTTATTGGTCGGGTTTCTTTTTTTTTTCTCTAATTTTTTTCTAAAGATTTTTAGGTAAATAGTCTAGAATATCGAATGTTAATTTTTTTTTCATGCAATCCGATGAGAAACAAATACATATAATCTATTTTTGTAATAACCTCGTCCCAAAAACATACACTTGTTCATGCATACACACATACTTAGAAATTACACGCATATAATTATACCTGCATATGACATGTTAGTGGGGTATTGGATAATAAGTATTTTGAATAATAGGAAGAATCAGGGGCTCAATTGAATGTAATCTAAGTTGGGAGACTAGAATAAAAACAAGCCAAAACTTGAGGGACTAAAATGAACTTTGCCAAAATATCTTCACAACCTTATCAAGATTACTTACCTGATCATTATCTCTTCTTATCCCATCTGGTTTCCTGTTTTGAGAGAGAGAAAGAGAGGAAAAACCCATTTCTTTGTCAAATTCGGATGATCAAGCTGGAAATCTAGGTAAGTTCATCCCCAGCTCTGTTTTGCACTCTTGATTTCGAGACTTTAGGGTCAGATCTAAAACAAGTTGTAAGAATAAAAATTGTTGGTTTGTGTCTTATCTAGCTCTCTGTGAAAAGGTTTCGTATTTAGTGATTTATATTTCGAGTTATGATGGTTTGAACACATATTGTTCTAGGTGATCTGATGCTGGCAGATTAGTGTGCAAACTTTAAAAATATGGTATTCTTTGGGTGTTGAGTATTTAGACCTAATTTTTGGATATGTTTTATATTGATATGTCTAATTATTTTTTAAAAAAGAATTAGGTCTTGATCATGTCCCAATCTAGATTTATTATTGTTTGTTTGGAGACTACTCGGTAACAAGGGTGCTGGAAACTAGTTAGAGTTTGAAAATCTAGAATAAATCATGTATATAGAATATTGGGCTGATTTTTGGATATGTTATATCCCTTTGAGTCTAGTTTCATGTGAAACTGGAATTTTGTCATTTTACCTTGTACTTTAGGATTTATAGTACAAAGAGTGTGAACTGTGAAGGGGTCAAGTACCCATAAAGAAATGGCAGCAACTAGATTGAAAATCACCATGAGTTGTGTATTTCGTAACTAGACTTGATTTTTGGATATGTTAGAGCCCTATGAGTCTAGTTTCATGTGAAATTCGAATTGCATCATTTGAATCTGTATTTTGGGACTTATGGTAGAAAGAGTGAAAAGGGGTCAAGTACCCATAAAGAAATAAGTTAACCCTAAAGTCATATTTTGTACCTTGAGCATATTTAGAAGTTTGATCATGATAAAATGACTTATAAAAGTATATGTGTATGTGTTTATAGACGCCGAGGAGCGTGAGGTGCAAGACGCGACGCATTGATAAACGGCGAAGACGTCATTTTTGTGAGTTGAATAATAATAGTTGTGCCATGATGTGTTATTGCTATTGAGTGCTAATATTATATTTATTGATATTGATACTATGATGTGAATGATGTGTCGTTTGCTAGTTGACGCAAACGTTGTGTTTATTGATGTTATAACAATATTATGTTTATTGATATTGATACTATGATATGAATTATGTGTCGTTTGCTAGTTGACGCAAGCGTTATGTTTATTGATGTTATAATGGATATGTATCATGGTGTAAGCTATGGATGTTGTATATGCTATATGTGAAACATTAATGATATATGCAAGACTAAGAGGTTAAGGTTATGACTGGCTTGTCCAAGTTTCGCAATTACAAGTTTACAAGGACCCAACGAGTCAACTACAAGTTATAAAAGTCGGCAAGCAATACATGTGTACAAGTTTACAAGTTACAAGTACCCGAGGAGAAACTTGACATGTCCAAGTTATAACCGATAAGAAAAAGAAAAGTATGTAATCTTAGAGTCATATGAACTACTCGTATTGTTTATATGTGATGATACTTGGATGACGTGATTGCATGTTATGGTTTCAATAGATTATTGTTCTCTCATTGAATAGCATCTCATTAAAAATGCAATTATTTTTTTAGGTACTAAGAAGCAAGAAGTGAAAGTTAGAGTCATCTTTTATTGTTCAATTCACGTCATGAGTGACAGGTCGACTGGCGATCTTCCTCTCCTCTCTCTCATTATGCCAAGCATATGCATCCTAGGAGATTTTTGAATTATATATATAACTATGTAAATATGAACTCCCGGAGGTGTTTTGAGACATGTTTATGAACAAAGAAAAAGTGATTTTGATTGAATATCCAAGGGTTATAAGTGGAAAGAATGTTGTTGATTAGATTTTGAAGTATTATGGCTGAAAAACCCTTGTTTTGGATAGAAATGTACACGGGAAGGTACACGCCCTTGTGGAAGGCCGTGTAACCTTCTATTTTCAAGGGAAAATAGTTTTAAGTTACACGGGCAAGTACACGACCGTGTTGGAGGCCATGTAACCTGCTCGCCCTAAAAAAAAAAAAATTCATAATCTTTCTAATATGAGGTTTTAACGGTCCTAAATGATAATTGGTGATTAATTAAGTTTTCTAGAACTAAAATGGCTAAGTTATACGAAGTTTTTATAAGGAATTAGGTTAAGGACGATACAATTTTTATGTTTTTAAATAAACATATATTTTATATTATATTATTTTTATTGCTTACAATATATTTCTTCAATTTGTCATTTCTTATAGAGATTGCCATCCAATTAATTTTTATTTTTTAAAAATATTATTTATTGATAAACATGATTTATTGTTCTATATGGATGGATTTTTAAATAAAAATTTAGAACGTGATTATTTTTTTCAAAAAAATAAATTTATATAATTTATATGATGGACTCTAAGAATTTTAAAATGATAATAGCATGCATGCATGCATACATATATACATACATATATATAATCTAAAAATTAAAAATATTTTTTAGAGAATTTGTATTAGATTTTTTGAAAAAAATAATTTACAAAATAATTTTTTGGTTAAAAATCCATGGAGTTTTAGGTTTTATTTTTAGATTACACAAGTTTTTAGTTAAGAACCAAATAAATCATATTTTTTCAGATAATTTATGAAAAATACAATGAATAATTAGTCAAACATAAAATTTTAATGAAAAAGCAATAAGACAATGGATTTTTTTTTAGAAAAAATCTATGTTTTAATATATTTTTGTGGATTCACATTGTAGCGTAAATGTTCAAATTGAAATAATGTTACAAGTTTTGTTCGATCCGCAACGTAGTGCGGGTGAAAAACTAGTGATTTCAAATGCACATGATAAAAACAATTTATATACCTATCTTGATTGATCATTTGATTCTATGTATTTATTATAGTATCTATCTATATATATTGTCAAATGACCATCTTATCCAAAAAGTCAAATTGTTAACTGAAACTTCCGGATATGATTTATATTATTCTATAATACATATTCTTAACGAAAGCTCTTTGAGTTTAAAACTTATACATACCTATACTATTTTGTGCTTAATTAACTAGAAGAGAAATGGGTATGGTGATATTCGACTTTGTGATCATTTGATTATCAAGGTTTTTATATCATGTTAAAAGACTATTTTGTCTAAAAAATTAAATTATTAGGTAAGATGTGATTTATATTTCTCTAACATATATATATATATATTGTATGCATTATTTTAAAACTTGAAAATTCGCCGAGAAATGCCTAAATGGTTGTTGTACGCTGACATTAGTATCGACATCGAGAATTTACGAGATCGATGTTTCGAAAATTGCCCTTTCTTTTTTTAAGGAAGTTTTCATTTATCGAATTCAGTGGAAGTGGTTGTTCAACCCCGTTAAAATGCAAGTATAATGGTAATCTAGAAGTATAATGCACAATTTGAATACACAAATATATCCCCTTTCCTCAGAGGGTGCATGCATAAACGTACCTCAATATATATATGCAGAGATGGCATTTGGCCTGACACGGTGCATAGATTCTACTTAGTACGTACCTTAATCTCCAAGCCTTTCAACCCACCACAACCTGACTAATTAAAATTATATTATTTTTATTGTTATGTGTATTATTATTACATACTATATTTTATTTCACCTCATAATTTTAATCACGCATTGATAAAAAAACCTAACCCAGTCCCAAGCCTGATGCAACTTGGACCACTTCAAATTGTACAATAACCATTACAGGTTTCCAAATATTTCCAACCCAACCTGGTTCAGAACATATACTGTAGCTGGGGAGGCAAACCAGACCCTGTCCGACCCATTGCCATCCGTAATCCAGTCTAACATATATTTTTCTTAATTAATCTAACCACAATGACGTTTTGATTGTCTTCGGCTCTTGGCATCGTATATATGGACCTCTCTTATGGGCTTGTTAGTTTTATGGTATAAAAAATCCCAATTGAGTTTTAGTTGGGCTTAGATAACTTATTTAAAGCCTGATTTTAGTTGTGCAGTATTCTTTAGTAGGGAAACCATTATTTGCACTTCCTGTTTCTTAATTATTTTTTTTTATTATTATAATACTAATTTTTTTGATATAAAAGAATTGAAATAATTTTTTAAAACAACCATTAAATCATTCATATATGGTTTTTTATACTAACATTTTATATATATATATATATATTAAATGTATATATTTTTTAAAAATAATTTTTTTATCCACATTTGAAAAAAATAATTTTTTTTTATATAAATTTATATATTATTATTATTTTTTTTTGGATGTAATATTATGAAAAATATATTTTTAAGGTGTATATATACCCCTTTCTTTCTTTTCTTTGTGAGCTTTGACCGCTTGGTCATGGAGCCCCTTAAAGTTACTCCAACACCAAACCGCATTCAGAACTCCGATACGAGCGACTATCCCTAAATTAAACCCGTACATTTTTTCCAATCGATTATAATCAATTAAAATCACATCCAAACCGATATTCAAAACAACAACAGAAACCCTGAAGCAGGGAATTAGGGCTTTGGATCAGAATGTCGACCGGCAGGCCCAAGGACACCGAATCACAACTCGCGGCGAGCACGGAATCCACAGCGTTGGTGGAGTACACGGCGCCAGTGCTCAAGGAAGATGAGGAGGACCTAGAGGTGAAGCTTCGAAGAATACTTGAGAACGTCCCAGTTCGAGTTAGTAATACCTCCGGTAGTTCTGCTGGTTCTGGTTCTGGTGATTTTCATCAGGTAATTTATTGTTTTTTTTTTTTTAATTTCTAAAATTATAAACCGAAAGGTATTTCTTTAATAGTTTTTCAATTTGCATTTTTTTTTCAAGTGTTTTGTATTGGTGTTAAATAAATGGAGCAAATAATAATTGGAATGCAGGTGAAATTAAAAGGGTTAAATTAGGGAATTTGGGGGTTTATTTGTTTGAAATTAGGAGAGATTGATGCTGAATTGATTAACATTTGTCTAGACTATTAAGTTTCATAGAAGCTGACTGCGATTCGGAACTTTGGTATTAGCAGTATCAAGTTCGCCGTCGGTGGCAGGGTTGTTACTCAATGCGACATTGTCACTAACATTGATTCATGCTGACCTTTTCTGCCATGACCATAGTACTGGTTTAGATTAGACATACATGCTTATTGCATAATGATTGTAGGGATCCAAATCTATAGCCTTTGGTTGTGTAATGTATTGAGTTGAGCCCTTTAAAACTCCTGTTTGAGAAGGAGTCTTCTCCTGCCATTTACGATTTGTTGGCTCTACTATAGATAAAGCAGAAATACAATGGTGGACATCTCTCACTATAATTTATTTGTTGGTGATTTCATGATGCTTTAATGAAAGTGAAAAAGGGTATTAGTCAAGGCTTATGATCCAGCATTCTTCAGGCTAAAATTGATGAACAATTAAAGTGAGGAGCCAGGTACTGAGCTGGCAGAAGGTTTTCTGCTTGGCTGGTCTACTCTGGAAGGTTATAGAAGATATTATTTATTGAGTTGGAGTCTTTTGGTTAAGCGCCTGCCAGCAAGATGCAACTGTCCTCTGAAAAGAGATTTGATATGCTGATTGTCTATACTTTTAAGTTAATAGTCAGGCTACTTTTTAGTTTCATAATATAAACTGACGACCTGGAATGAGTGCTATGTGAGCAAATGGGAAATGTCTAAAGTGTTGGCTCTAGCGAAGAGAGAGCTTGGGTTTCCTCAGAGGGGGTTTCTGTGGTTTAGGGGCTTTATTTGAAGTCACCGTTATAAGAATTTTCCCCCTTTTTGATTGGCATAGTTGTTAGAAGTTACTGTTCCTAGAGGTGATAGTTTCTTCTCGGAAGGGTACTGAGTTTAGGAGTTTAATATAGGATCGGTTGTTGCATGCATGGGAGTATAACCCACTTTTTGTTTGTAGCCATCAAAATAACTAGATTGTAATAGACTGAGAGGCTTGTGTTGAAGTTGTGTTTGGTGTTATTGAATGAAGAATTATGCCAGGTTAAACTTATCTAATAATTGCATGTTCGTTTGTATCGTTCATGTGCTCAATGCTTAACATGTAAATATATTAGCTGGTGAAGCAGGAAAACAGGTGTGTGTGTGTGTTAAGTCTCTGTGAGGATGTACCTTTGCATATATTTTTGTCTCAATATTTCATTCTTATGAAATTTTCGTTTACAAAAGTATCGGCAAATGAGACGGAAAGAGCAAGACAGGCTTTCAAGGATGGATGCAGATTACCAGAGAAGGAAAGAAATAGCTGAATTCGCTATGAGAAGAGAGGAAAGAAGGAAAGCTGCAGAGGAACGTACATCAAAGAAGCGTTTGAAAAGACAAAAGAAAAAGCAAAGGAAAAAGGAGAAGAAGATGGAACCAAATGCTGGTGCAGAAGAGCATGGGAAAGAAGAATCTTCAGATGAGGAAGCCGACTCTGATGATGGCAACGAAACAGAAAAATAAAATAGACAAGCTTTTACCAAAATTTTTAAGTCCAAACTTAGATTCAAGCTTGGTTTCTGCCAGAACGTTTAGAGAACTAGGGAAATGAGCTCAATTGGCTTTCAAGTTGTTGTGCTCTAATTTTCTAATTTATTTATGTCAGTTTCCCTTGTATTTAGCTTGTGAAGTGCCTCGCCAAAGAGAAATGCAATTAGAAAACGAAACGGTTAATTTTGATTGAATGCATTTGGTATGTTTCTTGCTGAAGGACCACCTAGCATGACAATTAAAAATAAAATAATTTAATAATTCGGCACTTAAAAAAAAAAAAAAATCAAAAGTTAGACATCAACATTGCAATTTTCTCTTTGCTTTCTGTCATTAGCCAAGGAATGCGATACTCAAAACTGATGTAACTACTACAACGAGGTACTCTATGTTGGTTGATCTGCACATCCAAATACAATAGACCTCTCACCTAACAACGCTCGAGTGATAAACTAAAATTTCTATATCTTCTATATGCTATCGTAAGTTAATTTATATACCCATGAACAAGCAAGAATTATTTTTCGAAGTATAAACATCAATACGAAAACCGAATTGGGAGACTGTTGTTTAACTGGGATAAAGAAATTTGGATTTGAATATAAAAGGAGGCACTACGAGTTGGTGATTCTTGGATACTATATCAATTTGGATACCCAATGACTGATCGTTGGGCTGATTCCAAGCTGACCCAGCCCAATTCTGCTTTCCTCGTCATTGGACGTTATGAACTACTCTACTAGAATTTGCGCTGGCCACGTCGGTTATTTGTTATTCTAATATTTGGCGTTCTGCACTCTTCTTTTCCATTCCCTCTGTTGTTAGTCAGCTCATTAATCAATCTCTGAATTAGCTAATCCTAAAATTCAATCACAATGGGCGAATCCGTCACTCCTCGTCGCATCTCCGTCCATCAAGCTCTTGGCGCCGGTCCAGGTATCCGTATATTTATTATTCATACATATGCACTCATTTACGCATGTATAGGAATACTTACCTGCATCAAAACCATACATTCCTCGATCATTTTGATTCTAAATAGATCTGAATTTTTGCTATACGAACTTTCAATTTTGATTTTATTTAATTAACGCTTGATTTGTGTTAATTTTTGGCGTTACGTCTGCAGTGGCCGATGTGTTGTTATGGAAGAGATGGTATGCAAGTGTTGGTGTTCTAGCGTCAGTGACAACTCTGTGGATCTTATTTGAGAAAGCTGGTTACAATTTGTTATCGTTTGTGGCTAACGTGTTGTTCCTTCTTGTTGTTATTCTCTTCTTTTGGGCTAAATCTGCTTCCCTTCTCAATCGGTAATTAATTTATGCGTTTTCGCTTCTTTTTTTTTTAACTGTTTTAGTGTATTTGCCTAATTTTTTAGTTACTTTATTGCTTTTGTGGTTGTTGATTTTTTATGTGAATTGTAACAGATTACGCAATTTTTATTCGTATATATTTTTAGTTATGAATGTTGTTTTTTATTTTGTATTAATTTTTTTTGAAGGATTATATGCGTCAAAGAGAGATATTTCATTAATGTTTTTTTTTATTTTAACGTTACCTTTGGATTTTCATTCAGCGTTTGCTGTTTTGTGGAAATTGTGTGCATCTGTGGTTTTGGATTTTAGTAAATGATGAGTATTGATTACCAGTTGTGATTTAGGCCGTTACCTCCACTTCCAAATTTGGAAATTCCTGAGGGGATTGTTCCCAAGGCAGCTGGTGTGATTCACGTGTATGCCAATTATGCATTGTCGATTGCGCACAAAATCGTGATTGATAAGAATTTGAAAGTTTTCCTTCAGGTCAGGACTCAGGAGCTATATCTATCTTTCCACGCAAGAATTAGCTATACTTTTTATGTGTGATGCACATGTGGTTCTACAGGTTGTTTCTGGTTTGTGGGTAGCATCTTATATTGGTAGTCTCTGCAACTTCCTCACTCTTGTCTACATTGGTGAGTTCTTTTCTGCTCATTGTTTTTCTTAATCAGTCCATAATATGAGGGCAAACATTAATTTATTATGTTTGATTACATCTGCAGGGGTTCTTCTCAGTCTCTCAGTTCCTTTGGTATATGACAAGTACCAGCACCCCATTGATGAAAAGCTATGTTTAGCCCATAAAATAATTCAAGCACAGTACAGGAAATTTGATGATGCCGTCTTGAAGAAGATTCCACTGCCATCAAACAAGGAAAAGAAGACTCAGTAGGTAAGTTGCTACCTCTGTCTCTCACGTTAAATAGAGACAGTTAATCAATCTTGCAGTATAGCAGGATGAATTTTAGGGGCAGTCATTTATGAATCTATATCGAAATACATGTTACTGAGATTGTGGGTATGTTTTTTATGTGGAACTAAAGCATGCTGTGGCAGTTGTTATGTTTGAAATTTTGATAATGCTGATGGTGCAATGTCAATGTCATTATTGTTGAGACTATAATGTTTTTGCTAATGTTGTAGAAAGATAAATGACTGATCAGGCAAAACGATGAAGGCTCTTGTAGAGTATTTGTTACAAATATCTGACAATTTACCTCCAATTGTTTAGCTGTCTTCATCATAAATGGACTGCAGTTAGGTTCCTTCATGAAAAGATCCTTTTGAGTATATGTGGTTTGTATGAAGAGGATCTACTAGCTTGCTTGTAAAATTAACCTTACATTTTTGACACATTGGACACCCGTTGGAGAGAAGGCTTGCTGTCTAAGTTGCATTTTATTTTTGTTTGAATTAGAAATAACATACTAGGCACGCTTGATTGAAATTGTCACAATGGTTAAATTAGCATGTGATTTAACATGTTGATAAATTAATGGACTGCCTTGGTATACCTTTTTTTCCTTCTTTGAGACTTCCTTGGCATATCATTTTGCATAAGAAATTGAATTTTCATGAATTGTGCAATGACGAGGTATATCAGCACATAATTGCTGTGAAATTTGCCAATACATGGTTTCTAAGATTCTTGCATTCAGGCATATTATTTATGAGCCCATTGAACACTTGTATGATTACAGATATTGTTCTCCAAGTTTGCTTTCTCCGTCAAAAGGTTCCTGGCTTGTATTTTCCTCTTGTGGTGATTCACATGCTTTTAAGATTGTTACTGTGCCTATATTCCTTTTCTGATTTATAATTACGTCATTATTTTCTATTGTTTTTCCACTTTTGCCATCCTCCCATTTGGTCACTCAATTCTAACTTTTGGTCAGCATCATCATCTATGATCTCCCTGTAAATATTTGAACACAGATGGCCTCAATAGGCGGATTTCTTAAATTGTCAAAGTATGATCATTGTCTTAAGTTGCCCCTTTTTCAGCACATGCTATCCTCCATCTTGCTAATTCATTTGCTACCGTTATTTGATTCATGGATATCCATATGCTCCTATTGTCGTCAGAATTAAAACCATTTTGGACAACTCAATTCATATATTCTGTTTGTTGTCAGAATTAAAACCATCTTGGACAAGATCTGGTCACTGCTGCTTTATTCTGTTCTCTATCTCTCTGGTTTTTGTTCTTTGAACAATTTTGAATCTTTGATAAAACTCTCTTTGGATACAGGGTTTCAAGTTGTTCAGCAGAACGTGACTAGTGACATAGAGATGGATTTCGGCATAGAAAGCTGTTGAGATATATATATATATATTTGTGGGGTTGGGATGCTGTCAATACTACTATCGAATGTCAGCTAGTCACGGTAGTTCTTTAGGAGCAGAACTGACCTTAATGTCTTCTATGAAGGACATTAGATTTTTCATTATTTTTGTATGCAAGAAGGCCCTTGTTTTCGTAACTCTTGATCTGTAATTCTGTCAGTCCTTGCTGCTGTTTTTACTTTTTACTATTTCATTCCCACTGGATGATGCTCTCCGATGGAGCAAACTAGCTTTGGATAATGAAAGTTTACAATAGTCAACTTTAAACTTCGTTCGTTAAAGAATTAAAAAGCTTCTTGGCATAGTGTTATAGTCGTATAGTATTGTCGTAGCACTGTATTTGTTTAGTTGCATAAATAACTTTATTGCTGTACAATTCGCTTTCTTTTATCTTCAATTTTTGCAATAATTTAAAGAGCTGATTTCTTACATGAGAGACTCTAAGCAGAGATTGGGTTGCATTTTACTGCGTCGCTCTGTGTCTATCTTTCCGTCTTACACCACTTGTATTTTGAACACCAGTTTTTGTTTCATTCGGTCAGTATTTTGCGGGGATTTATCCAGCAGAGAATGAGGATAGCTGCTTCGAAGTTTCAACTTCAAAACATTTTACTAATGCAAGTACAGTCCTGCAGATCTTCCGACTTTCATTCCTCTTTGTATTTCTATTATAATTGAATTGAAGAACAGCTGCCCAGGGAAGCCCGAATGTCTGTTCCTTGCTCCATCCATAACATAGTAACAAAGCTCAAAACATTTGAGGGTAAAACTCACTGTTATTCAACAACTGTACCATGCAAACAGTTTTTAACCTCCGATGTTGGTGGATGTTACTATACTCAGATGGTAGAAAGCATTGATTTATGCCAAGAGATCGAGTTCTCGAAGCTTTAGAATAAATTAAATTTCATTGGGGCTGGTAGGTTACAAAATATCACTATTAGAAACGCACACATTTAGGGGTAATATTGTGCAGAAATTTTTAACATCACAATCTTTAACCGTGCCTACCAAATCACACCTCTGACACCAGCTGGACAAGAAAAGGAACGATTTATGCCACCTTAAAGACTGGAAGACTTTCTGACGGGGGTAGTGTCACCGAGCGCAAGAGTTCCAAGGAGAATACGAGCCCCAGAAAATGAGAAAGGATGGTGTTTGCAGAAGCCTGCAAAAGAGAAATAGAATGATGAGAATAGCCGACAATCAAATAACTTGGACCAAACTGTTTATTATTCGTCCTTAATTTAACGGAGAACTGAGGAGGATGTTGGGTTAAAATGACATGGCATTAAGTAAATTGGTAGACAGGCAAGAGAAATGTATGCTTGCTAGTTTATATGGACACATATTAGAGTTTTTCATTTAAAATGTTATTTGTTCATTTGTTTACTAGTCTGAAACCATGTGTGTTAAAACAGATAAACTAAGGTGGTCTCTATAATAAGATAAACTGAGATTTCTAGATACAACGAGTTTGTATTCAGGATAGCTTTAATATCTGTAAGTGGGAATTGGATCTGAACGAGTACCTGAACCAAAAACACATCCAATGCAAGAACTGGACTGTAGCCAGGAGAGATTTGCTGGTAATAAGGATTTGCCGAGGAAGTTAGAGCCTTTGCAACCAACGATCCTACTGTGGCTTGCATGCCAAGAATGGCAGCACCCATTCCCAAAAGATTCAATACTATACCATTTTTCAAACTTTTCACAACATCAGCACGAGGAGGTGCCTGAAACCACAAACAATTAAGAAACACTAAGCACAAAACAAATATTGAAGAACAAGGACAAAAAATACACCTTTTTTTTTTTTTTGGAGGGTAACACAAGGGCCTTTAACAAGCAGAATGTCAATCAAAGCAGCCAATTCGATGGAATGTGTTGAATTCTGGCACCATATCCAGACCACATCATACTTTTGAGATCCTGCTACCCAGGATCCGCATTAAGTGTGGCTTTCCTACTGTTGTTTTCATTTCTTTTAATGGCATGAACAGTTGTGCAACTGAAGAAGTAAACAATGCTAAAAAAAAATAAGCAATTTTTAGTTGATGACCTTCTGCATTCAAGAATCCCATCTCCTGGTATGGAGTTCATCTTACTTGGATGATCCAGTGACATCAATAAAGACAAAAATCACATGGATAGATGGGAAGTATGGAAAAACAATAAAAGCTACGTCAGCATATACGGAAATGCATGAAAGTCTTATAAACTATATTCTCCTTGACAATACAAACCTTCCCGATCATCTACTCAAGATGTATAGAATGTGAAGGATCTGAATTCACTAATTGCTCCTCTGCCATCCTTTCTCTTTAAGAGATAGGATAAAGAGTAAAATACTTGCTGAATTTGAATGTCCGTTTACACAAAACACCATGCCTCGACATTGTGAAACCATTAAAGAACTTACTTCAAGAGTAGACTTCTCATTAGATTATTGCTAATGAAATTAGAAGAAACCAATTTCCCCATTTCCCTAAAGCTCCTTTTCCTTGAATAGGCCATATTACCAATCAATTCTTTGGCATACATAAACAATAAGAACCTCTAATGTAAAGCAATCAACTTCATTGTGTATAAATTGTACTAACTGCAACTAGCATAAACAAAGTAGTTTTGCCCAAGGTTAATGAGCACAATCAAAATCTTATATTGACCCAGTTATCCATGTCAATTAATCGACAATAATAGGGTAAATTTTAGCAAGAACTCTACATATCAAGACTTAGTGTCTCGCAGCTGGCTACCTTTCTTTCGTCTAACATAGTTTGACTAGTAATTATCATTGTTGCTTAACTACGAACTTTAATTTCTGCTTCTCTTTCTATAGTGGGATTAATTTATAATTGCCAACTCTCAACACCTAACTTTCCATAAAGTAAACAGCATTCAAAATTGCTTCCTAACTCAACCCCTAAAAGACTCTGACATAAAGCCTCGTTGAGCATCCAGAAGACAAGGGCTAAATAAATAATCTGCCCTTTCCAATGATTGAGTTGAGCTCAAAATCCTTGGAAACAACCATCATTAAGAATGATCAGAATAAACATTGTTTATGACTACAATAACACAGTAAAAACAGTCTGCACCAGCTTATAACAATCATATAACATTATGCATACATACCTTGGAAGGATCATTTGCGGTTTTTCGCAGCTTCTCAGAGAGCCGAATGTAGCCAAATGACCAGAACACAGAAATGAATGCAGCTGCGATCCCACCAAGAGTAGCGTAAAAAGTAGGAGGCGATGAGATCTTCCCAGTGACAACAACAGAAAACGAAAGAATCACAGCTGCCACTGTAGTACATATTAGCTGCCCCCAAAATCCTAGATTACCCAACCGCTTAAAATACCTTGATGTATTCTCTAATCTCTTTGCCACCTACACATACACAATAGCAACAATCTTACTCTAGTCTCAGATTCCACAAAACAACAATTCCCAGATTTTCTTGGTAACCAAACATAAAATTAGCAAACTAAATGACATTCAGAAGCCCATTTTAAAGCAGTCCCTTTTCTTAACTCAAGTCTCACATTCCACATAAACTTGCATTTTGCATCAATTTCTCTTCATTTCCATCATTTTCTTAGTAGCCAAACAGAAACAAAAGCCAAGATAAAAACGACATTTAAAAATTTCTTTAACACACAAACGGGTTTCCAAAATAATGAGTGCATAGCTCCCCTAACTAAGTAAAGAGAAACTAGTGCTTCAAAAAACTTACATTAAAAAAAAAAAAGACCCACAAAAAAGATGGCTACTTTTCTTTTACTACACAAATGTGTTGCCAGATAATACACATGTAATCAAATAACAAAGCCAGATATTAAATTAAAACTTCAAATTCTAAAATAAACTCAATTAGAAAATCTCAAAGCGAAGAATTTAGAGAGGGTTTGAACCTGAGCAAGTTTTGCCCTTTCTGACTCGTCGTTTTGGGAATTGAAGGCAGGAGCAGTTGCATTGGAAGCGTTTGTCTGGGTAGATAAAAGTTTTGACGTTTTGTTCTTAAGAGGATCGTAACTAGGTAATAAGCTACTGTAAGAGAATAACGGGAGAGGTTGTGTTGATTTGTGAGAGATTGGTAGGGAATTCGGAGGAGAGAGGAATGCTCGGTGCTTTAGGCGGTGTAGAAGAGTGGGGGTTGGCAACACCGCAGATGCCGCTGTGCCGGAGCGAACCGCCGGCAGGAGTAGCATTTGCATTCTTTTTGAAGAGTGTGAGAGTGAAGTAGGCAATTTCGAGAAAGTGTTACTTCGCTTGAGACTTTAAAAAAAGAATCGATTTTTTGGATTTGAACACCATGTCGTTTAAGCGTCGAGTAAGAAGATTATCATGTGACCATGTGTCGTCTATGATTGTTATAAACAGTGTTTCGTCTCACTTGTAGACGACACTCGTCTCACTTCGATAGTACTCAAATCAGTTAGGTGAGGTCTGTATTGGACAATGCATGATTTGTCGTTTAAAAGGCGGCACGTTAGATTTTTTTCTTTTAATCAATGATTAGGGTATTTTCAGCTAAATTTCCATGGACAGAGACTGAGGAGGTGTTTGGTATAAGAATTTTTAAGTGTCTTTTTAAAATGTGATATTTGTATTTGGTGAAAAAAAAATTATAATATATTTTTATTATGTTCGTTTCATAATTTAGAAGTAATGAATAATCGTTAATTGAAATTTTTGAAGTCAAAATCCATTTCAAAAACTTATTTTCAAGTCTTTTTGTGATTCGAACCTTTAAAACAAACCTAGATTGTTGTATTATTTGTTGAATAAGTAAGCTTATGGCAAGTTTGCAAATAATTACTACGTATTAAAAGGTTCATAACAAGCCTATCGCATGTTGTATTTGTTTTCTATACGTTGAAAGACTCATAACAAGTTTAATACGATTACTGTCAAGTTATTTTTTCTAATTTTATTTTTTTCTATCTCGTCATAAATAATTGTACGAATGACTTTACTAACAAGACTACTCGTGCAAGAGGATATAAAAGTTAATTAAGAGTTTAATAATTAATTCATACTTTTTGATCGTTAACCAAAAAAAAAAAACCTTTGAAACAATATCTAAAGCTTTATTCATATAATTTGGAATTTAAACACTCATTTGCTAACCATTTGACTTTAGCACCCCCTACTCCTCATCTCACTATTTACATCTATTCTATTTGATTATTTTATTGGTTTGATTGTTCCCACGAACCCATCACACAAAATCTTTTCTTTTCTTTAATATCCCATTATTTTCTCGCATCTATAAATTGCCATGCAACCTTAATTCTATCTATGCAAGGAAAATTGAGCAAATTGTTAAAAATTCAAGGTCCAATGTAGCAAACACAAGTGTCGTGTCTGTTCAAACACCCGCAGTAAGAAATGGAAACCGGCACAAACAGAGGTATTCAGTATCAAATTCAATAACTGGAGTCGATTCCTCTGCAACTATGGGTAATGGGCTCCAACTCACTTTACTGTCTCTACTAACAGAGGAGATTCCAGTCTGCTTCCCCAAGCTAATTAAAATTTACTACTAATAGTACCCACTTTAACATACCCAAATTAAGCCAAGTTTCTGTTTAACAACACATGTATACAGTAACAAAGAGTCACTTATCAGAAAGCAGTTCATTTGATCTTGGCCAGGATCGATGGGGTTGAACTTTAAAAGTTGCTTTTCTTTCACGTCGTGCAAATATTAGTAACTGCCACATATTTTAGTTGCTGCCACCCAATCCAATCCGTGTATTGCAACAGCTACATAAAGATGAAACTTGAAAGATATGATATCTGCACAATATTTGTGCGTGCCATTTGACTCTACGCACACCTCTGGGGCCCTAACATATATATATTAGCTTTGCTTCTTTGCAACATTGAGATTCGGTTTCGTCCTTTCTAGCTAGGCCACGGAATTAGTCAAATTTAGGATAGATAGGAATCGGAACTGACTAGGGTTCATGTGAGTGTTTAGGACAAAGTAGGAGAAATGAGCTCAGCTTGATCATGACTTTGTTATCATTTGTTGAAAGATCTGTCCAAATTAAGCAGTCTCCAAATAATTTTGAGAGAATTAAAGGAAATGGAATGTTAATCGCAAAAAATGAATAGATGAATTAGGACTTGCTTCTTTTGAGGCAGCTATATATAAACCGACCAACGAGAATGCTCAAAAGAGAATGCTGGTTTGATGGATTTTGTTTTTAATGAATAGCATATACATCCTCGTCCTCTGGGGCACACTGTGTTATGTGCCTATCTTGTGTTTAGCTACTTCTGCAAAAATATCTGGGGTGAAGTTCCAGGCCCCATTGATTTTTGGATGAGCTGGAATGTTGAACCAATGGTTGACGTGAATCGTTGAAGTGTCCACAAAAACCCACAGATATCTTACTGTTTCTGGATATAAAAAAGAAAGGAAAAAAAGAAATTATATCTTCAACCATTTCTAGATAAATAAACAAGACCAGTAGTGGTACTAGAGAAAGGCAGATCTTTGAACCGGGAAAGCTCAGAGCCTATGAATGCACATGGTTGAAGTCATCTGAAGTGTTATATTGATTTAGATGCACACGAAAACATATACAAACGAACAAATTCCAATTGTATTTTCATGCCCGTTACTCTTTAATTAAGTGATGCAATCCAAGAGTATTTAAACTGAGTTCGATAGCGAATGTCCTTCCATCAAATTACATTGGGTTCTGTTATGTTTATTAAAGTATGTGAAGGAATTAATTGTTAGAAACCAAACCAAGTTAAAAAAAAATAAAGTAAAAAGACAATAATAATAATACAACATAAAAATTTATATAATTTAAAATTGTGCTTATTTTATCGCTACTCTAAAAATTTTTATTATAAATTTTCAATAAACTGCATACAAATAAAAAATAAATAAATAATATATTATTTTTATTTATAATATAAATAACTAGAGTTATAATAAAAAGGATTAATCGATCTATTTGTTTGGTTTAATATCATGTAAATCTTTCAAGAGTTTTACCTCCAATCTCTTGCAAGAGATGTCTTACCGCACTAAATAATAAATTTCATTTACGTCAATTTCTATAATTGAATATTAATGTATTTTGATCTCAACCATTTGTGGTTAATTAAAATTACAGGCTACATTATGTAGTAGCAGAAGAGACATAAATTCTTGTCAAACCTAGCTTCTTCACTTCTTTACTCGTTCATTGAACTTTTATGGGCATTAAATATAAAAGCTTATTGATTATATTATGAACAGAACTCTTTGGATATCCTAGCTAATTTTGTAGCTAAGCATGGTACTGTTGCTCTAGTCTTGACTAAGGGACACAACCTGCATGTGAATCCAGTCAAAACAAGCCTAAATTAATTGATATTTTAATCCTTAGCTTAGAGCTACTTGAATTAAAATGAGTTTCAATGAATCAAATCATTTAAGCGGGCGGTAACATTTTAAATAGCGACAGCATGATAATATCCTCGATAAGAGAGGGCTACCTAATTAATTAAGTTAAACATCATAAGGTTAAGCCAGGTAATGTTATAGACAAAAATTGAAAAACACAAGGGGAAAGCGAACTAGATGCATGTGAAGTGAAAGGAAAAAAATTTAGGATGTTCATAAAAATGTTTTTATCAGTATGGACAAAAAGGGAATTCAATCCATTAATGAGAAATTACTAATATCTGGGTTAAAAATTATCGAGAATAAAACTTGAAACGGCCCTTTTTTTATTTTTTTCCCAACTTGAAATGACTGGTTCTTATTACAAAAATTGAGGCAGCAATCACTACGGAATCACATCCCTTAACGAGCCAAGAAAAGATAGAAACAGTTTTACACCACAAAATCCACACGTGCAGTTCTGACAAAACAGAAATGTTAAATGTACCGTTTCTGGAAAGGGGGAGTTGGATTTGGGACCATTTTTTTCTTTTTGGGCTCGAGTAAGGGATATCCCAGGATTTCGAAATGGCCTCAAGTCCTGCTCTCTGCTGCATGCTCAATTTTGGTTTATGAAGCAATATTACCGGCATCCATTTCACGATTAAAGTTCGTAAAATGGGTGGCCAGAGACAACTGAAACTTTGGGTTTGGTAATAGATTGATGAGGTTCTTGAATTTTGGACGAATAATGAAATTTCAAGTTGGTTTGAGAAAGTTTTAGAGAATAACTCTTGCAGTATCATGATCTTCTTTAGCGTAAATCCTTACGAGCTTGTAATTTCTGAATTTACGATTCTCCCTATTATTGCCAACATGTGCTCCCCATTTTATAGGAATTTTCCAAATTTATTAATGTCAATTAAATTACATCTATCAATAAGTTGTAGTTCAATTGAAGTTAATGTTCTTCTTTCTTTTTTAAAAAAAATTGAATTCGAACCTTTTTTTTTTATAATTGAACAACAAAAATATAAATTCAAACCTTTTTCCTTATAATTGAAAAAAATATTTATTTTGAGGTGGAAAATAATGGTTGTGATGGACTAATCTTCTTTACAAAATCCATATTCCCAATGTCGAACCAAAATAAATTATTTAATTATAGAAATTTTGGACTTTCAATATATTAAAGGATTATCTCACTTAACTCAAAAGCTTAAACTGTTAGATAAGATTCCGGATAACGACTTAAGCTTTTGAATTAGATAAGATCTCAAAATATAATTTATATTATTTTCTAACACATTTCTCAAGTGAAAGTCTTAATATTTGTATTTGAAACTTGCATGCGATCCACATTATCTTGTACTTAATACTTGAAAAAGAGAGAATGGTGAGGTTTGAATACAAAATCAATTGATAATCAAACCTCGATATCATATTAAAGGATAATCTTATCAAAAAATTTAAACTATTAGATAATATTTCATGATATAATTTTTATTATTTTCTAACACAATATGAAGTTCAAGATTTAAATTTTATTTTTCATTTTTTTTATGATCATCTTAGAATTTATATCTGTTTTTTCGATTTAAAAAACATAAAAGTTTGAAACTCTCGTTTTAAGACTAATCTGTATCTATAAAGTAACTAAAGAGCGGTCATTTCCTGGGTTACCCAAAAAGTAATCCATCTGTCCTAAATTATTGTACGAATGTGCGGTTCAATAATGTCATCTACGATTTGACCAAATGGACGCATATCCAGAAGCATGACTCCTTCAACTTCTTCAGGTACCTCCTTGCTTTGAAGTTGTCTAGTTTCGGTACTGTTTAATGTGAAGAGCATAAAGAAAGTTTTTTCCTGCTCATTCCTCATAATCAACTATTATGGGACATGAACCCGTGAATGTGATCTGAAAGCGTCTGGTAGGGGTTCGGATTTTAGTAAGTTAAAAAGGATTTTGAAAACCTGTCCTTGATTTCAAGCATGCATAGAACAAAACATCAGGGTCCCACAATAAATCACGAGTCATACCAAGTATCATGGAGTTGTTTGTACTAATTTTATTATTGGATTACCATAACCTAGTATTTCTGATAATTAAATATCATTAACTGATAGGATAAGATCAGCTGCATGCAAAGATAGATAAATGAGGAGTAGATTTGGCCATATGGATGTTACTTTTCAAGCGTTCGTTGTTTTGGCTTTTGGTTAGGGGAGTCGTTTGTTGTGGCAGACCACTAGCATATGCACGTCCAAAATTGATAAAAACTTATCATAGATCAGGCCCCATTCCTATGTGCTAAAAACTAATTGGTCCAATTGATGAAATTATTGTAACCGATTTGAAAGGGATTAAATGTGAACAATGAGAGTCGTGATGGAAGAGGGTTTTTTTAATACGAATTGAGATAATAAAATGAAAAATAAACTTCTGAATAAACTATTAAAAATATACTATATTTAGATGGTGAGAATACCCTGCATATTTATTTTTAGAAAATTACCCTTTACTTCTTAAGATTTTAATAATTGTATAAGAAAAAAATACTATGCATTATAATTCCATTTACATTGTAAAAATTCCGAGTTAAAAAAATTACAAGTTTGCCATTATTTTTTTAAATACCTACAATGCCTTTAGGAAGCATTTCTTGTACTAAAAGATTACACATTAAACTCCGTTTATTTATATAAGTACGGAATTTGAATGACCCACATTTCCAACTAATTTTCAATCATAAAATGTTTGGTTACTAAGAAAATCATCCCAAGAAAACAATTCCACCTGATTTCTCAACATCCAAACAAGCCCTAATTCCTCGAAAAAAAAATCCTAGAACAAATAAAGGCTATATTTCCTCAACGCCTAAAAAAAATAATCACAGAAGCAAAAAATAAATAATGGAACTTTGCAAATACACCATGCGTAACACCATCACCACAAGTGTGACCGTCGACAACACCACCACCACTACCACAGTGACGTTAGGCGAGAGAGAAGGACCATTGCTCCTGAGTTGCCTTTGTTGCTAGGACTGAGTCCGTTGCGCACAGCTTGTTTTTTGTAGCACCTAGGTTCGATTATAGCCCGCTTGACATTTCAGTCTTACAGGAGGGGAAAGAACAAAACCCGCAGACAATACAAATCTTTATTGTTGGCTATTGGCACCTAAAGTAGAGCCTGAAGTGCTCCCTAACACCATCCCATGAGTGCCACCACTAACAATACCGCCGCCACCACCACGAGCACTATTAAATCTGCGTCTTCATCGATTATTCCTCCTCTTGTCAAAGTCCATGAACATCAATGTTAGACCCAATAAAAAGGCACCATAGAACACTTAGATTTGAAGAGATTTGAGAGTTTTAGATCCGTTTTCTTTATGGGATTTTGCATAGGATTGTAAACATATAAATTCAATTCAAACATTTTGTGATTTAAATACCTTTTTTTGTTTAAAAACTTTAAAATAAAAAATTAGGGTTTCACATACCTCCTTGATACATTTGATTTGTCTTCGATTTTTGTTCAAACAATCAAACAAAGCTTCCATCAACCACAAGAGAGACAAATATAAGGTTTTTTTTTTAATCAAATTTACTGGATTAATTGAGCGATTTTGGTCATTTTTTGTCCTCTCTCTGTTCAAACAGAGAAAGAGACGACGAGAAAAAAAATGCTTAGGTGGCATGTGAGGTTAAATATATATATATATATATATATATATATATATATATATATATATGAGAGTATTTTAGATTTTTTGCATTTCATATGTTTGAAATTTAACTGTAAAATATATAAAGTGTAAAGTGTTATTTTTAAAAAATAAGGATATAGATGTTTCCGTCACCTAAACGTACTCTGTTTTTAGTAATTTACCCTAAACTTAAACCATTTAAGGGTGCACCTGAGTCCTCTAATGTGCAATGTGAACTCTTTCAAAAACAGGACAGACGTCGTCCGACATGGGATCGCAAAGTCAATACTGAAGAGGATGGCGGAAGGTATAGAGTCCTCTGCAATCTGATAGCCTCGAACTCACAGAGCGTCTTGTAGCGGCAGATACAAGATTCTCTCCTCTCTGCCTAATCAGATGCAGCAAAACTCAATTCATTAAAGTTAATATTAATTGATTAACTCCATTTGGACCTTTCTACGGTTTTCCTCATCTTCAATTAACTAAGTTCCCTTCACTGTACCAACTACATGGACTACGCGAACTAAATGGTAAAGAGCCACTATTTTTGCTAGCCTCACTCCTTACAACCCAACCCAACCCAATTCAACCGAACCAACTTTTCTTTTATTCTGCATCCTTTTTTACATCCAAAAATATACCATTGACGAAAGATACTGCTAAATTTATAGTATTATGCCCCATGTCTAGTTATAAGTTCCATTCATTACACCCACAACACATTAACCACATTAACTGCTTCTCTAGGCCTCTCCTCTGCTCCAACCTTTATTCTCATCGATTTGGTCACCAGCACAACTACAACTACAGTGGGTCACCATCACCATCTCCCTCTCTCTCTTTCTCCAACTATGAATATGTGAAGTGCAGTTCAACTCTGAGCATGGTTCAGCAGCTCAAGAAATCATGAGTTCCAGTTCCATCAAATATCTTCATTTCTTTGCTTTCTTTCTTCTTGGTTTTCTAGTTCCAACTTTTGCTCTTAACACAGATGGGGTACTTTTGCTTTCTTTTAAGTACTCCGTCCTTAGGGACCCATTATCAGTCTTGGAAACCTGGAACTATGACGATAAAACACCATGCTTGTGGAAAGGAGTGACTTGCACAGAATTAGGTCTGCCAGGAACTCCAGATATGTTCAGGGTCACAAGTTTAGTCCTCCCCAATAGTCAGCTTCTGGGTTCTATCCCACCAGACTTGGGCTACATTAAACACCTTAGACATCTTGATCTTTCCAACAATTTCTTGAATGGGTCCTTGCCAAGTTCATTTTTTAATGCAACTGAGCTACACGTGATTTCTCTTTCAGGAAATGAGATCTCAGGTGAGTTGCCCGAGTCTGTTGGTGGATTGAAGAGTCTACAATTGTTGAATCTTTCTGATAATGCCTTGGCTGGGAAGGTACCTGAAAGTTTGACAGCTTTGCAAAATCTTACAGTTCTTTCTTTAAGGACTAATTACTTTTCAGGTTATGTTCCTAGTGGGTTCAATTCTGTTGAAGTGCTAGATCTGTCTTCTAATCTACTCAATGGTTCTCTGCCTCTTAGTTTTAGTGGGGATAATTTGCATTACTTGAACCTCTCTTACAACAAGCTTACAGGACCAATTTCCCAAGCTTTTGCGAAGAGAGTTCCAGTGAATGCAACTATTGATCTCTCATTCAACAATCTAACTGGAGCAATCCCAGAGTCTCTAGCTTTGCTCAGCCAAAAAACAGAGTCTTTTAGAGGAAACGTGGATCTTTGTGGCAAACCATTGTCAAATCTTTGCTCAATCCCATCAAGTCTCTCTACTCCACCAAATGTTACAACTACTTCACCAGCTATTGCAGTCATACCCAAACCACTAGACTCAAGCACCTCACAACCAAACTCAACAGCAAACACTCAAAATCAAGCCAAAAGTGGGCTAAAGCCAGCAACAATTGTAGCCATAGCAGTCTCAGACTTGGTCGGTATAGCCATTCTTGCTCTAGTCATTCTTTATGTGTACCAAATCAAGAAAAGAAAAACTCTTGTCAACCAAACCAACCCACAAAATAAAGAGCAAAAATTCTCACTTCCTTCAAAAACTGTTGTTGTAAAAGAAGAGACAGAACCAAGAAAGCCCGCAAAATGGCCATGCCTAACGTCAAAAGGAGAAGAAACATCAGAAACAACAACTTCTGATGATGATGATCGAGACGATGAAGATAACAACAACACAAACTATAGCGAGAGCAATCAAGAAAAAGATGGAAAGCTAGTGATAGTAGACGGGGAGACGGAACTTGAATTGGAAACCTTGCTAAAAGCATCAGCTTTTATACTGGGAACAAGTGGAGGAAGCATAGTGTACAAGGCAGTTCTTGGTGATGGTACTGCGTTTGCAGTGAGGAGGATTGGAGAGAGTGGAGTGGAGAGATTAAGAGACTTTGAGAATCAAGTGAGGCTTATAGCTAAAATAAAGCATCCAAATTTGGTTAAGGTTCGTGGGTTTTACTGGGGTAATGATGAGAAGCTCGTTATCTATGATTATGTCTCCAATGGCAGCCTTGCAAGCTCTGGTCACCGTAAGTTCTCTGTTCTCCCTCTGTTGCTAGCGCATGTTAGCATATTACTCTACTTTTTGCTAAGTGATACTAAATTATCTGGTGAATATTAATAATATTTTTTCGTGATTTTTGCTAACATGCACACTTCATCTTCCTGCACTTCACCTAGTATTTGAGCGCTGATAGAGCAAAAATCTAGGGCTTGGCTAAACTAGGCTATTTGAGGTTAACCGTTGATTTTCCACATGGGACCAATCGCTAGTTGATCAGACGGTCCAAAACTAATGAGTCAAAACTTTCTCTCTCTGTTTTTTTTTTTTTTTTTTTTAAAAAAAAAAAAAGGAGCCAAAACTCTTTAGTAAAGCCTGATTTTATGGTATGTAAGTAAAGTCCGGGCCACCTGTTTAACTTTAATTTGATTAATAATCAGGTTATTTTGAGGTCGTCTTTCGAGTATCAAAGCTTAATTTTTTAAATGATCAGGTTTTAGAAAGAACACTTATACCTATAATAGCTAATGGTTTAGCACTAAAGAACACTTATACCTATAATAGCTAATGGTTTAGCACTTGTTTAAAGTTTTAATTAGGATTGGATTTGGTAGCTAATTGATATTGGAGGAATATTTATTTGTTTCTAATCTCTATAAAGTTTACAATCAAAAGAAAACGCATGGGGCGCCAAATCACGTGTCGCTTTCGTAGAAAAACCGCAACCAAAGACCGACTTTTTACTTTTTTTTTTTTTTTTGTAGATTACTTATTTTTAATTTAACAGCGCCATTTGTTAATTCCAAAGAAAACAACAACAACAGACCATAAGTTGTTGTCTAGCAAATCTAGGAGACATCTTCCTTGAGCTCGTGTTTACTCCTCGTGAGTTTTGGTCTGTGTTTATTTGTCGGCATCTTATTATTGTGAGTTTAATTATATTACGAGCTGGGTTTGATACGCTATTCCTCGTAAAGTTTATATTAATTAACAACCAATGAAATTAGTCTCTCTCTAATTATTAAACGGTTAATTAATACCCCATAAAGTTAAATGGCCTGTCTAAAGTTTGGGTACAGAAAAAATACAGAGTTTGATTCTACAATTTGGATTGTATCAATAAAAAATTATTTAAGCTTACTAAAGTCATTTTCTGACTGTCACTCATCTAAATTTGATTAACCTTTTGTGTGATGCAATGCACGAAGATTTACAATGTGTCTGCGACGTCTTAGACTTAACCGGAAAAAACTGAATTTAAATGTGGCTTCGTTTTTTTTTTTTTTTTCCCTGATCAAATCTGTTATTATTTCTGTAAAATTCAGGAAAACCAGGTTCCTCACCAAGTTATCTACCACTTGAAGTCCGTTTGAAGATAGCAAGAGGTGTAGCAAGAGGATTAGCTTTCATTCATGAGAAGAAACATGTGCATGGCAACATTAAACCAAGCAACATCCTCTTAAACCTTGACATGGAGCCACTAATCTCGGATTTCGGACTAGACCGGCTTGTCTTGGGCAACAATAGCAACAAAGCAAGCAGCTCGGGCCGCCATTTAATTGGTATCCAAAGGTCAAGCTCCATGGCACTAGACCACTCTATCAATGCCAGCCACTATGCACCTCCCAGCTCCTCCTCGGCCAGCTCATTACCATATCAAGCGCCTGAGTCGTTAAACAATCCAAAGCCAAACCCTAAATGGGATATCTTTTCATTTGGAATTGTTTTGCTTGAGCTTCTCACTGGGAGAGTGTTTTCAGATGGAGAATTGAGTCAATGGACTGCCGGTTCAATCATGGAGGACAAGAGCCGGGTTCTGAGGTTGGCTGATGTGGCAATCCGTACCGACGTGGAGGCTAAGGAGGATGCCATTTTGGCATGTTTCAAGTTGGGGTTTAGTTGTGCTTCTTTTGTACCCCAAAAGAGACCGTCCATGAAAGAAGCTCTTCAAGTCCTAGAGAAGATCCCTTGCTCTAATATTTCAAACTAATCATATAGTCGGGTCCCATAAAAGTGTCCTTTGCTGTATTAAAGCGTATTGCTTCTTTTTATCTTTTGTTGACTTGAATGTTGCCTAAGAACATAAGGAATGTGGATATCTTAATCGTATGAGAAATTGATGTGCGTACTTTTGATTAATTAATCATACGTTATTTCCCCTACATAATACTTTTGCTACCGACTAATTTTTATTTAATTTGTAGCAATATTTGTCTGCTTGGTTTATAATTTGATAGTTTCTAGGGTTGAAAAGATTCGATTTGTAATATAACCTATTCTTTAGAGGAGAGGCGTGGCTACTGCTAGCGATCAATCCCTTCGTCAAATTTAGAAATGAAGATTTTTTCTTTTTTAGAGTTTACAAAATCTTTGGATTAGTTTTTGTATATTAAATCTAAATCTTCTCCTGATCAAACTTTACGTAAATTATCCACATTAAAATTTGATGTATTCATGAAACAAGGATTTCTCATATATATATATATATATATATATATATATATATATATATATATATTCGAATCCAAGATAATGATCTAACGAGCTAATTTTAGATTTACAATACTTACTTTGGAGTGGTATAGTATAATTTAATCATCATCCGACGGTATCTATTTTGTTTGTTTCATTGTGTTCCTTAATGCTCTGAAATTGATTGGTTTCGTATTCTGGGTGTAAAACATAATGGATCGGTTGGGTTTTTGGCTGGAGAAGGAACAACTCCAACAGGTTGTTATAAATATGGGAATTAAAGCAGCAGACCCATTCCTTAAAGCGACAGCATAAAATAATCAAAATCATTGTCAGTGTCGCGATCCTAAAATGGACCGTTGTGGTCTCTGGATGTTCGCGATTCGACACCAATGGACAGGGAGAGGGCTCCTTATACCAACCCAATACGGAAGCTCTTTATGTTAAAAATCTTTATGCAGCATAATTACAAAATAATCTAAAAGAAAAGGATAAAACACTATAACGACAGCAACTGTTTATTTATTTTTTCTTCCCTTCTTCCGTCGTATTCCTCAGCTTCCTTTTGCTTTTAGTAAACTTTACTTTTGTATTAGTCCATGTTTTATAATTTTTTTTTATGATTAAAATTTTATTATATTTAAGTTTTGTCCCTATAAAAAAAAATTATAATTTTTTATTGATTTCATTTTAATTCCTAAAAATTCTAATCCCTTTATTGATGCACTGTAAATGCCTTTTCGTTTTTTTGTTTTTTGGTTTTTTTTATATTTTTTTTCATCAATTTATGATTTTTTTTATTTGATTGGATGTTAAAATTTTGAAAAATTAATTTTTTTCTTTACTTTTTTCATCAATTTATGTTCTTTTTTTAATTGGGCGTTAAAATTTTAAAATATCGATCATAACTTTTTTCCACACAAATTGAACATTTTATAATATATCTTTTGTATTGTGAATTAACATATACTTCAGCTTATATTACTTTTATTATTTAAATTTTAATATTTGAATTTATCTTTTTTTTTTATAAAAATTCTTATCCAATTAATATTTTTTATGTAAAATTTTATTTACTGATATTATATAATTTATTTTTCTCTATAATTGAATTTTAGAATAAAATTTTAAAACATGATTTTTTTCTTTTTTTAAAAAATAAATTGGTATAACATCACACACACACACACACACACACATATATCATGAATTCTTAGAAATTTTACATGATAGTTGCATATATATAAATGAATAAATATTTTATTCTACAAGGTTAAAAATATATTTTAAATAATTTATCTCAGTTCACTAAATATGGTCAAGACATATAAAAAAATTATTGAATCGTTCATTTTATTAAAATTAACTCGTACATCTTTAACATAATACAAATTATTTACTACGAATATTTTTTTTAACATTATAGAACCAATTTATTCGAAATAAGATAATTAAAATAATTTTTTAAAGGAACCAACCAATTATTCAAATATTTTTTTATGCTAATTTTATTGATTAATTTGTCAATACATATATATAGATCAATTGCATATACTTGAAAAACAAAAATAATCTTCTCACCAACATTAAATAAGAATAAAATTTTATTTTTTCATTGATTAATTCTTATGCAAGTCTATACATTAAATATAACTTTATTTTTTAAATTCATTATTATAAAAAATATAATTATAAAGTTTTTTTAATTCTTAATTAATTTTTTAGGTTTAAATTATTACAAGTTTTTATTTAAAAATTCCTAAATAACGAAGAATAAATCATACTTTTTAAGTAGATTTTATGAAAAACACACAAAAAATAATAATAACTAAATAAAAAATTATTACATTTTGAAATAATTTTGTTTTATTTATCGATAGCGTTATATGGATAATTTCAAATTTTTTTTATCACCAGCATTAAATCGAAGTTTTTTCATTTGTTAATTTTTATCAAAGTCTCGTCAATTAATTATAGCTTTTTTTAGAATATAATATTATAAAAATTATATTTTTAAAAATTTTTTAATTCTTGATTAATATTTTAGTTAAAATTATTATAATTTTTAATTTTAAAATCAATTCATAGAGAAGAATGAATTTTTTTTTTAATAGAGAATTTATAAAACATTAGAAAAATTAATCAAATTAAATATTATAACTAAAAGCATTAAAATTTTTAAATAATTTTGTTATATCAGATCTATAGTGTAGCGTAAGAAGCAAACTAGCATCTCCTAAGCTCGGTGAGAAAAATGTGATTCTCATTTGTTCATATGCATTAGTTAATTATTAACCATTTGTAGAACACGTAGCAGGTAGAGAAGGCCATGTAGTGTAACTGTTAAGGACCGAAGAAAATGTGGCTAATAGTATAATTATTAAATTTGATAGATCAGTTATGTCTTTTTTCTTATAATTCTAATCGTACTTATAATTCTAGTCATACATATTATAGATAATGATAATGTCTTTTATATTTATGAATTGTCAATTAAAAAATGCTCATAAAAATTCTTAATGTAATCGTAAAACATACATAACTATTAAATTACGTAAATATTTGTATTATGTAATTTTTTATTTTTTTATTCGTTTTCTAACTATACTGTAAAGTATAAGCCAAGACATTGATCCTTTTATTACCTACCAGAGTAGCATTTTTTCCTTCTTACACAAACAACAGTGGAGGTTTGTATATCTCTGCGTTCCTTTAGACCCTACATGTTAGTCTTTTATGGTTTAGGACTAATATTAGATAATTATGATTTAATGAATCAAGACTGATAGCCTTAGGTCACAGGTCTTTTAGTCTCCGTTTATTTTGTTTTTTCTAGGAAAAAAACCTTCCTCTGTCTTAAACCAAGTTCTTGCCATTTCAACGTATAACCCTTGTTGGCTAAGGAGAGTAACTGTTAAATTAATATTATAAACCAATGATAGGAGATATCTTATATCTTAAATTAAATTCTTACCACTTGAGTTAATCCTCGTGGATTAAGAGGAACTATTGTTAAATGGTTATTATTATCACTGTTATAAAGGACTTCAAAGTTCAATCAAGACATCCCTATATTTTAAGCCAAGCTCAGACTAATTGAGCTAATCCTCGTAGTTTATGGGGAATAATTGTCAAATTACTATCATAACTAATTTTTATATAGATCTCGCCAATTAAAGTATCCGATGGAATTCATAGTACTAGCCAATTATAACAATAGAATTCATTGCATCAGTCAATTTGTTTAACCTGGACCACAAATCCGTGTTTAATAACAAATTTTCGCTTAACAGAGGTGCTAGTGGGTTGCAATCTCAGGCTGAATGATCAAAATCATTGCCAATTAAGATTGCTTCAACGCTATATCAGGTAGAGATGAATTACATGAACGCTAAAGTTTAACACTCAAATGTCACTTTTGGTAACTATACTCTTTCTGTTTTCTCAATACAGTAAATGTACTTTTGTTTTTCTTAATCCTTGCACTCCAGAGTAGAAGAAAGATCACGTTGTTAATTGAACATAGAGTGGAAGGATCACCTTGGGCCTCTTGGGGGGGGGGGGGGGGGGAACATGCAAGGACTGTTGAAAGAAATATTGTTGTGCAGGGTTCATTATTAATAATGACAGATGGAGGACCCCTATCATTGACAGAAAGTAGAGAGTGACGATCAAACTAAGAAACGAAAAAAATACAAGGATCACCACTCGTCCAACAAACTTCCCAATATCTAGAAAGTTATCTAGCTCCATACACAAGATTCTTTTATTGGGACCTTGTGTAAAATTTTATGGTCCAATGCCACTCTTTGCAATGGTCCTCGAGAGGATGAAAGTTTACTAGTTTAGTTGCAAGTTGTTACTTCTAAGTCAAGAGATAAACCGATGGGTTTGTTGCTAGTTGTTTCTTCTAAGGCAACAGACAGCCCAATGGGTCACTTGGGCTCAATAGTCAAACCCAGAAACCAACCCAATTTTTTTTTACGTAACCTGAGACTTGAAGTTCGACCATAATTATTTTGGTTTAATCGCAAATTTTGCTCCTATTTTCAGGGGTGTTCATTGTTTGATTTTAACCGAATAACAAACGAATCGAATCAAAATATTAATTTTGGTTTTATTTTTTTCTGAAATTTAAAAAATAAAAACCAAATTAAAATTATTTCGGTTTTTCGAGGCTTGGTTTGGTGAGAACCGAATTATTTTTTAAAGAGAGAACAGTTACCATGTTCTTTTTCCTCTTGAGTAATTATACAGTAACATTAAAGTTTTGCGATCATTTACATAAATGTTTATGTTTAAACGTGATTGTTTATATAAATTCAATCTTTATTACAAAGAAGCAACATAAAAATGCATAAAAATTTAACATAGATATTTATATTTCAAAGTTGATTTTGCCAATATGTTCAAATACCAAATCTCCAACCATAGGACCACATTGAGCAAAAAGTATATGATCATCCACAAAACATGAGATTTTGTATCAAATATTAATAGCTCAACAAGATTTTTTTTTTTTTTTGGGTTTTTCCCAAAAAAAGAAAAAACTAGTAAAAACCAAATAACCGAAATCAAAATTTTGGCTTTTTAATCAAAATATTGAATAACATTTCGATTCGGTTTTCTTTTTGAAAATTTAGTTAATCAAAAATTAGTCAAAATATTTTGAAACCGAACTAAAAAATCAAATGAACACCGCTGTCTATTGCGATTTGATAATTTCGGATTCATGGTATCAAATAGTATAATTTGAATTTCAAAGTATTAGAGATTGAGCAAATGTGATCCAAATTGCTCAATCTCCGTTATGTGTAACAGATCAATCGAGTTGATCGTTCCACTCGTTAATTATTTTAAAATATTTTTAACCCTCTAATCTTGATTTTTTTTAAAATTTTATTATTTATAAATATTTTTAACCCCCTTAATTTTGAATTTTTTATTTTTTTATAAAATATATTTTTTATAATTTATAAAGTTGGGGGATCAACATTTAATTATGCTCATTTTAATTTATAAAATATTTTTTAAAACTCGAAATCGTGTATTGTTAATAATGTTTTTTTTTTTTTACAATAGCATTTTGTAAGAAACAATTGAACAAAAGTTCAAAATTAGGAGGTCAAAAATATTTATGATATTTTATAAGAAAAAATAGCTTAAACAAATTTAAAATTAAAGGGGTTAAAAATATTTTAAAAAAGACATAATTAATAGAGAAATGTCAAAACGATGTTATTTTGATATTTCGAGTAACTTTAGATAACATTTATCCAATGTTTAATACATTAAAATTCAAATTAAGTAATTTATTTGTTGTTTGGTGATAAGGAATTGGGTGATGGGAATGAGAATGCAGGAATCGAAATAGCATTTATATTCTCATACCGTATTTGAAATACTAATGATGAATTGGAATACAATTTAAATTTTTGAATATCTGATTTTTTATACAAATAAAAATAATGATTAAAAAATAATTTTATCAAATCATAATAGTTGTAAAAATAATAAAGATGACGATGGTGATAATGGTTATGAAAGTGGTGGTAATAGTAATGATGATGGTGATGATAAAAATAATTAATAGATAATAAATAAATAAAATATATTATTATTTTGAAAAAAATTATTCTCATTTATCATTTTTATTCTCACGTCTTATACGAGAATAAAATTATATGTAAATTTTTATTTTATTTCTTTTGACAAAACAACTATAACGTAAAAATAAAACTTTAACGACTGTATTCTTCTTATCAAACAGCAACTTAATATTATAAATTTAAAATTATCAAATCACACTGAACCAAGGTAAAAGTTGTCATTAAACCTAATTATTTCCTGAGCTTTTCTTCCCACTGCAGCTGGAAGAGGAGAAAGAAATGGGACTTTGAGATATTTTTTTCTGTAAGCCCTGTGGGTAATACGGCAGCCTCGTAAGCTGATAATCAGGAAATGGAGGAATTGACCCAATCAACCCAAAAGATTTTCATATTAGGAGGACAGAGCAACATGTCCGGTCGCGGAGGCGTCATCAAAGACTCCCCCAACAACCAGAAGCTCTGGGACAGGGTGGTACCACTAGAGTGCCAGCCTCACCCAAACATCCTCCGTTTATTAGCCGAACTCAAGTGGGAACCAGCAGCTGAACAAATTCACGCCGACATTGACAAGAAAAAGGTTTGTGGGGTGGGGCCCGGCATGTCGTTCGCCAACGCTGTGAGGGAGCGGATCACCGGGGTGGTGGGTTTGGTGCCGTGTGCGGTGGGTGGCACGGCTATTAAGGAGTGGGCTCGTGGGGAGGAGTTGTATGAGAATATGGTGAAGAGAGCGAAAGAGAGTGTGAAAGGCGGTGGAGAGATTAAGGGTTTATTGTGGTTCCAAGGAGAGAGTGACACATCCACTCAGATTGATGCTGATGCATACCAGGAGAACATGGAGAAGCTGATTGATAACGTTAGAGAGGATCTTGGTTTGCCTTACCTTCCTATCATTCAAGTTAGGTTTTCACTACTTGTGATTTTCTTAATTTCTTGCATAGGATAATCGTACTACAAGCACATCAAGTTTTAACGATTGAGACTCAATCGAGTAAATAAACTTTATTTTTGAACTGTCTTAATTAGTCATTTGATGTCTTGATTAAGTTGCAAAATATATATATATGTTATGTAGGTAGCACTTGCATCAGGATTGGATGATAACTACATGGAAAAAGTAAGAGAAGCACAGCTAAAGATTAATCTCCCAAATGTGATATGTGTGGATGCCAAGGGATTGGATCTCAAGGAGGATCATCTTCACCTAACAACTGAATCTCAGGTTAAGTTGGGCAACATGTTGGCTGATGCTTACCTCAAACATTTTGCAGCATCCCATTGACCTTTTCTTCACATGCCTGCTTTCCTTGCTTAAACAAATAAGGAGAAAAAAATTCCCACTGTTTGTTATATTGAAGTGATGCAATGTGATATCAGAACTTTAGCTAGATTTAAGCTACGTGTGATGAACTTGAAGCCTCTTGATTAACCTTAACAGGTTTTATTTGAACTTAATTTATGTTGTTGTGTCTCTGCCCCCATTTATGTTGAATGTACTGGGCCATTCTCAATCTCCACCGGAGTGGTGTGAGATCAAAATAAATCATAAATAAACTGAAAGGGAGTATTCAAGATATATCTTTCCATAAAGAACGCTATGATCTTTATATTTTTTGTATGTTTATATGAATCAATTGAATATTCCGATTGGTGTTCGGATGATTAGGATTCATAACATAAAAAGATTGTTAATTTACTTTCTAGAAAACGCTATACAAGCAATATATATATATATATATATATATATATATATATATATATATATATATATATATATATATATATATATATATATATTGAGTAGCTTTGTACAAATGATTTATAAGAAAAGGAAATCTTCAAACTTTCATATGGAAAAATTGTTAAATTAAATCGGGTCAGTGCACAAATAATCTTGATCCATGACCTTGAAGTTCAAAGCCTTATATATATATATATATATGAGCAATTCAAAGGAAAAATGTAAATATTTATCGAATTCTATTTATTTTAAAAGTAAATTATATATAAGTTCTTTTGTTTTGAGAAATGAATGAATTAATTCATTTTGTTTCAAAAAATAATCATTTAATGTGTCATGTTTTAATTTTATCAATAACTTATTTTTTTTATTTTATGTTAAAAATAACTTAATTTTTTTTTCAATTTTATGTTAAAATGGTGAAGAAGTGTATTTTCACTCCAATATTTTTTTGTTCTCAAATTACTTTCTCTCTCTCTTTCTGCATCATTTCTCTCTTTCTCTTTTTTCAAGTACTAAACAAATCCTCATTTTTTCTTCTCAATCTCCACTTCTCATTTTATTAATTTTCTTTTTTTTTCTTTCTTCTTAAACACCAAAACATATGTCCATTGACTGATATATATATATATATATATATATATATATATTTTAAGTATTAGGTATTAATTAATTTTTAAACCGATAGAGACTAATTAATTTGTTTCTAGAAAGAAAAAAGACTAATTTATAATTTGCTCTTCATTTTATGAACAGAAACAAATAGGATGGATTATGTATAAAAATTTCATGACCGGAAAATTTTGTGTATAAAGTTCGAAGCTCGAGGTCTAAAGAATACTAAGAAAAGGTGCTAGTGGCAACAGACTATTTTATTGGGGTAAATAATCCACTATAACGAGTTTGAGGAGACTTGAATCTCCTCTTATCCTCTTCGCCCATTGTCGATCTTCAACTTGTCCATTCCAACAAGAAAGTGATTCAACAAAATAGCCCGGATCGAAATATATATCCCATAAGGGAGAATACCAGAAAATTATTCAAAAGCATCCCTCCTTCAATTCTCCAACCAAAACCAACTCTCACTACAGCTACATGAAATGGATAGAATGCCCAAAACAACCAAACAGATCTTCATATTATCAGGTCAAAGCAACATGGCCGGTCGCGGCGGTGTTTACAAAGACCACCACCACCACAATCACCAGTACTGGGACAAGGTAGTCCCACCAGAATGCCAACCAAATCAAGACATCCTCCGTCTATCAGTAAAACTCCAATGGGAACAAGCACAGGAACCACTCCATGCTGACATCGACTCAAAAAAGGTCTGTGGGGTTGGTCCCGGCATGTCATTTGCTAACATGGTGCGGGAAAAGATGGGGGCGGTGGTTGGGTTGGTGCCGTGTGCGGTGGGTGCCACGGCCATCAAACAGTGGGCGCGTGGAGAGTTGTTGTATGAGAATATGGTGAGAAGAGCTAAAGAGAGCGTCGAAGATGGTGGGGAAATCAAGGGGTTGCTGTGGTACCAAGGTGAGAGTGACACGTCTCATATTCATGATGCTGATGTTTACCAGGGGAACATTGAGAAGCTTATTAAGAACGTTAGAGAGGATCTTGGTCTGCCTTCACTCCCAATTATTATGGTAAGCTTCGTTTTATCACGTTATAGCATTACATCATGTTTTAGTAGGATTCATTAGAAAGTTCATAACACCAACTGATTCGTGTCGATCAAATCTGGCTGATCAGTTGGGGTAATGAATTAGTTGTTGAAGAAGGAATCAAGTAAAGTAAAAATATATACAATCACGTAAAATAAAAATTTATGTGATTCGATAAATGTAGTTATTTCATAATTATATTATAAATTTTTATTAGATTTTCATCGAGTGATAACATAAATATGAAATGTAAATATAAAACATTTCGTCTTTGTTTATAAAATAAACAACTAAAATTATAATAAAAAGATTTTACATATGAGTTTTTGTAACCTAACAAGTTATTTTTAGAATAAAATGTGGGCTACATACATATGAGTTTTTGTAACTTAACAAGTTATTGTTAGAATCAAGTGATTGACTTGGTCTTATATTATGAGAATTTTAATCCTCTTAAGGTTAAAAATGTTGCTTATTTGTGAATTTGATTGAATTGTGAATATTTATGTACTGTGTTAGTGTAGGTAGCAATTATATCGGGAGATGGTAAGTATGAGGAAAAGGTGAGAGAAGCACAACTGAGGATTAATCTACCAAATGTGGTATGCGTGGATGCCAAGGGATTAGGTCTCCAAGAGGATCGTCTTCACTTAACAACTGAAGCTCAGGTTAAGTTGGGCCATCTGTTGGCAGATGCTTACCTTAACAATTTTGCATCATCATGGAAACGTTTCTTTTCTTGTCTGCTTTGCTTAGCTTAAAATAAGGGGAATTGATTTGATTGTTGTTGAGTGGATTCTGTATTGTGCTGTTGATTTCCCTTTTTCTTTTTTAGCCTTTTGTTCATTTTGCTGATTCCGGACGTTGGTGGAGCAATTTATATTGATTGGAATTAAATAGTTAAATAAATAATTGATTGCTCAATGATGTTACAGTCTTTAAAGACAAGTTTATTTCTGACTATTCTAGAGAAAAATCAAGTGCCTGGGATCTTAGATCCAATGACGGATTCTATAGAAGCTATCAGGTCATTTCTTCAGACAAATCAAGTCCTTAGTTGCCAAATGGGCACCAAATAATTTTCAAACATCTGTTAGAATTTACCAAAAAGTTTGTAGTTAAGTAATAGTGATTTTTTATAATAAGTCATAGGTTTAAATCCTAATAAATTAATTATATTAAGGGTCTTGGGTGTGCAAAGTAATATATATATATATCTTTTAGAATTTTACCATATCTCTTTTTCAATAGATTTTGGAATAAAAAAAAAGTACTAAAAGCTGCTCTGTTCCCAAAACTATACCAAATTGGAATGCAAGTAATAGTAATGTGGTCAATTATTTGTTCAATGGTATATTTCACCTCTACAAATATTGGGTGGGGTAAAATAAGAATACCCTATCAATTTGGTCTATTTTATCCTTAAATCATTATTTTTTAAAATAAATTATGTTATTTCATCTTATTGAATACCGTCGATTAAAAAACTCAATATAATATTATTTTTTAAAAAATAGATTCAAACCTTATTTGTCCAAAAAATAAAAATTGAGGACAAAATAGATGATAAACAAAATCTTGTTTTTGGCACAACTCCAATGATGTAGAACTAAAATATACCATTGGACGGTAAAACATCCAAATCGTTCACCTACTCAGATAGCAGTAAATCTACATACGAATCTGTTCGAACCCCAACAACCCAGATCCAACTACCGTTTGTGTCCACCTTCCACTACGCTCCAAAGTCTTTGAGTCTCCTGGAATAAGCCATATAGATCCCTTACTTTGGATCTTGAAACCATTCCAGTCCTTAAAACCTCACGCGGTTGTGAGGAGCGTGGAGCGTTTATGTTTTTCAGGATGGTTAAATTGTGAATTATTAATTCTTATTATTAATAAAATAAAAGAGAAACTAAAGAGGGTGGAGGTTTCGCAGTCCATGTGAACAGTGAAAATACAAGTGTTTCGCTGTTCTTAGCTGCAGTGAAACCCTTTTAAAACGGCGTGTTTTCTGCTTTTTTGTCGTGAATGACGAAGCATTTTTTGGATTTTTGGGGTATCTGTTACACTTTAATCCTTAAATTATGGGTTCATATAAAATAGTCTATGAACTTCATTTGTATTGCCAAAAGCCCCTGAATATGGAGTGAAGAGAGAGAAGAGGGTTGACTTTTTGGGTTTCTATTGTTGCTCATAACGTAGTAGGATTTTTACACGCGCTACGCTGTGAGTCCAACAAAATATATAAAATTATTTTTAAAAATTATTTGATTTTAATATCTTATGTTATATTATGTGTCTATCAAAATACATCAAATTTTATATTTGATTGGTTATTTTTTATTTTTTCATAAATTTTTTATTAAAAAAATTATTTAAGAGTATAAAGAATGTTAAAACCAATGAATTCTTAGCAAAAATTTATTTTGTAATTTTTTTTAAATATTTTTTTATCTTGAAATTTTTTATTTAAAAAATCGGAGAAAAAAAGGACCAAAGTGATAAAAATGAAACAAAAAAGAGAGAACGAAATCAAACAAAAAATATTTTATGGATTGAAAATATCATATTTAAAAAAGAGTAACCAAAGTGCAATGTTAGAAAAACTTTCATTATAGATATATTAAAAATGTTTGAAAACTATAAAAATATCATTATAGAGTGAAAATAATAATATTTTTAAATATATATGAATAGTAAAATGAGTGTAAATAAATAATATTTTAAATAGTAAAACCAATAATTTTACTTCAATTTAATTTATAATTTTAAAGTTCAAATTGGTTTTTGCATGCTCTTGGGATGATTCTAAAATGTTTTTAGACGAACGTGGTGTAGAGATTAGGTCTCTATCACGAAATAGTCACCGAAGTTCTTGGCGGCGATTGTAGTGCCGTCGCTGTTGGTGAATGGTAGAGGGCTCATCGGTTAACACGTCATCTGCTTCTGTTTTATTTTTTATTTTCTTACATTCCGGGGCCGCATGCAAGCTTGGCTCGCACTACATCCCAGCCTTTGTCTTTGTTTTTTTTTTTCTTTTTGATATTTGCTCAATATCTTTTTTTTAATAATTAATAGTTGTTTCTTCCATTTATCATCCAGTCTCTCAAAACAATAAAGATTATTTTCCATAATTTTGATTTTTTTAAATAATATAAAACATAATGATTCTTCATGCAATCTTACAAAAAAAATAATGACTAATTGCTAATTTTTTTTTACAATAATAAAGGTTTGATAATTGATAATTAATCAATTTAAGATATATAATTTTAAAAAATTTAATGACAACAAAACTAAACAAAACGTATATAACACCAATTTTTTTCTTAGAAAAAAAACATTAGCGCTGACAATACATCATCACTGGTGTAAATAAAAATAATTTGATAGTAAATAATTTATCATCTTTTAGTTTATATTATTTCTTTACATAATATTCATCACTTCGAAACTGATCACTATCATTCAATGTTTTTTTTAAAAAGAAAAAACTAATATTCAGAATACATTGATGCAAAATTAGATTTTAAAAAAAATTAACTATGAAGTAGAGAATGATGAAGTATAAAAAAAAAAAAATTAACTATGAAGTAGAGAATGATGAAGTTTTTAAATTAATAGTTATGGACTCGTCCACTCCAACGTAAATTGCATGAGCACTCCTTTCTGTCGACTCTTGTCTTTTTTAATTAGATTTTAGGCTTTTGTTTGCTTTTTCATTTGTAAAATCAAACATATTTATAAAATATATTTTAACTAAAAAATAAAAACACGTATGAGATTACTAAAAAATAAAAATTAAATTAAAAATAATATTGGTTGGTTTTAATTTCGTTCACTTATATTTTCATAATTAACTATTAAAATATATTTATGAGATTACTCGTAGCAATGCATAACACACAAAACCAGTTACTAACAAACCAAAAGAGGAGGCCTTTTACTTTTCAAATCACTATTCATCCAACCTCTTTTCTTTTTTAATTTTTGGAACACATAGGCCAGGCTTGTTGAGCCCAAAGTCTCACTGTTTGGGCCTAATACAGCCTGCCCCTTTTTTTTTTTTTTTTTCTGTTTTTAATGTATTTTTGCCTTTTAATTCTCCAAAATTGCAGGTTTTAACGAACTTTATATATATATATATATATGTTTTGTGTGATGTGCATGCTTAGAATTATTTATAAATTTCAAAATATTTGTGATATATGCATATTATTCATGGAAAAATACGATTTCTTTCAATTCAACATATAATTTTTTGTGTGATGCTAAATTAATGGAATAAAATATTGAGATCTTATTGTATGAGAAAATTTATATCATGCAACAAACACACATGTAAATAAATTTTTTTGGTATCTCAACGAATTTTTACATTTTTCAATGATAGGCAACCCATCCTGCAACAATATATTTGCTGTTGCCTAAAATTTTTATTTTGATATATTGAGTTTATTATTCTTTTGTTTATTTTAAACACTTAATCAAATTAAATTTTAGGAACACACATGAATAAATAATTAATTACGAGTATAAAAAAATTATTATTAATGATAAGTATTTGAAAATTGTTGTCTTTGCGGTAAAAAGTATATCAAGCAAATTAATTTTAAAAATAATTTAAAAAACTTGAATAAATATGTTATTATCTACAAGAAAAAGAATAATTATTATCAGTGATAAATATATTACAATTGCTATTTCTTGAGTAAAAAACTATCAAGTGGTCAATTTTTTTAAAAAATATATTATAAGCTAAGAAAACATTTTTGAGGCGACAAACTTTAAATGCTACGAGCTCCTTGACATATTATTTATAGATTTAATATGAACTCATTTTCTTTGTTTCCATAAATTAATATTTATCTAACTTCTTTTTTTTTCTTTTTTGAATTCTAATGTTATTTCATTTAAAAAAAACTTGCATTCCATTAAACTAGCTACACACTCCGTACTCATTGATTAAGGTGTTTGATATAATGCAAATGTTGTAAGAGAGTTTTTGCCACCATGACATGGACAAGCTATATTTATAATGGGTTTTTGCCCATATTTGGACCATTTATTCTTTAAATTGTTTCAGTAAACATAATGTATTTTATTTTAGTTGATACCCTTTACTCTTTATTTTGTATTGTTTGACACCCTTTGTTATATCATTGTTTGTTGTACATAAACGTAACAATAACGAGCTGCGTTCATAACGGAATGTGTGAGACACTAACTTGACGTATCTATTTTTGAATGATTGACACATGTCATACACGAGATTCAAAAATAACATACAAAAATCTGATTGTGTAAACTTTTATAAATAGGGACCAAATTGTTTTTATGATTTAGAGGACCAAATATAAAAAACATTAACCTTAAGGACCAAAATAACTATTTTTTTTTAAGGATTGCACCACATTTTTCTTCTTTAAAATAGATAAATTAACTTTTGGTCAACATCAATATTGTTTTTATCTTAATTTTGATGGACATATTTGTACTCTTTTTTTTTAAAAAAAAATTTACATGTTATGTTTGTATTTTATTGTTTTAATTTATTATAATATTTTTTTAAAAAAATAATTTTTAAAGTTTTGTCGTGACAATGTCCTACGTGTGGTGTGTTTCACAACGTTTAATATGAGGTATTAAAAAAAAAAAACATGAAAACTAAAAAAGAAAAAACTAACATTTTGATCCTTATGATTTTTTAATTGTTTTGATCAAAACCTCTTACTATTTTAATATTTTTTTATTGTGGTTCTCTATTGAGATTCACTATGTAACACGTATCATGTATTCAAAAGTGAATGCTTTACGCCATCCCACAACTAATGATGCTATAACATATTGTCTCAAATAACACAAATTGGAAAGTAGATGATCTTGGTCAATAAAAAAAAAAATGTTCTCAATTAAAATAATTTGAAGAGTTAAGGGTCCAAATAGGAGCAAAACCCTTCCATGATCGAGCTCAAGCACCTACATCCTAAGAGCCTGTTCTGGTAATTAAAAAAATTGGGTCCTTTTCTTGATTTATTGGATTCAAACATTGGAGGCAACATCCAAGAAAATTTAATAAAATCTTCCGAATCCTTGGAATTGATACGAGGGTGTATATTTAAGATCATTTAAAGAAGAATTTAGTCTAGATCGATGTGCAAATAGATCGAAAAAAACCTTCAAAAATACTTATATTTTGACTAATTTTTAGTTTTGATAAATTGCTAGGAATTAGTAGGTTATAAAATAACATATTTAAAGTCATTAAATAATAAACAAGTACTTTCTCCTTCCTAAAAAGATTGTCTGCTTTTCTATCTATATATGTTTAAAAATATTTGTTAAGTCAAAACTTATATATATATATTAAATGCCTCTGGTTAAGGTCTATTTTGTAAAAGATATTGTTGTGGTATAACAATTAATAACCTTCTTGAACATGCTGCTATTATTATGAGATTTTTTAGTTGCATTCTATAAATATCAACTTTACACTATCCATTTAGATTCACCGAACATGTTCTGCTTCCTTGTTGTGGCATTTTTTTATTCTAATACAGGTGTCATTTGATTACAAAAAATTAAAAATTAAAAATGAAAATTAAAGAATTAAAATAGCATTTTCATTCCCATGTTGTGTTTGAATAGGTATAAAGAATTGAAATAAAATTTAAAATTTTCAACATTTAGTTTTTTAAAAAATAAGAACAACGATTAAAAAAATTATCAATTATGATGACAGTAAAAATGATAGAGATAATTGTGGTAATGATAGAGGAAGAAAATGTATTAGATATGATAGTATAACAATAACAATAATATATTTTTTTAAAATTAATATCACCACCACATAAGATGATAGCAAAAGAAGTAGTTGTGGTGACAGAGGAAGAATGATGATAAAATAACAATAATAATTTTTTTTTTAATTTTGTTAGCAACAATATAATAAAAGTGATAGTAGTAGTGGATAACTAGTAATAATAATAATTTTTTTTTTTTTATAAATATGGCCAATAGGATGGTCTGTGGTGGTGGAAGTTGTACTGATAGTAGAAGTAGCTAATACATAATAAATAAAAAATATTATATCACTGTTTCAAAGGAAAAAATCATTTCATATTTTTATTCTCATCTATTTCCATAACAATAAAATTATATTATATTTTTATTTTATTTATTTCAACTAAATACCTATAAAATAATAATAAAAATTCTATTCTCATTTCTACCATTACACTCTTTATAACCAAACAACACATAAATCCACTCCAATACGAGCTAAAATCCGTGATTCCAATGTCAATTTTATTTCCTTTTCTTACTCTACTCTTTCTTCCTTTAACTTTAGACATTAAAGACTTTCTATCTGTCGTGACATTTTACACAGCATTTTTTTTTCTGTACTTTCTTACATAAAAAAATACACAGAACACAGAAATCAAATTGGATTTCTCTATCATTTAGATTTGATAATTGCAATAGGAAATATTTAATTGGATAACCTGATTTGACCAAAGGATAATCCATATTCCTTTCTATTGAGTGAATTCAGTCATGTATTAATTTTTATTTCTTCATAAAAGCCTGCACACAGATAATTGAATTCAGTGCTTGTAGTCTATGTTCCTTCGCAATGTAAAAGGAATTCGACAAGGGATAAACAACAAATAACGAAGATAAGGTTCTAATTATAACTCTAGTATTAATCTTGAACGATCACGTCTCCTTCGCATACATCCAGCCTCCTCCTTTTTCAGTAGGATACATTTAACCTACCCACCGTTACTCTTTACTACTAAAATAGCTATAACAAAAACTCGCACTCGATCCATACTACTTTCCCGCTCCAATCTCGAACTCCCACGCGCGAGCACCACTTTTGCATTTTACACCCAAAAACCCTCACCAAACCCCACACTTATAAAATCCCACCTTAGATCCTCTTTCTCATCATACAAGTCTCCACCAAAATGGCAGCCACCACCTCCACTGCTGCTTCCAACCTCCTCACCACCAAGAAACATCTCTCCTCCCTCTCTCTCACTTCCACCAACAACTTCCCCGCCTTCTACCCCCTCCCCACCTCCTCACGCAGACAACGATTCATAGTCCTTTCCGCAAGCCTAAACTCAAAACCAACAGTGTTAATAGCAGAAAAACTAGGAGAAGCGGGCATAAATCTGTTGAAAGATTTTGCGAACGTTGACTGCTCTTACAATCTAAGCCCAGATGAACTTTGTACTAAGATCTCACTTTGTGATGCAATTATTGTACGTAGTGGTACTAAAGTGAATCGTGAAGTTTTTGAATCTTCTGGTGGTAGATTAAAGGTTGTTGGTAGAGCTGGTGTTGGTATTGATAATGTTGATCTCGCGGCTGCAACTGAACATGGATGTTTGGTTGTCAATGCTCCTACTGCCAATACTGTTGCTGCTGCTGAACATGGGATTGCTTTGTTGGCTGCTATGGCTAGAAATGTTGCTCAGGCAGATGCCTCGGTTAAAGCTGGTAATTAATTTGCATTTTCTTCATTTTTTGTGTCACATAGTTTGTTGAGCGGTTAATGATTAAAAAAGATATGGATTTTAGATCTGGGTTTTGATTGAAATGTTGGTTCTGTAAAAGTGCATTATTTGTTTTTAGGTATTTGGAAAATGGTGAAAGCTTTAATTTGGAAAGTCAACTTGTGTGCACGTTTGATGGATTTATTTAATTTGGAGCGGAAAGTAGTAGTACTTGGAGAAAGACAGTACTTTTCTACTTTGTAGATCTCGGTTTTGTTGTGCTTCTTTTTTTTTTTTTTTTTCAGGTGAGATCTGGTTTGCATGTGTTTTTTCAGATGCTTAAGAGATTTGATATAGAGGCCTTATCCTTAAAAAACCAAACAGGATTTATTATGCCTGCACAAGAGAGGGTGGTTTTATGCAAAGCATGCTTTACATATATGTAACTGAGGATGTTTATTTGACATATCTAGGAAAGATTATGGTGGGGGTAGTTTGGAAAGAGTTTAAGGATAACGAGTTAAGAGAAACATCTAAAATTTGTTGTTATTAGACGAATTTCAGAGGGAGATTTGACCAAAAACATGGACATAATTCAAGTAGCTGGTTTTTAGTTGGTAGAGAACTTTAAATATTGTCAGGGGAAGTTATCATTAATCTACGTCCTCTTGACTGCATAGCATCTTTTCTTAATGGTTATGACAAATTTTTATGGTTAAGTGGACATATTAAATGCACATCATAAGATTATGGTTATTGAGTTCTGCCACGAATGCTGTTATTTGTTTCTGGTCTATGTTAATTTTTGTGAACAATTTTATGGGAAAATTGGATTTGATTTACTGTCCAGAAGGCACTTATTTCATATGTTTCTTGATTAATGTAGGAAAGTGGCAGAGGAACAAATACGTGGGTGTGTCACTTGTTGGTAAAACGCTTGCTGTCATGGGATTTGGAAAGGTTGGATCAGAAGTTGCTAGGCGTGCTAAGGGGCTTGGCATGCATGTGATTGCTCATGATCCATATGCCCCAGCGGACCGTGCTCGTGCAATTGGTGTGGAGCTTGTGAGCTTTGATGAAGCCATAGCAACTGCTGATTTCATCTCATTGCACATGCCACTCACTCCTGCTACAGCAAAGATTCTCAATGATGAGAATTTTGCAAAGATGAAGAAAGGAGTTAGAATTGTCAATGTTGCTCGTGGAGGAGTGATTGATGAAGATGCCCTGGTAAGGGCACTGGATGCTGGAATTGTTACTCAGGCAGCACTTGATGTTTTCACAGTGGAGCCCCCACCCCAAGACAGCAAGCTGGTGCAGCATGAGAGGGTCACTGTGACCCCACATCTTGGTGCTAGTACTATGGAAGCTCAGGTGTGGTTACTGATCAGATGATAATACTTTTCTTTTCTTGCTTCTTTCTTTTACCATGATATGAAACAGAATTATGGTTTGATGTGCAGGAAGGGGTGGCTATTGAAATAGCAGAAGCTGTTGTTGGAGCCTTGAAAGGGGAGCTTGCTTCCACTGCGGTCAATGCACCAATGGTGCCTGCTGAGGTATCATTTCAAACCTATGCCATCTTTAAACTGATTCACTGTTTTATCCTGCAGGTTTTCTGGTGATAAGGGAGTAAGGAACATAATCTTTTCCCTTGCCATCATTTCTACCCCATTGCAGGTTCTGTCTGAGCTGAAACCATTTGTTGAGCTTGCCGAGAAGCTTGGGAGATTGGCTGTCCAGCTTGTGTCAGGTGGAAGTGGCGTGAAAGATGTGAAAGTGACTTATGCTTCTGCTAGGGCTCCGGATGATCTTGATACCAGGGTGCTCCGTGCCATGATCATCAAGGGTTTGATTGAGCCCATATCCAGTGTTTTTGTGAACTTGGTTAATGCTGATTTCAGTGCTAAACAGAGGGGACTAAGAATAAGTGAAGAACGCATTCTTCTAGATGGTTCACCTGAGAGTCCACTTGACTTTATCCAGGTTCAAATTGCCCATGTGGAATCAAAATTTGCCAGTGCCATATCGGAGACTGGGGAGATTAAGGTTGAGGGACGAGTGAAGGATGGAATTCCCCACTTGACGAAGGTTGGATCTTTTGAGGTTGATGTGAGCTTGGAAGGTAGCATCATACTCTGCCGACAAGTTGATCAACCTGGTATGATTGGCAAGGTGGGAAGCGTGTTAGGAGAGGAAAATGTGAATGTCAGCTTCATGAGTGTTGGAAGGATTGCCCCAAGAAAGCAAGCTGTCATGGCAATTGGAGTTGATGAACAACCTAGCAAAGAAACTTTGAAAAAGATTGGTGAAATCCCAGCCATCGAAGAGTTTGTTTTCCTCAAGTTATAGGGTGGTTTCCTTAGTTTGTTACATTTTTGCTATAGTAATTTCATTGGAATGGGTATCATAATTTCATTGTGGTGCCCGATTTTGATTTGAGTGTTCTCTAGTAGCCTGCTTTATGGAGGGAAAAGAATAATTCAGCTTTGAGATAAAGAATGTGTACTTTATTGAGGCATTTTGCCTCTAATTAAGGTTTCTCTTATCTTCCATGACCTCGTAGATGAAATAGTTTCTTGAATATGCCAATGATTCTCATGGTGTTTTATGCCTTGCTTATTGATGAATTAACATGACAAATAAACAGCAGTTGTTGTTTACTTGTATCTATTGATATGATAATTCTACAGTACTTGCCCTGAAAATGTTTGGCAACACATTTATGCTTGCAAGTTTATGGTGTCATCAATGGGGAACGACCAGCATATTTCATGGGCAATTAGGGATGGTGTCTGATGATTATGAGTTGAGCAAGCAAATGTGATCTTCCATGCAGATAAGCATTTACAGAATTCTACCCTTAATGAGTCGCAAATACAGCAATTCCATATCCTGCCATTCCACACTACGCTGTTTTTCTAATCTGAAATTTTAAAGAACAGATAATCTTACAACAAAATGATGATCTGTGACATACTTCACCGAGTTCATCTGCTCTGCAAATTTATGTAGTTTACCAGGCAAAGCGGGACGTGCCTAGGGTAATCTAAATTCATATTGTTCCAAAGGGGAGAGTATTTTTTTGGGCTTCTACCCTGTTAAAGACAAATGAGAACCTTCAACAGCATGTAATCCAATCAACCGTGATTTATTCTATCTAATCAATAAACGATTCAATTCTGCACTTCTCAGAACTGTTCATGCATCACAGAACCAGTTTGCCATTCACATCGATCACTAGATGAATCCAATATGGATGGGGCACATCTCTTTAAAGCCAGCAAACCATCACTGACTGAGCACTACAATTTATGAACCTGAGAGGAACGGAAGCTCAGCTATAGTTGTGGGTAGGGAAATGCCGCCCAAGTTATGAACCGCTAAGTAGGCAGCGATGCCAGCAGCATATCCAGCAAAAGCAAATCCAGTCACCTGGAAAAAGAAATCAGTCCTTTAGTGAACAGAAATATGATATTTTGATAAAGAATGTCATTTACCCAGACATACCTTCCGCAGGTACCAAAAGAAGTCCACCTTCTCCATCCCCATAAATGCAACTCCAGCTGCAGAGCCAATAACTAGCATGGAACCACCCGTGCCAGCACAATATGCAACTAACTGCCAAAACTCAGAATCCCGGGGAAAAGAGGAGATATCGTACATTCCCATTGCAGCTGCAACCAGTGGAACATTATCTATAATTGCTGACACAACCCCTATTGCACTTGCAATCAGTTCAATATTTGGAACATGTGCATCAAGGTAATTTGCCAATTCACGAAGTATCCCTGCTGCCTCCAGACTGGGAAAAAGAATTATTTGAATTTGTTATAACCAAGAAAAGTACAACCTTCCACCTTCCAATGACAACATAGATGTTTTCATGACCAAGTATATAGAAACGTGGAACAGTGGAATTTGCAAGATGAAGAACACAAGCCACTAATCAGAGTGCAAACCTTGGTCAAAAACCTGAATTTAGACTTCCTTTACACAAAATCAAAAGTAAAATTAATGCCCAAAAAATTTTCAGCATGCAAGTATAATCATGAAGCCAGAAATTCATGCATAAAGAATCGGTACCTGCTTACAGACAAAAGGATTCCAAGGAAGAAAAGGGCTCCTTGAGTGTCAATCCGTGATAAAGCCTGTGGCACCTTTAACCTTTGCCTTTCTGATTCACCATAATGAATAGCATCTGTGAGAATCCAAAGAACTCCAAGCCCAAGAAGCATGCCCATGAAAGGAGGCAATCCAGTTAGGGCCTTAAACACCGGAACAAAAATCAAGGCTCCAACACCCACAGAGAAAACAAGCTGTCCTCGAGGAGCCATCTGTTCAGATGCCAAAACATTCGGAGAGTACTGTCCCTTTCCATTTACTTCACTGAATGAAACATGAGAAACTCGTATCACTGTCCATAATCTATGAAGTTAAACTAAGCCTTTTTTGAAACTCTAATTTCTTATTTTGCTTTAATATTTGAAGAAGAATAATACCTAGTTAGGGACATTAGAGCTAGTGGAACAGCTAGAGAAACAGCAGATGGTACAATCAAGTCCTGCAAGCAAAGGGGGCATAATTGTTAATTGATTTCAACTTGTTAAATTCCTTCACAGAATTGAGGTGTCTCATTTTCAAGCTTTAAACTGACATTCATGCACAATCTGAGTAATGCAACACAAATTCCAAGTGCTTCTCTGCCTATATTGTCATAAATTGTAATGTGAGATCATATGACTTGAACACCTTTTCTCATCACAAGACCATGTCAAGGTATTAAAAATTACCTGTTCACCAGAAAACAACAAACCTTCCTGGCATTTTTATTGGACCTCCCAAGTTAGTAGTGTACCATTTTCAGGGTAAATTCTATAATCATTTGATGCATGAAATATTTTCCTCGCCAACCATATGTTTTAGCCTATTTGTCACTGAATCTAACTCTATAACATGGAGTATATTGATACAAATAATGGATTTCATGGAAAACGGAAAATCAACAACACCATCATATCTAAAATAAAGGACCAATTTCTCCAGCATAATGAAAAAGACCTTCATTGTTGGCAATGTGGATATCTGCCCATGAATCCATAGCATGGTGGTTGTAACATCACCAATAGGAGTCCACGCACCACCAGCATTTGCTGCAATCACAACAACAGCTCCTAGAAGCCTGTAAGCCATACCCAAATATATAAACATAGTTCGAGCGAGCTAAGAGATATTTTTCCAAATTAAATAATTATGGAGAATTCCAAAAGTGAAATGCATTTCAGATAAAGTATGAATGGTGTTACACTAAAATTGCGACATTAAATTATATCCTCTCAATAGTCTATAAACTAAGAATTTGCAATGCCATCATGCAGATATCTTAGGGGCTTCTGTACTTACAGGAGATGGTGAAAATCTATGTTCAGGCTTCGATAAATCAAGCTTTGACACCATCCTAGGATCATCCAAGTTTTTTCTTCACTCTCTTTGTTATCCAAATTCCAATGTAATGTAACAATTAAAACTTATCCAATTTTTTTACCTTTTGATAAATCTTTCCTGCAAAAAATCCTAACCATCCTACATAGAATTTACTTTTAAGGGTGCATGGTGCATTTACTATCAGGAAAAAGTTTTTTAGTTCATCTGCACATCATGTCTCTACTCTAAAATTATTCCTCAGTAGAAAACTACAGTAAAAATACACCCTATCCAAAGAAAACACTTCTAATTTTAATTAATGAAAATGTTTTCATAGTTAATCCACCTTCAAGAAAATTGGAAAACTCTCTACAAGTAAACACACCCTATTTTATTAGGGTAGTATGAAAAAAGGAAACACCCAGAATTTGCCCAAGACAGAACAAGTCTATAACAGTTTCAATAAATCAAGCTTGCTTTATGAAACCAGGAATTTAAGACAAGATTACAGACTAATATCAAGATATATTCTACAAGATTCTGAACAGGACAGGATAAGTTTATAAAAATGGCAGCACATACTTGCGGAATTCTGATGGAGGTACTAGCTTCCTCAATAAAGAAACCATGACAATAGTAGATGTCAGATTGTCAAGTACTGAACTAAGGAAAAATGTCACAAAACCAACCTGCAATATCCAACAATCACTGGTCACAGGTAGTTGACCTGGAAACATGACGCAAGATAATGTGGATAATAGAGATTTCTGCCTGAAAAATAATTAGAATAAAAGGCTAATCATTTTAGACCATAACTATTAGTCCTTTGACTAACTAAAAGATATAGGGGGCGGCACAGCTTTAGAGGAAAAAAATATTTTGAATTGGTATGAGGTTCTAAGATATTGGACGACAAGGCAACAATATCGTGAAATTCTGCTGCTCTCATTCAATTTAATACACCAAACATCTGAAAGAAAGGCACTATGCCCATGACGGAAGAAATGCAGCACTAACCACCCAAAGGAGAGTCCTTGGCTTTCGAGTAGTTATATTGTCAGTGACAAGCTTAAATCCTTGATGTGCATCAACTATCTCTACAATGGTCATTGCACCAAGCAAGAAAAACACTATTTCACTGACTTCAGCAGAAGCATGTGTAAGCTCCGAAACAGCTATATCAGTTGAAGGCGCCTGCTAAGAAAAAAGTCAAATAACCAAGAGAGCAAAACAGATACCAGATTATGAATATTTAATGGAAAACACATGAATCACAGATAAAAAAGGAACTTAAATATTGAAGCTAAATCAGTTTATGATAAATAAGCAAAGAGTATGAACCTTACCCCTATGCTTCGTATAACCCATAAGCTCACAGCCATCAATAATCCCACTCCACTTTTATTAAAGGCTAGAGACTCTTCAAAAATGATGCCTGCATATCCTATTCCAAAAAGCAATGCCATAGCAAGGTCCTGTCTCAGCAAAATAATCAAGTAAACTACTAGTTTACCATTTTCATATAGCTTTCCATAATAATATGCTGATGCAAGTGTTGATAAACCTTCAAATTAAAGAACTATGACATAAGATAAAGATAAACCTGATTGGCTGCAACCCAAGAATGATTAATTGCCACTGCTCCCGTTGCAGCTGCAGCAAAAACTGCAAGAGCTTTGACGAAATCGGTTTTCGGCTGGTAGTTGGCTTCAAAATCTTGTGAATTTGTTTCGTCAACTGAACACAAGGGGTCACATGATCCAGATGTTTCTTCCAACTCCTGATTACATGCTCAAGGGTCAATAACAAGGATGACCAATAGCATAGAATATGAACAGGTACCAATAAGTTATACCGGCAACCACAACAACATTGACATTTTTGTTACAAAAATTAGTTCCGCATATAACAAGCTAGACTGCAATCAACATTTCGTGTACAATTAGAGTCCTATTGAACAATTCGGAGAAACTTTCCACTTGCCTTGCAACAGCTGATTAAACAAACACATTCCAAATAAGAAATGCAAAACCTTACCAGACAAATTAGAAAATTTGTTTTCCAGTAATATGAGAGCACTTTATCCACACAAAACCAAAATTACAGACATGAATAAGCCAAAATCTACAATTCCAATTCGCCAACTGGCAAAACAAGTAAATGGACACTCATAAGAATTGAAACTTTAATGAAAATGAAAAATAAAAAAGAACCTGAAGCTGGTTATCAATGTTGGGCTGTTGACCTTGCTCATTTGAAGGAGGAAGAGATGGCGTTGATGACCCTTTAGCCTTGTCTTCAGCTCTAGCAAGTAGTCCATTACCAAGAGTTGTTGAACCTCTTAATTTATACAAAGATGAGCCAAAACAAGACTTATAAGGCAGTGAGGATAGAGGAGTGGAAGAAATGGAGTGGAAAGGTTGTTTCTTGAATTGGTTTTTTGTGTGTAAGTGGTGTGTCCCAATTGAGAGGGATGCCATTAAAGCTATAGACTTTGAACAAGAATTTGAAGATTGGAGAAGAGAAGAGGTTGGCTTTGGTTCAGTGTAGAGCAAACGATTGTGTGTTATTGCCAGTTACATGAAGTGGAGAGATTTTGAGCTGTTTTTTTCTGGAGGATAATATAGAAATGGCTTATTGACCTGATTCCATTTCTTGGGACTGGAAAACCCGGAGAGGAAACAGGCTGATGCAACGGCTTGTTATTTTGCCTTTTTTTTTTTTTGTTTGGTCATTCTCTTACAAGTTACAAGTTCGGAGTAAATTATATATTAGTTTTTTTTTCTAAAAAAAAAGAATTAATTAATTTTATTCTTTTAAAAATTTATTATTTAGTTCATTATCATCATTTGTAACGCATAATTTAATATTATTTTATTTAAAAAATATTTTTTCATATTTTTTTCTATATTATTTATTAAATTTTTAAAATAAATTAGAAAAAATATTAAAATAATTATTTTTAAAACAAATAATTAATTCGCTTTTCAAAACTACAAAGGTTAATTATAATTTACTCACGCTATTCGTCCACAGGGAAAGGCGGCTTGTTTGGATTTTGGAGCGAATTCATGAATACGCTTCGATTGGATCGGTTGCTGGCATTTTGACCACAAGAAAAGCAAGTCTTGCTGACAAGTCCCCTTGACTCCATTGCTAAAACCTAAAATAAAGAACTAATGTTTCCGTAAAAGTTTAGTCATTCTCCCATAAAACGAGTTACGGGAATATGGTAACGATACTAATTTCCAGTAACAAATAGTAGTTGTCCTTAAGACGACACGTCATTACTTATATAACGCCAAAATTTGTTAATCCACATTACACGTGTCAGTTTGGCTCTCTCAAATATGTCTGGTCATTTCAACCGCCACTAAAAACGTAAGATATCCGATAATTACAGTTAGGTACTGTGGCACCACACAAACTTTCTCCTTCTCAAAATCACTGAAACCATGGCTGCAGTAGCTCAAGTCTCTGCTTCTCTCTGCCTCTCCATTCACGGTATACACTCTTTTCACTCCGTGGTCTTCAAGTTTTTCCTGTTGTATGGAATTTAATATAGTTGTGAAATACTAACGTTGCAGGTGTTAGTGTTGTTAGCTCATCAAGCACCCACCTTCCCTTTTCCCGATTGCCCACTTCTAGTTTTGCACGAAATGGGACTACTTTCGCTACTGGGTCTCCACTCTGTAAGGATTTCAATTGTTTCGTGCCTCCTTGCCTTGCATTTGTTCTTTAATGGGTACCATATTTTAGCTGTACCTGTGTGTTCAAAGTTTAAATATTTTATCTTCATCATTTAGTAGGATGATAAATTAAAATGCGGCAATTTTTTATTTTTTTTAATTTATGTGTACCGCAATGAGTACAAAATGGGTTTTAACGGGGCAAGAGATTTGAGGAAAAAAAATGAAATGTAAAGAATACTTATGGGAAGTGCACTTGGTGTTATTGGTGTAGCAATTCCCCAACTTTTCTAGGAATTAACAGTTAGGTAGAGTTATCATTTACTTGTTATCTGCACATCCACAAGATGAGAGCTTTGAGCTTTAAATGCTTGCTTGAATGAACCTCAGTAGATGCAATAAGTTTTTGTTGGGTTATCAAGGATGAATGCGAATTTAGTGGCCATCTGAATTTTAAATCATGATATAGTCTGTTTTCCATTTTCCTTTTGCGTTCTTGTTGCCAAGAAGTTGTGCCACAAGGGTAATTTTGAACATGTAATTGAACTTCGGAATGTACCTATGATGTTCAAAAATGTTCCATTCTTATCTTTTATGTTATTGGCAACTAAAGGAAGATCAAAAGTATTGGGAGCTAATACTCAATTTCTATTCTAGTGATATCAAGAACTTCTCATCAGAAAAGGGCTTCAGGGAGAACAACATTTGTTTCTGTAAGATGTGAGCAAAGTACCGAGGGTGGCAGCGGTGTGGATGTATGGATTGGACGGCTTGCAATGGTTGGCTTTGCTGGGGCTATTAGTGTTGAAGTAGCTACAGGAAAGGGACTTTTGGAGGTATGGCATGTGTTAATTACGAGTTTCAATGCCTCAAAAAGTAAACTGCTAACCATCGATTTTAAGAATCATTCAGTCCTTCATCAATAATCCGATATACAACTTGGTATTTGATACACTGTGTGATCTAAAACTTCAAAACTTTTAACATGCAGCATGTACTAAATTGTGATTTCCCATACAATATGGTAGCATGCTACTTTATTGATTAGAACATCAAATTTTGAAAATAAAATGTCTGAACGTTCCCTAATGGTATCCAATTCCATTATTGCTCAGAACCAAGGAAACAACTTCCTTTTGTGGTCATGAAAGTTAAAAAAACCAGCAATCCCTTCAGAAATGCAGATCACCTTCCACACTGCAACTAGTAATTACCGAATTGGTCCCCATGTGCTTGCAGCTTGGCTTTATCTTGGATGTTTATGCACTTGAGCCAAGAAAGTGCTTGATGCAAGGAATGACTAATTTGGAGTTATCCATTTCCATGCCAATTTATTCAAGTGTGATTTTAATTCCCACCCACTACATAGATATGCACTGTGTTGATGGAATAATTGGTAGTTGTGAGCAATTACTTATTAAATCCATGTCCATTTTGTTTTTGCAGAATTTTGGACTCACAGCCCCCTTGCCTACAGTGGCCTTGGCAATAACAGGATTGATAGGTGTTTTGGCAGCTGTGTTTATCTTCCAATCGGCCTCTAAGAATTGATTACACTTGAGGTTGTGTTATGTGTTTGTAAAGCTTGTTATTCCGAAAATCTTAATAGTTAACACTTTTTGTTCATTTGTTCCAATGTCGCGATATCTAAGAATGTAAAAATTATCTCGATCTTTATTTATTCAAAGCATTTTCCTCTTGAGGCATTACGTTTAGTTTACTTTCAAGTTGAAAATAAAGTGGTTAGATATTATTTGATGGTATCTGATATGCTTCCATACAAGGATATCTTGAACTGACCCTGTTATGAGGACAATTACTTATCTGATAATGGTCGGTTTTGCTTGAAGAAGCATTATTCCCAATGCTTATCAAAGGCTCTTTTAGTCTATTCTTGTCTGATGCAAAAAGAAGTGAATATCTTTATAAAGCTCAGATATATTCTGTTCAGCTTCCAGATGAAAATGAAATAGAATCTGAACCATCACCACTCATCTTGCATGGATATTTCCTATGAAACGGCAGCAACTACGGATTGAAAAGCAACGAAGTAAATGAACTCCATTCTTTACTTCTTCAGAATTTATTCTTTTTTCCTTTCTCATGCAAAATGCATTGCTTGCCATGTACATAAAGCGTAAAAGATCTCTGTTGCTATATTCTTTACTCTTCCATAAGTGCTTTTCATAGTTGATCAAATCTTGTTCCATGCATCTTCTATCAATTGGAAGATCTCTTCCTCAGTGCAAAGGGTTAAGCACTACACCCTTTTTCTACCTTGATAGATCAGTGTTATGGGAGCAATCATTTCCCGACTTGCAAGAAGATTCCTTCCAAAGATTGAAATTAGAATTCTCATGGTGGGGCTTGATGCATCCGGGAAAACAACCATTCTGTACAAACTAAAGCTCGGAGAAATTGTTCTTACAGTACCTACAATCGGTATCTACCCCCATAAACTTCACTTTCCATGATGAAACTGACTTCTGCGCCTATCTTCCAATTGGTCTTTAATCTCTTTCTTGGCTCTCTCTCACAGTTGTCCATCCCTTCAAATTCTGCATATGCCTAAGCCAGCAATGAGACTTGTGCTTTCAGGAAAAAAATTCAACTGGTGATAATCTGTTCATAATGCAGCAGGAATAGAAGTAGGACATACTAGATAGACAGCACTTGTTAGAAAGAATTATCCCCTTTGTTTAAAACTGAGTCAGCTTTACAAGAGATCTTACTCTTTTGCTTCTGCTTCATTTATTACTAAAATTCGAACAAAATATAGCAGTGATTCTGGTTTCTGAGGATCTCTGTTTGCAGCTGCTTCTTTGTTTAACAGAATAATTCACCTTCTGATCTCTTGATGTATAGTATGGTTTTGAGTTTCTTTAGTTTGATTACCATACCTCTTTGCCTTGATTTGCTTTGGCACAGGTTTTAATGTGGAGACAGTGGTGTACAAAAATATAAGTTTCACTGTGTGGGATGTAGGAGGACAACAGAAGGTACAAGCTTTGTGCTGTTTTCTTAATTAAAGAAGAGATTTTGCTGAATGTTTACATAAGCAACAAAAATAAACTGTTTTTGAATGATTTACCGCAAAACAGATTCGGCCTCTATGGAGACACTACTTTCAGAATGCCCACGGACTCATCTTTGTCGTGGACAGCAATGATAGGGAGAGAATTTCGGAAGCTCGCAATGAACTACATAGCATTTTATCTGATGTTAGTAAGCTCCATGTATACAAATTTGAAGTTCTTCCTTGTCTTTGGTGTTAGAAAACCCCGAACTTTGAGAGTTGGGAAAGGATAATTGAGGAAATAAAGGAAAATTGAAACTCTTAGAAATCGAGATGATTTTCCTTTCCTATATATGCGATTCTTTTTCCATGAGATTCTTCATGTGCAACGCAGTCTCGGTGAATCTAAAAGGGTGTGCACATTTTCTTTTCATATTGCAGATCGAACTAAAGGATGCAATACTGCTCGTCTTAGCCAACAAGCAGGACGTTCCGAATGCTATGTCTGTTTCTGAGGTTGCTGAAAAGCTTGGACTGTTTGCTCTTAAACAGCGTCGCTGGTAAGTCGATCTGTTATGTTCTAAGAATGGGGCTTCTTTCTGTTACTCATTTCACTCGTTTCTCCTTTGTCATAGACTTATAGCAAGTGGGCCAAAGCTTGCAAAACAGCTTGAAAGTTGGTAATTTGGACTTCCTTTTGCAGGCACATTCAAAGCTCTTCTGCCACGTCTGGGCGTGGACTATATGAAGGTCTAGACTGGCTATCTAACAATATCTCCAACAAGGCAGCATAACATGGGAAATCTTCCCCGGCTTATGCCTGAAACAGTTGCAGCCTTTATCTTCATTACTATATTGGCTTGATCAGAGTTATTACACTTTCAGAGGACGTTCTGTGTGCATCTTGGAACATCTCCACCTATTTTGAGTCACAAATTTCAAATCTCCTGTTCTTGACTCAACATTTACAAAAGGAAGAGATGCCAGGGGAATCCATCATGTAGAATTAGAACCTCCTCACGCACATTGTACCAGTCTATGATCGTATTCTGTTTAGTGAAAAGAAAGATAGTATCACTGCAAAGAATATTGTGAAGCAGCATTCCCACAGGAGTCCATGGTCGTTTTCTGTTAGTGTAAATAAAGATGTTATTAAGGTAAAGAATTACTGTGAAGCAGCATTCCCACAGGATGTATCTTGCTCGGTGCCCTGAGTATGACCATTGTGATTGTAACAGGTCCAATCATAGAAATGGAAACCTGTGAGGAATACGATTGGCCATTCAATTTTTAATAACACCTTAGTGCTTGATACATTTGTGTCATCGTTGTACTTCAGGATGAAAAGTAATTATTCAGAGCAAAATGCGAGAGGCTACAACAAAAGGAAATGCTTCCACAAATTGTTATGTAAAATGAGTCCAGAATAAGAGGTTCAAGTATACCACTCCAAAGATGGAGCATCCTGTAGGACTGACTGCTCGATTACAATTTCCAACACAATTAAACACGCAAGGGCGGTAACAATCAAAATTTTGAGAGATTGAATTTTCAGGCTATGATATGGACATGAAGGCTCATCAAAATAGAAACTCAAAAATCCATAGACTGAGGTTCAGTTGATGCTTTCGACTTTTTCCCCTTGACTTTCTTCCCTCCATTTTTGTTCACCTTTTTCTTAGGCTTCTCCTCCGCAGCAGGTTGTGTGCTCAGTAAGTGTTGATGAATGGATCCCAGGGGGTCTGCCTGGAAAGCCGGATGGTTAAGAACCATATTCAACTGTTTCCCTTCCTTCAATCTGATAAGAAAAAACCAGTTATCACATAGCAAAGATTAAAAGAAGATAACATAAAGGAAAAGAAGAAAAGCTTTACAGGATAACAAATGAGGAAATGAAGCACGCACATTAGCTTTTGCCTTGATTTAGAATTCAATTTAAACACAGCAGCAGGTTTTGATAGCTGAGGAGACTTCAACTCAGGAAGGAACTCTGTGAGGGTAGAGAGGTCATATGCTTTCAATTTCTTCTGTCGACTTCGAAGCTTGTTCTTCTGAAAGAAGATGAATTGTTTGTTCAGTTCACCATATAATAAGGCAGAAACGAACAAGATCCCAACAATGAAAATGAAGGAATAAGCATTCCATAGTGAGTATAGACACCAGACAGCCAGAGTCTATATAAAAGCTCCAATTAGCATTTGCACAAACATTGGGTTTTAGCCTTATTGGATTTATATCCATTCCAATCAACAAACTTCTAATTTGCAATGTCGGCAATACTAAATCAGGATATATACATTTCTGTCGGTGCTCGAAAAGAAAAAGCCAATTAAAACAAGCATGCACATTTACCACACCTCTCAAGTTGAATCAATGAAAATAAGGGAGAGACGGGCCATGATTTCAAAACATCAAAAAGGCATAATTGCAACTAGTAGAAAACAGACATGAGATTGTTCTTCAGAATTCAACAACCGAAACATGAATAACATCCCACTGATAGCAGTCTGAAACTATCTAATAAAAACACCATGGTTATAATAAAAGAATTCTGAATATATTTTTTCTACAACTACGGCAATTGATGCAAGCCTCAAAAGCATAACCTAGACCAATGTAAATCCCATATAACTAGCAAGATACACGCAAAAACTATACTGAGACAACTAAAGTGAAAAGGAAGTTAAAGTACAATCCTTGCTTACCTTAGTAATAGATTTTTGAGCATTCAAAACAGTAACTGTATCTCTAACCTCTGCAATAAAAAACCGATACAACAAATATATATATTAATTGGAGATAGAGCTAGAAAAGATAATTCACTGCGGTGTAAAACAAAATGGTAATCAAATTAAGAATATTCAAAGGAAAACTCACTGCTATAGAACTGAACCTTCTTCTCGAGTTTACGGTCTGCTTTAGACGCAGCATCTTGTCTGCAACAATAAAATAAAATAAAATAAATCAAAAGAAGAGAAAACATTAATTAATCATAACATAATTGAGAAACCAAGGAAACAAAAAGGAAATTACGGTGAACGGGAAGTTTTTTTTTTTTTTCACTAGCGTACCTTGACTTTCCCATAAATGAAGATTCCAAGTACCAATTGGAAGTTTGTTAAAGAAATTGTAGGCCACGCGAATATGTGAAAGCAAATAAATAAACTCTAGGGTTTTATCAGTTCAGCTGCTAAATAACAAGAAGAACAAAAAATGTCGAGGGAGCGAGAAGGAGAACTATAAACTATAATGCCGCTCCCAGATTGATAACGGCGCTCCAATTTTTTTTTTAATTTCCTTTTTTTAATTGAACAGACATAAATGTCCTTATAAGAGACAACACATAATTCTATTTTTATGAAAAGTCCAAAATACCCTTGTAATAAATAACCTCAACCTGTCTCTCATCTCTTCACACAACTTAGGCTCTCAATGCGTATTGCTCGCTCCCTCGATCACCTTCCTCGTTCCAATTCAACTTATTAACAAAGCTAAACGAAATGAATACCCATGGCTTGAAATCGAATCTGAAACTTGAAGATCATAACCAAAACCAATTATCCTTTAAATTTTAATTTTCTTTGTTTCCATTACCATGCAAGGTAGGAATTTGCGATCTGAGTATGGGTGTGGGTGAACAAGGGTGTAGGTGGCGCGGCGGTTAATGGTGATTGTGTGGCGTTTCAAGATTTGGGTTTTATATGGTGATTTGTGGTCTGTATCTCCAGTGGAGTGTTGTGGCTTGTGGGGGGTTGGTTGGTCTGGCTGTTGTGCGTGGTTAAGGAGTACGGCTGGTGGTGTTAGTTAATGTTACAATTGGCCATTGACCCATTGTAGAGGACCTGTGGTGCTGAATGTTCTTTTCCCTTTTTTGTGTTATCTGGATTTACAATTTGAATTTCCTTATAAGTTTCATGGTACATGGTGGGGTTGGTATTGTGGTGGAGGAGCTGGGCTTCACGGTGGCACCTCAGGGAGGCGGAGCTGAGCTTAGTTTTATTGTTTGTTAAAAAAAAAAAACACTATGATATTGAGCTATTTATTGATACAAATCTTTTTCTTTTATCATCGTAATTAAGCTCCGTTTATTTTATGTAAAATAACTTGTTTTTAGAAAATACTTTATGTGGAAAGTATTTACTTGAAAAACATAGTATTATGTTCCGTTGTTTGGTTATATTAATAAAATTTATTTGAAAATAATTATTTGGTTTCTGGTTTATATGAAAAAAAAATTATTTAAAAATAATATATTGGTTTATATAAAAAATAAATGTTAAAAAGGAAAAGATAAAAATTAATTATTATTGGGATCCATGATTTAATAATAGTGTTAGTTCTGTAAAATATTTCCATTTCCTTGTTTCAAGCCTTTTTTTCCCCTTTAATAACTGTAAAATATTTTTTTATTCTCTCATGTTTATTTCACTTGAGCAATAAAAAAATATTTTACGAAAACATAATAATTTACGTCAAACAAACGTCACCTTAGTAAATTTTCAGAACTCTATTTGAGTCAACAGTGCATTCAGCTGCTTCCCAAACTAAATTTGGGTGTCAATTGCCAAACCCCTCGGGTAAATTGAGCGACCACATCACCATCAAAAAAAATAAAAAGAAATAAGGTGCAGCTCCTTTGAGGGCATTTAGGTCTGATTAATGAACCGCAAGAACAGGTGGACCGCGGTTATAAACTTTGGGAGCGGTATTATCGCTTTATCAGTACCTGAGAAATAAACCCAGACAGAATCCAACCAAATCGGCACGCTAGAGACTAGGGATCCGTGAGAATTGCGCCCCTGTTTGTACGGGCTGTATGGTCATTGATAGAAACCTCGGCCCATTAAAGACCCATTAGGTTTTTGAGCTAAATATGTGGGTTTGGTTTTAAAAATTATGGATCAGGTAGAAACCTCGGCCTGAACAAAGTTGAAGCAGAAAATTTCCACACGTGCTAGATTGAAAAGTTTTGGCATAAAATAGTGGCTTAAGTGGGCCTTTTGTTTTTCATTACATTGAAGCACTGAGGAGCTTTGATAATTTCAGGGAAAAAAAGAAGATGATTATAATGAATTATGGGACCTGTCGTGGATACGCTCCAAAATAAATAAGAGACAAATTTCATTAAACTCAGCTATTATTTTCTATTGAGGAGTGATTCGTGCTACCTCATTTGTAATATATGCTTATTTATAATTTTAAGTTTAAGATTCTGGATATAATAGAAATTCTTTCAATATATATATATATATATATATAAAGGGGAAAGGTGCAGCATTTTTTGTAAATATGTATGCTCCATTTTAATACCAAAATTTTTAAAGCCTCTCAATCGTACTTTGATTTCTTTGATTTATAATTTTTAAAAGTGGAATCCCTTTTATCAAACGAGAAAGACATGCCGCTTGGTTAGTTGTTGTTGTGTTTGGTGTATAATTTAGTCATCGAAAGGAAGAGAACAAGACTTCAACAACTAAGTCAAATCAAGTATAGTAGATAAATTTGAGATTCATTAATCACCTTAGGCTTAACATAAAAAACACGAGAGTGTAATACTTTAAAGAGCTCGGGATGACTCCTGTCACTTTTCAAGTTTTTCTTGAATTGATTAAATTAGTTTGAGATTCTTTGAAGTAATAAACCTTAATTACATACAAGAAAGCATTTTTTTAATGTGCAATCCTAGAAGTTATCTATACATATAAGAAGATAAATATAATAGCTAACAATTTTTATTTTTTTTAACTAGTTTCTTAAATTGACTTAGAAACTGTTGTTGAATAGAACTTTAGGTTATGTGTTGAAATTTTTGAATTAATTTAGGGTCAAAAAAAGAAAGAATCTTGAATTGGGCTCTTCGTGAAAATTTTAGGCCTAAATGCTTTCTTTCTAGAGGTTTTTAAATTATTTTAATCCAATAAATATAACTCAAGATATAGTTTAAACATTAGACAATATTTTAGATTGTCATAAAATTTGAATTTCTTACCTAACTTTATAATCGATTTTGATAGTCCAAACATAATGAATTTATGTGTGTTAAATCCAATATGGAAAGTTTAAGATATTCATTTTGATTTTCAAGTCTCTTTTACGCTATGGGATTCTAAAAATGTGAAATTCTCATTTCTTTATTTAAAAATCAATCTACCAATATTGAAATTTAGTCCAAATTAACATAATTTTGCATCTTCTCCTAAATAATAAAATAAATTTAATTCAATATATATAATCTAAAATTACATAGAAAATAAATATAATTAAATAAGTATCATCAATAATGTTCATTATTAAAAATTTTGAACAGATCGAGTTCCTAATTACCAATAATACAAATCCTGACATGTGTGGCCATTTTGTGGTGGATGGTTGTGACAAAAAATCTCATAGGATGTGGTTGAAGGGAAAAAAGAATGGGATGGAAAATTAAAGAGGTGGATGGTTTTGGTGTTTTTTTTCAATGTATTATTTATTATTAAAATATGTTTTTAATTCATATAAAAAAATATTTTTTAAGATTTATAATGTCATGTGTCAATCACCGATAAGTAGAGTTTAACACTAACATGTCACGTTAGATAAAAAAATAATATTATAACGAAAGGTTTGGTAAAAAAAATTAAAAAATAAAATTTTTAATAAATAAAAATAAAAATTACAGGGTCTCCATTAACAAAATTAAAAAAAATACAAAATCTATATATGAGAAAACCCGTAGATGGCCTATACATTAATCAAGATCAATAAACTACCGTGGAATGTTAGGGTCAAGCATCTTGCCATTGGTATTTCTCATTTCATTGAGAAATATCGCATGCCAGGAAGCTTCATATACTACTCATGGATGTCTTGGCCTCCAAACGAACTGCTGCATTTCAATATAATAATATGTTCTGCAAATAAATTAGAAGTTCCTCTTATTTTAAGCTCAGCAGCGCTCAACGGTTGTTTCAGGAAATTGAATTGGATATAAGTTCACGTGCATTGACACATTTTGCCTGCAGTTTGCTTTTTGACCAACAAGTAAGAAGAATCACTCCTGCCGAATCTTGGATTCCAATATACACTTTGTTTAATCAAATGGGTTTTTTTCCAATCAAGTGGACAATATTAATAAAAGCACATCACCAGATCTGATCTAACCAATACAAAGATTTGATCTTTATTATCTATTTATAATTAATCATGATTATTCATTAATAGTTTAGGTTTGGATTAATTTAATTAAAAAAATAATTTAGCAATCAATAAAAAATAAATGTCTTTTTATACTGACTTAATTTAAAAAATATATTTAGTATATATAGAAAAAAAAACCGTAAAATTTTCTTTGTCTCGAAGTTGGATTGATTAGTGGTTGAGTATGTCGATCCATCATTACGTGGGAGATCAATAAAGAGAAAACTTTAACTATGATAAGCGTAGCAACCACAATATATTCAAACAATGATTTGCAATGACTTGTATAATCAATTACAAGCAACAACCCCTATATATAGGGCTATCATTCTTCCTTCTCTTTTGTTTGCTCCTACACTTTGACCTTTGAGCAGTATTTAAGCAATTTGAAACGATCACAGCAATGGCCACCCTACCTGGGGTCCCTGCAGCTTTTTTTGTGACTCACAGCTGGCTGGTATAAGTTGACAAGACACTGCCCCAAACCCAATGAACGAACTACTCGTCAATAAATTATTACATATGTTAAATATGTCATAGGTTATACTCTGTAATTTCATAAAAATATAAAATTGACTCCATTACAAAAATATTTGATAGCATTATGGTGATAAATATTATTTTTAAAAATAAAAATTATTTAAGAATAAACTTAAAAAATAAAAATATTAAATAATATAATAATAATTAAAATAAAACATTATTATTTATATTTATTCAAAAAAATATTATTTTTATAAAATTATATTGATTTTTTTTTCACATCACTTATGTCATGCTACTCAATTCATTATAATAATTATTTATAATTATTTATAGATTCGTCGTCGTTGAAAAGTAAATTACAATTTTCAATATGTTGAATAGTTTCTTATACTTCTCTTACAATTAAGCACTGCAGGTCTGCAATTTCTTCCCCTCTCTCCTCCCTTTTTTTTTTTTTAATGATGTAACTGCTTATTTATTTATTTATTTATAAATAGCAGTATTATTTCCACACAAATCTTTTATATACTAATTTTTTATTTTTTTCAATCAAATTTTAAATAAGCCATCCCATCTTGATTGATGTATTTTTTTTAATCTTTTAAGGTATCGTAGACTCAAAAACTCAGATTAATTTATCATTATTCTGTAAGACATATAAGACGAAGATAGCTACATATATTGTTTTTTGCATATGTAAATGTTCGAATTCGAAACTATTTGTTTAAACGATTAGATTATTTTTTATTCACGTTAATCATCTTAAGTTTGATTGATGTATTTATAATAAAATAATTCACTGGATAAGGAAAGAATAAAATGGAAGATGCAAAATTAGTAATTGAAAATAAAATGGAACAATTAATTATTTGATTTTTTTAAAAAAAATCAAATGGTAAGGATATTTTTAGATGCCTCTCGTTTTTAAAATCCTCACTCGACTGTCTTAGATATGTTATTAACATTTAGATTCATGTTTTTTTTCTTCAATAATTAGAAGTATTTTTAGATTAATTTGTTCGTTAATCGAGATTGATTTCCTTCCTATACTTCCTTATTCATTTAATCAATCACAAGAAAAGAATTAAAACTTTACCAGGTTCCTTTGTCACAGGAGAAAAATTAAATATCCAGAGAGGCAGTTATGTAATTCTGGGCTAACTAGGCCAAGCAATTCATGGAGATGCTCCTCTAGGGGACCATGTCTAACCTTTGAAACTAAGATATCGCTGTCTGCATCGAAAGGCGAGTCATAAAAGGTCCGGTGGTGTGCTGGTACTTTTGCAGACAATATTCCATCCTTTCACAAAGTGGAGGGTCCTAATAAGGGATAGCCACCTCCCTCCTTCCATATTTCTTGCATTTTACACCACCACCTCTTAGACGATGATAGAAGTAAAGTGCTATTTTGCGAAAAGGGTGGAAGGAAAAAGAAATTACTACATATTAAAGCCGACTAGTAGATGGTTGGGAATTTTCTGATCAGCACCAACTGTTGTAGAAATCTTGTACTAATTAGACTTTGGGCTGGGAATTTTAAGATCTGTACAATTAATTGGCAAGGATTGTAACCAAAAAGTTTTGTTTTTTGTAAATATCATTTATTATAATGCCAAAAGCACACGGCCTAGACACACCATTCCACCGACAGACACACACGGCTACAGCCACACCGTACCAACTGTATTCCACGACTGTTCTCCGGTCTAATGACCAACCGAAGCTTTTCACACTTTTTTTTTTGTTCAGATAAGTAAGCAATTTGAGCCAGCAAAAGATGCTATATGCCGATCTATACCGACACTTTTCAGTTGCAAACTAGTAATGTTAGATCCACTATAATTGAGATGGTGGAATTGCCATCAAGCTGCAGCCAACAATGATATCTACCCTTTGCAACTGAAACATGTTCACATTTTTGCCAATTTCCACTAGAATATTAGTGCTTTGTGTTCTTTTGAGGCAATCAATGTTTACAAGAAAACCCAACGTTCCATTTTCAGTCCTCTCGCAGGAGAGATTTGAGCCTAAAAACCTTTTAAGAGAGAGAGAGACATGTGTGACATTAAACTATTAGGCTGACGGCAAGTTTTTTGAAGTCACAAGATAAGATTAGGGCAGAAAATGAGCCATTTCAAGGTAGTTAGACAATTGAAAACAATCGAGGCCCGGGTGAGGCTGCTTTCCTCTTCATTTCCAAAAGTGATCCACCAAAAACTGCATTCCTGCCATAAGATAATTAGCGCGAACACAGTGAGCAATGTCGGCATTGCATTTATCTCCCATTTTGTTTTTTCCTCGTTCTAGTCAATTCTCTTAGACAAGCACATGTGACATTATATCACTTATGGCTTCAAAATTGAAGGAACCATCTTAGAATCACTAACTAATTCTATTGTTTAGTTATTGGATTAGGTAATAAACGAGTTTGCTTACTTTTATATTTTATTTTTTATCCAATTAATTGCAAATTCGAATGAAGTTTGGTTTTTTCTTTTTTTATGAATGCATTTAAAAATTAATTTAAATGTAGAGGGCATCTATCTAAATCACGACTGAAAAAAAAAAATAGTCGTCACAAACGAAATCTAACTGGAAAATAACCTAAACATTATAAACGAAACCACTAACTTACTATATAATCATCACCTTTGTACCTCCTTCACTGTTTAAAAACATTCGATACACATTAGGATTATTTTCTGTGAAAAAATAATAATATATATCTTAACTAATTAACAATCTGACACATTAAGACCTTGGTTTTCCACCATAAGCTTGCTTGCATATAGAACTCGGCTTCTGTGAAGGCATACACAGCTGAGACGATCCTGGACATGCTTGCAGACAATTATCCCCTATGCTACCGAAAACTGACGTGTCTCCGGCGAAAAAAGCCGGTGGCGGCTTTCCAATCAAGAAATTCCCATCAAGAAACAGCCTTCTCAAACTCTTCTTTCGACTGTACTCCAACGGGATCGTGCCACGTAATCGATTGTATCTCAGGGACAGTGAAGACAGCAGAGGATAATCAGCGAAATGCACGGGGGAGCTCCCCTCGATTTTGTTGAACCCAAGATCAACAGCCACGAGGCCACTGTTAGCATTTACCGGCTTTGAGATCTCGACACGTGTCAAGCTGTTATTGGCTAAATTAACCTGCTGAAGTGCAGGCAAGAGAAAGAACCAGTTTTCTAGTGTGCCAGAGAACGAGTTTTCACTGAGTTCAACTACTTCTAACTGCCTTAACCTGTCAAAGGATGATTTTGGTATTGACCCAGATAAAGAATTGGCCTTTAAAGCCAGTTCTAGTAAGTTATAAGGTAGTTTTGGTAAATACCCAGTTAGTTTATTGTAGCTAAGATCAAGTCTTCTTAAACTTGACATGGAATCCATGGTTTTTGGGAGATACCCAGATAAAGAATTGTGTGAAAAGTCTAAAGATTCGAGGGACTTAAGGTTGGTGATCGAGTTAGGAAATGAGCCAGAGAATGAATTGGAACGGAGAGTCAAGGTTTGGAGGCTGATAAGAGAGGAAATGGAGGAGGGGATGGGGCCGAAGAAGTTGTTATCTGCGAGGTCGAGGATGGTGAGGCTAGTGAGTTGGGAGATGAATGGGGTGAGTTGGCCAGAGTAACCAGCTGGATCAAGAGTGAGTTGGGTGACTCGAGTTGAGTCTGGGGAGCAGGTGATGCCACAAATGAAGCGGGTTCGACGAGGGAAGGCACAAGGATCGGTGGTGAAGTCCCATGAAGCCAGGCAAGACCATGGTTGGATTGAACTTGGTTTGACTGATGCTTTGAAGGCTTTGAGAGCTGAGATGTCTTGGGGTGAAGTGAGAGCAAAAGCTATGAGATTTTTGGTATTGAAAAGGACAAAGAAGAAGAGTAGGAAGTGAAGGATGCTAGACAGCATTTTCACAGGTTAGAGATTTTTGGAACTCGAGAGGTTAGTAATGGCGGTGAGGGAAAGTTGGGGGTTGTGTGCGTGGAATTGAGTTATGGCTAGACCCTGGAGAGCACTTCAAAAGTTGGAGTTAGTGTATGGTGAGACAGGTACATGTTCGCATCAAGATATTTATAATGAGGGGTTGAATTTGTTGCCTCTTACGATGTCCAAGTGCATGATTTGTGATTTTGGTTGGTTGATCTTCCGAGTTTTTTAGTATAAAGAAATTGCATAATTGGGGGTTGTAGCATTATAAATTTGGAATTCTGGAGTTTTCTAATGAGAAAATTAACATTTTCTGATGGTACCATAACAACACTCCAGCTTTCAAGTATATCCAATCCAAACCACCTCTTTCGTCTATAGTTTCATGTCATGATTTCTGTGATCTAAAGAACTTGACGTCACATTCTCAAAGGCATAGGAAAAAAGAAAAGAAAAGAAAAAGAACACGACGTCAGTAATTATACGTTGAAATCCATCTCCATCAAGCTAATTAGTAGAGTAAAGCATAACATCCTTTTTTATTTTTTTCCTGTCGCATTTTTTTTATTCACACCAAAATTAAAAAACTTGTTTCTCAAAGTTCATGAAACTTGAAATTGATTGTACATTTTAATATAACTTCTTCAAATAGCAAGCAGTCTAATCACGATAAATGGAAACGAAATAACTTTCATTCAAAAATACTGCAAATCTTAAACCATGCAATGAAAAATTTCATTTTTTATTATACAATAAAACTAATCTGACTTATCGAAACTCAAATCGAATTTATCTCACTAAAATAAAACAATATGTATCAAGAAATCGTAATCTTAAATCTCATTGATTAATGTAACAAGAAGAGGGCTTTTCTTGAAATTATTAGTTGATTTAACGTGATATTGCTCGGTTTAAGAAACACTCCATTGATGCTCGCACTCTTGCAATTGAAGCATACGAGGAAGACTCGAGTTTGAATTTATATCTCGCCACCTGAGTCCAAGTGACGAAACATTTTCCTGGTCAACAGAACAAACTACTAGAAGACAGTGTTTTCGTTTTTGGATGAATGTTTGAAATGTGTGGCTCAATACTAAACTAATTAATTCATAGAAGTTGACGACTCTAAACTTTTGTTTTATGTTAACAAAGCAACCACAGTACATATATATTGTAATTATTCTGTCAGTCAGTCAGTCAAGTTGTTCATGTATTTTATGGTTTAGTTGTTGTTAAATAATTAAGAGGCACACAGAGAGAATATATTGTTGTTGCAGTAGTGTTGTTTTTTTTTTTTAACAGTAGACAGAGTGCACTGATACATGAAGAAATTGAATAGAAATGGATATATACTTGTCTGATCATGTCATGGACCTCATGGTATACGTATTGTTCGAAAGATTAGTGTTTGAAGTCATATTGTCCGGTTGGTTATTATTCAATAAAATTCAAGACAACTACTGCACAACAAATATTAAAGCACTATAAAATAGCTGGCATATTTAATAGTCCCAATGATATTTCTCCCCAAACACAGGCTTGTCGGGATCAGTAACCTGTTTCCATTAATTTGTTTCATTTGCCATGCTCAACATAGCATTTGTTTCAGTTTTCAGATTTTTAATCAGCAATTGCAGGTAGATAATTGGCAATAGAAACGAACTTAGCTGTTCTGTTTTTTTTTTTTTTTGCTCCCTCAATGTCGCATGCAATAACCTATGCTATCCAAGCAAATCCTCAGGCAAACTAAACAAATAAATAAAGAAGTCAGAGAGTGTGGTAGCAGAATTTGGACTCAAAGTGGTTGGGTTCCCAAAGATTATAAATAAGCAGGGTGCCTGGTGGCTAGTTGGCTTAGAGACATGCAGATCAATATTTGAGCCCAATGGACTTGGTGACATTGTCCTGTTAGAATTTAAAGAGAAAAGTGGTTTATTAATATGGGCCGCTATGACAGACACGATCTTTGAAGTATCAACGCGGTATGAAGTATAAACCCAACATTTTCATGGAATTACTTCCCGGAACAGAGTGAATTTGATTGTGAATTATATCGGTTTTTTTTTTTTTTTTTTTTTTTGTCCGGAGCAGCCCTATAAAAATCAAGTGAAACAATTTCATCCGATTGCTTTGCCGAACAAACACGAGGATATCTTCGAAAATCAAGGACATTTCATGTATGTGTCTATTGGGTGGATTAGTTCAGGAATTTTGTCAATTCTCCTTTCCCAGTCATAAAACAAACACTTAAATCACTTACCCAAAGATAAAAAGGCAAGTATTGCAAATAACTTTACACATTTAAGCCCATTTTGATTATTTTTATTTCTAACTTTTATTTTCTTATTTTTTTTTTTAAATGTTTAATGGAGGTTTTGGGCTCTATGAAATATATTCCTGAAGAAAAATTTTCAGGCTAAATGATGTTAATCTAAACTTTCAACAAACCATTTTGACTTCTAATTTGGGTTTTTTTTTAACATATCGGAAAATTGTAAATTAGAATCGAAAGTTAATTACCATCATTTAATTAATTAATCTATATTCATCTTCATCATGGATTATGAATTCCAAGTTCTCTTATAACCTCCTCGAAAAGGAAATTCCATTCAAGTCCAACTATAAAATTGTTAGTCTGAAGTATGATTTAAGCTAATTTTGTTGATCTCATTCAAGATATAATTTCCAGATTAGCAAATTTTATAATATCATCATTAGAATTTAGATGAATTTTCCATTCGAGAATTGACACACCATCCACGTCTCCTAGGCCCTGAAGTACTTTCGTTCCGTTACTTCTCAAAACACCTTACGTAAGGGAAGGCAATTTAATTTCAAGAATCATCAACAAAATACTTCACTTCTTACTTCACCATGTCCAACACTATGACCATGACCCCTCTCCTCCTCCTCCCTCTATTCCTCCTCTCTCCCCTTTCCATCGCCGCGTCAACCGCCGCCCACCCCACTATCCCGGGCACTGCAGACACCTCAGTCTCCTCCTCCCAGCCGGACAACCTGATTCCAAACCGCAACGAAATCTATGGCAATGGCAAAATCTTTGACATCAGTCACAGGTACACAAACGATATGCCGATTTGGGACTCTAAAGATGGGCTGGGAAAGTTCCTGTCTTTACCAGCCAGCATGAAAAATGGGTCTCTCGCTAACAATTCAGAGATGAAGCTGCCTGCTCATACTGGCACGCATGTTGACTCACCTGGACATGTTTTTGATCATTACTTTGATGCTGGGTTCGATGTTGACACTCTTGATCTTGAAGTCCTTAATGGTGATGATAAAGAAAAACACTTGCTTACTGGGTTTTGTTATCTCTACAATTTGATTATTTCTCTTCTTTGTTTTTCAGTGGATTACATTAAAAAATGAAAGAAATTTCATTAATTGGATTATGGATTTTGCTGTTATAGGTCCTGCTTTGTTAGTGGATGTTCCAAGGAATTCTAATATAACTGGTATGCAATTTTTATACTTGAAATCCGAAACAAATTAGTGTTTTCTGTTTGCTCTGCTATTTTGGATTATTGAATATGCTAAATTGCTTATAATGAAGCTTAGACAGTATTTCTGAAATTCAAGTTATGCAATTTTTTTTCACTTGCATCTCAGTTTGGACATTGTTTTTGGGAAATTTTTGCTAGTTTGTTACCGAGTGAAAAAGATAGTCTAGTTTAGCTTATTTTCATTGGTAATTAAATTATAGGTTCATCTGATGCAACAACAAATTACAGTTTAGTTGCTTAATAGCCTCTACAATTTATTGTCCACACAATATGGATTCATCTGCAATCAGATCAATTTATTGCCAGATAAAGGTTTTAAATTTAGTGCTAGTAACTTCAGCCGGCAATATTGTCACTAAAATTTAGAGAAGCATCTATTGTCTATTATTGCCATATTTTTGTCCTTCCAAGCAAAAGGTTGTAAATCAGCATTTCTTTTAGTTACCATATCCGTTTGTGTCCTCTATGCTTTTCTCTTCTCCTTTTGACCCTGAAAATTTAATGACACCGCATGATCTTGTAGCTGAAGTTATGAAGTCCTTACACATTCCAAAGGGAGTGCGTCGTGTGCTTTTCAGAACACTAAACACTGACAGGTAAACAGTTTCACCAATTATGGTTTGTTACCATTATTTTCATGAAGATACTTTGCTATTGTTTTTTAGACATAAAAGGATTTCCATCATTGTAGGTTAAGGAATTAATCAGTCGTTGCTTTAGTAATTGTTACGGTGCCATAATTGGCTGTTATTCCAATTGTTTTGGGTCTTGTATGACCGTTTTGTCATGGCAAGTGCTGTTTGGCATATGGTTACTCTTTTCTAAAGTACTTCTCATCATTTGTGCCCTTTTTCAGATAATTCTGAACTTCATACTTCACTAGTTCTATCTTATGGATTATTTCATGGGATTTCTATGTTGTATTGTTTTATCTAGGGATTGCAAACCCCTTAGAATTATCATTAGTTTTTATTTTTTTCATTCACATCCAATGGATTTAACTTGTTTGGATTTACCATGTTAAATTTTTTGTAGTCCTACCTAGTTAGGAATACTTAATTTAAGTTGGTATGGTTATTCTTCAGGATATTCACCATAATATCTTAACATTTTTGTTGTGTGCAACGATAAGGATTGTCAATGTGTCTCTTGCAGAATTTTGATTGAAGGAAAGTTACCAAATGAATTTGGAGTCTGTTCATGTAACTAACTTTAATTTGATTTCAGGCGGCTTATGTTCAAAAGGGAGTTTGACAGAAGTTATGTGGGATTCACGAAGGATGGCGCAAAATGGTTGGTAGACAACACTGACATCAAGCTTGTTGGTAAGCTTTAAACCTTCTTCAACAATGTTCTTTTTACATAGTAGAACACTTATAATCATCCTTTTTTGCTTGTTTGGCATCTTCTAGCTATGTTGCAAGCGAAAACTTTAGTCTCCATGCACTAGAATGTGCAATTTTTTTGAAATTTGTCATCACTTATATATGACTGTTCTATTTAGGACAGAAACTTGTAACCTTGTGTGATTATTCTTCAGATTTGTTTACTTATTTTTTGGATTAAATGCAATAAGATGATGAGAACAATGGTGGTAAATTATATTGTCAAGTCAGTGTTTAGTACATCCTGAATTGATTCTTTTCGTCATACAATGTACAATAGGATGGTTGGCACTCGCCTTACTGTGTGTGTTTGTGTTGTTGCCATTCGTCACTTTTAACAGTTTCAAATTCATATGCTCTGTTTTTCTTTCAAACTGATACATAACCAACATGTTTTGCTGCTTCTAATGCAGGAATTGATTACCTCTCTGTTGCTGCCTGGAGTGATTTGATTCCATCTCATCTTGTCTTTCTAGAAGGCAGGGTATGGCAATTTTTGTCCTATGATTACTCGGTGTTTACTTTTGAATAATATTATCTGTCTTCTCTTTAAATCTTAATCTTCTCCACTAGATTAGAATCAGTGCTTTCATTTGCGTGGCTTGTATAGCAGAGAACTAAGCTGGGATTCTGGTACTTAAGAGATTAATAGGGCATTTTGTTTTCTTGAATTGTGATAACCAAACCAGACATTGAGTTCGAAACTTTTTTCTCTCTCAAGTATTTAAATTTAATAATTAAGACACAAGGTTTGTTAGCGGACAGCATTAAGCACTAACAGTGGTAGTATGCTTTCAGGAAATCATCCTTGTGGAGGCTCTAAAACTTGATGACATCCAACCTGCATTATATTCTGTCCATTGCCTACCCCTGAGGTTGTTTGGTGCTGAGGGATCTCCAATACGATGCATTCTCATCAAATGATAACATTTCAGTGTAAGTTGTTGACATCTTTGAGTGAGTGATGCCAATAATTGTTGCTTACGATTTATCTAAAGTCTCCGGTGCATCGCAATCGATGTTTAGGCTCACAACACCAAACATGCGCACAGGTTGTGCTTAGCTAGAGCAGAAGACAGGATGGCTGTAATGGAACTAATAATTCGAATAGACTTTCTATTAGCGTATGTACATATTAACTTATTTTACACTTGAATGTTTATTTCTTGAGATTTCATCTCTTGTCATTCACGTGTGTTCACTTTTGTCTTTGCTTCCTGTACTCTTTACCAAACGTTATCTGATAGAGGTACGCCAGTGCTATGTCCCTTTTGAGGAATCTGATTATTTCAAGGCACAGTGGCCTTTCTAACGAACCGTAAAGAGATTCTGCTTTGTATACTATCTCCTATCACGTATGGAAAGTTTGAATGTTCTGACTGACTTGTGGATGAAAATTAGAATAAGGGTAAATTACAATAACCCTCTCGGATTATCATAAAATTACAATTATCATCTACAAGTTTGAATGTTTGACGAAGCTCCTTTTATCTAAAATACCTTAAATTATCATGATAAAACAGTTAAATTATTGATAAATATTAAAAAAATTTAGAAAAAGATTTTTGTTTTAAATGGTCATCATTAATTTTTTGGTAGATGAACAATATTAGTTTTACCATTTAATCAATGTTGGTCTGAGTTTTTTTTTAATAACTTTCTTTAATATTTAAAATTTTAATTTATATATATATATTTTTTTAATTAGTAATTAAGGACAGCAAAAATAAAGAAAAGAAATATTGGTTCAGCGATTTGGGAGTTGACATGGCATTGCTTATAAATATATGAAAAAAATATTTAATGACTATTTTTTCAATGATGATTAATGAATATTTTTTTTATTGAAGACTACACACACACACACGTTATTAGCACATTAAATAATCTAATCAAACCATTTTTCTTATGAATTTAAGTAAAGAATTAGGTTTTGTTTTAATGGTTAGAGGAAAATCAACTATTACAAGTATAACATATAAGTTGGCAAAAAAAGAAAAGAACTCTTTTAACTCCTTTTGGAACATGTAAGGACTTCAAACCTTCAGCCGTGCAAAGAAACATCCAGGTTTTGTGCCACCAACATACATTTTGTAATTCATTTATTGTTTCATATACAATTTAATGGATACCCTTTTCAAGTGAAATGTATCCAATGACTCGTTAATTTTTATTTATTTATTTTTCCTTTATAACTGAGTGTGAGTCATTGCTAGGTTCATGCAAACTGCGCAATTTCTTTCAGGAAACAATGATTTCAGCCCAGGGTGGTATAGTGAGTGGAATAAGACAGTAGTGCTAAAAGAGGATCACCCTTCTATATGGACTCTTGACTGCGGGAGAGAAGCTGTAGAGATGATATTATTATACTTTCAATTAATTCTCTCTGTTCTATGTATGAACCTCGTTAAATTTTACATGCTACTGGTAATTAAATAGCCGTTCATAGATACAATAGTAGCTGATTTAATTTGACAAACGATCGAGTAATGGTTCTTTGGCTTTTCATTATAGATTTTGCTTTAGTCAGAATATTAATCACTATCATCTTGGATGCTAAGTCTGATTCTTCCTTTCTTTCAACTCTAACGACCATCCACTAATATATATGGGCTTTTAAAAAAAAAAACAACGTATGATAAAAATTTATATATATATATATATATATATATATATATATATATATATATATATATATATTTTTTTTTTTTTTTTTTTTGGGTGAGAATCCAGATACAACTTGCTCAAGTCGTATGGTACAACCCGTTTGAACTTAATTTAATTCATAACCTCCATGATCATTGGTAAATATAAAGAAAAGCGAGGGCTTGTCTTGTGTATTGGAATTAGGTTACGATTTGTCATAGTATTTGGAGGTATGTATATCAAGTTGACACTAACACATGAAATTCATGTGTATTTTCAGTCATTTTTCTCTTTTCAATTAATTAATAATAGCTTGAATTAACCCAAGTGTGAACTAAGGCTTCAAAATTGTCTATATTAAAAGAGAAAAAATTTTATTGAGATAATCGAAATATATCTAAATGACAGGACTATATATATATATATATGTTGAATTTATCTGTAAAAAAAAATTCCATACGTTGAGGACTAACTTGTGAAACTCATCATAAGTTAGGGTCTGATTTGTAGTTATATAAGCAGATTACACTCGCTAGCTTAAACAGCCACTTTACTCTTGAATCATTTAATGATGCCTAGGGGTGTTTATTCAGTTTTTCAGTTCGGTTTCGGTGTTTTTTTTCGGTTTTTGATTAATTAAATTGGCTAAAACAAAAACCAAAACCGAAACCGAACCGAATTGTTGTTCGGTTTTTCGATTAAAAACTAAAATTTTTTCGGTTCGGTTTTTTGGTTTTCGGTTAAAAACAGATTTTTTTTTTGCATTTTTCTTCTAAAAATCGAATTATTTTGCTTTTAAAAAATATCAAACTTGCATAATCAAAGATTGCATATTTCACATTTGATTTTATAAGAAAATTATGTATGATTATTATTATTTTTCTATAATAAATATGTTTCTATTTGCATTATAAACTAAATTAGTTGGTCTTCTTATTATTTTTTCAATCACGCTATAATTGGTTTTTTATTAATTTTTCATATTCTTTTTTTAATCTATTTATTTTTTGCATATTTTATTGTTGAATATATAATATGAAAAATTCAATTTTTAATTTATGTTTGTGCCAATTTTAATACAAGGAGATAATTTTTTTTTCATGAGGTTTTAGGATTCACCTATAAATTTATGTTTTCGTAAAGAATTTATTTATCATAGTCTTTTTTTATTTTTTTTTGTGAGTCAATATAATATAAACAATTATTTTTTATTTCAATAAATAATTAATGAAAAATATTTCTATTTTAAGTAGAAAAAAAATCATTAAAGCTATTGTTCTTTTAGTTAAACCCATAGATGCCTCTTTGATTTTTTTTTTTAAAAAAGAGTTTGAGTATGTGTTTAAAAAAAAAATACTAATTCAATTTTCGGTGGAAACCGAATTTGAAAAAAAAACCGAATCGAACCGAAATAATTTCGGTTTTCGATTTCGGTTTTTTTTTTAAATTTTAAAAAATCGAATCAAAATTATTATTTCGATTCGATATTTCAGTTTTAACCGAATAGTGAACACCTCTAACGCTGCCTAGAGTTGGATATATTGCCGGTTGAAATTATCAAATCATTTTAAATACAGTAAATAAATAAATACTCTTCCCCAACTGACCGACTCTGCTCTCTCCCTCCTCCCCTTTCTTTAAATACAGTAAAAAAGGCTTTTCTTTTTTCTTTTTTTTGAACAAAGACAAAATCATGATGATGCCATCTAGATATGCTATTCGATATATTCAACATAACACACATATATTTAGCTGATGTGGGACTTAAGGGCTTCACAACCACACAAAGCACGAGTAAATGGCTGAACTAGGTGGGCAAGAAACCCGAGTTTTTTTTTTTCCTTCTAATGAACACAAGAGAAAAAGGATAAATGGAAGTGATGCTGGGCCCCGAGTATTTCCAACAAACCCGAGGATTTAGTGAGCCCTGTGGACCAATTTGATATGCCGAAGTGGAGTTTGGATCCATTAGGCCTCCAATTATGGTTTAATGATTTCCCTCCTGAAGAGGTTGGAGTGGTCAACTTTATCACGCTGCGTGCTATTTTTGATGATCAAATAGAAATGCTTTTCCTTGGTTAATCTGAGATTTAAACCTTTGGCTAAGCGTTTTTAAAAGAAAACAATTAGACCAAGCTGTCTTAAGAATTTTGTAGTCTTGGCGCAGATAATTTGATTTTATCGTATCAAAGAGAAATATTTACAAATTCGGCATAAAACTTGGAAAAAAAAGTTATACGTACAAAACTAGTTAAATCAATGAGACATAATTAAACATATTAAAAAAACTCCAATTCGAAATAAATAAAATATTATTAAATAATAGGATTATTTTAATTTTTCAATCTATCTTAAATTAAAAAAAAAAAAAAAGAGAGAGAGAGAAGCTTTTAATCTACCTTTGTATTTTGAATTAGTTTGTAATATATCTTTTTAGTCAAAATTCTTAATCAAATTAAATATATAATTTAACAAAATTATCTTTTTTATTTGACATAATTGATTTATATCTACTAATGTGAAGATTAATTTCTAAAAATTGATCAAAAATTTTGATCAAAAAGATAAATTAGAAACCAATTCAAAATATAAAAATAGATTGAATTTTTTTTTTAAGAATAAATCAGTGGGCGTTTGTTTTTTTTTAAATTTGATTAAAAAAATTGACTTTTTACATAAGAACAGATTAGGATATTAACCTTAAATAATATGATTGGCGTGATAAATCTAAAAATTTCAACTAGTGACACCTATTTTATGTTGAAAGATTAAAGCATAAATTAAAACCTACCAAAATCTGTTTGGGCTTTTTCTTCCATGACTTGAAGTAATTATTACTTGAGTCCATTTTGATATAAAATAAAAATAGTTTATTTATGTTTACATAATAAAAAAACTGAAGTAAGAATAACAATCAACGTTGTATATTTCTGTTGTGGAAGCCATGTCCTACTGCTTATGTGTGTATTATATTGAATATATAAGTTAATATGTCTTGATCAAATCACGACAGTTTTGTTAAATATAATATTTCCTATCCTTTTTCTTAAAAAAAAGAATTATTTAATAAAATCTATCTATTGATTCTCCTTAAGAAAAAAAATCGATTCTTTCATCAGTGGTATATTTTTCATTTCTCTTCTTTTTTCTTTTTTTTTTTTGTTTTTTAAGAAATACATATATAATTTCATATGTTTTGTTGAATTTTTTTTTTCCATTCGCATTCTGGTTTCATTCTTTTGTTTAACTGACTTTTATCTGATTTGAATTTAAAAAAAAAATTATTACGTCTTTTGATTTGGAAGAGATAGATATTTTATAACAATCAATAAAATATAAAGTTTTGTCATTGATAAAATATGACAATACAGACCTGATTTACAACAACAATCCTATTTTAAAAAAACTTGCAGAATTTGACTTGACATTCGCAAATGAACTAACAGTACTTAAGAAACTATCTTTTATCGTTATTATTGGTTGTTTCGTTTTAATCTTTTTTACGTTAGTAAGTTGTAATTTTCATAATCATTAAATTTTGAAAATAATGATGAATCTTGCATCATTCTATGTCCCATGAAATTGCTATATTTCATTATTCAAAGAAGAAAGTCTAAAATCTACACGAATTGGCCAAAATCACCTTTAGAAAAATAATTGATGACTAAATTAAAAGTTTCAAGTTAAAGCTCTTGGACTGTGGCTTCAGAAAAATGATTATGAAGACTGACTCACAAAAAACAATAAATGCTATTTGTAATGAAATTCTGTCTACTGATATCTAATATAACATTATCATTGATATCCAATATTTTTATCAACGATAATGATACGTATCCTTTAACTATACCTTGAAAGAACGTAATCAAGAAGCTAACTGTCTCGTAAGTATTGGTTTTTCACATGATACCTTTTTTTCGAGTTTAAAATGTTGCTCCGCCATGTTGCCTAATGATGCTGCTTGTTTTTGTTTTTTAAGCGCTTAAGACAGTACAAAATAGAAAACTGTATCATAAAAAATATAAAATTTTATAAATCACTTGTCGTGGCATCTTCTCCACGCACTCAAATATCGGCCACCAACCAAGCAACCAGAAGTATCATCATATCAATCTTCAACTCATTTTTCTTAATTGAGTTTATTTGTCGATCTCAACATCTTCACCCCACTTCCGCAAGCTATGGCCAAAACCAAGACCTTGGCATCTCTCCTCTGGTTACTACTCCTGTCTCCCCTCTCCACCGCCGCAGCATCCAGCGCCGCTTATCCCACCATCCCTGGCACCGCGGACACCTCCTTCTCGGCTTCACAAGACAGCAAACTTATCCCAATCAGGCGTGAAGTGTATGGCGATGGGAGAATATTTGACATCACCCACAGGTACACAAGCGACATGGCGTCCATGGACTCAGAAAATGGGCTGGGTCAGTTTCTGAGGCTCCGAGAAAGCATGAAGAATGGGTCCTTCGCCAACATATCAGAGATGAAGTTGATCACTCATACTGGAACACACGTTGATGCACCTGGACATTACTATGATCATTACTTCGATGCTGGGTTTGATGTGGACACTCTTGACCTTGAAGTGCTAAATGGTAATGATCATATTCTTGATTTTTTTTTTTTTTTTTTTGTTTTTTACATACAAATATAATTGTGGCGTTTAGTTGGTTTTGCTTCTGTATTTTCATTTTTCTTTTTAATGAAACCTTTTTTTTTTTTTTTCTGAACATTAACTACTGAAATCTAGCCATATTATTGTTTCAATAGGTCCTGGGCTATTAATTGATGTTCCAAGGGGGACGAACATAACTGGTATGTATTTCAGTTTTGTTCTCTTTATGTGTACATTTTATAGTTACAAATACAGCTCTTAATTTTATTTTTTTTATTCAATCTCCTTTCCTCTGGCTCTTCTTTGGGTTTATTTCCTTTTGACTTACCTGCTTGTACTTAATAGTACTGTCTACTTCATACAGCTGAAGTTATGAAGTCATTACATATTCCTAAGGGAGTTCGTCGTGTTCTTTTCAGAACAGAAAATACTGACAGGTAACTCAATTCCCTGTGGATTAATATATTAATTCAATGGATCTAAATGGATGCCTTTAGTTTAGCTGGTCGTGTTAGGTCTGAATCTGCGACAACAAATAATAAGTTTTCCAATCTATTTGTGGATGGGTTAAAGTTGGGTGTCAGTACCGGAAAAAAAATCTCAGTGAAAGCAAGAGTCTAGATATAGATGGCACTTAAGGTTAGACGGGAAAAGATCATGGTCTCTAAATGCAAAAGCTCTTCTTCCTGATCGTTAAGAAAAAAAAAAGCACCTATGCTATTCAGAGTAGGGTTGTGAATCCACACTTATCCAACTGGTGCCATGTGTTTTCCAATCGGATGAAATATTGGGGACCCAAAAAATGACATGGATATGCTGGTTGCTGATTTGGATCATAGATATTTAGTTATGGCTAAAAGGCTAAACCTTTTGATGAATTAAAAGTTTTTAAACTTTTAATTTGTATTTTGAGTCTATTCTATGTTTTTCAGCCATCCTCCTTTTCTTTTGAAAAATTCAATTTTTTATATTTTGATTTGAAGTTTTGCACACGTTAGAAAAAATCCAAATCGTTTTTTAGAAAAATTTCAGATTTTTTCAAGATCATGAATTGTATATTTTTTTATTTTTTTTAACATTAAAAATGTAAAGAAAAAAACCCTGGAATGATTTCAAATTTTTTGAGAGATTCTGATAAATCTTATCGGATGATTTCCATCAAGAAACGATGATTTTTTTTTATATTTTGGATAAAGGATATAAAGTTCAAAGGTGGACAAAATCTGAAAAAAAAATCATGAAGATCAAAATACAAATAAAAGTTTAGTAATTGATTTTTAAATAAACTAAAATTCAGAAAAAAAATTTGACCGTTTTAGCATTTAGTTATCTGAACAAAAATTTAACTAAAAATTTCAGGCGACTTATGTTCAAAAATCAGATGGATACAAGCTTTGTGGGATTCACCACAGACGGAGCAAAATGGTTGGTTGAAAACACTGACATTAAGCTTATTGGTAAGCTATTAACCTACAATTCAGTTTAACACTATTTTTCGTTAGCTATATTTTTGTCAAACTTATACGCATACATTCTTTTCCAATGTAGGAATTGATTACCTAGCTGTTGCTGCTTGGAGTGATTTGGTTCCAGCCCATCTTGTCCTTTTGGAGAGCAGGGTGAGACTCATGTAACGACCTATGATTAAATGATGTTTAGTTTTGACTAACATGCAGGAGTACCTGTTCTTGGTGATTAGAAGCAAGTATGTAAGTTCTCAGCCATTTTAATTTGGATCCTTCCATTGAGCCACCTTTAAAACTTTAATAACCTTCTCTACTACATTAGAAAGTCACTTTCAATCATGTAGTGTGTACCTTAGAGAACCAAGTAATTAAGGTGGGATTATTGGTGTCTATGAAGAAGCTATATTGTTCTCTCATAGAAGAATTTCATTTTCGTACATGCGAATTGGCCTGATTTCACTCTCAACTCAAATAAAAATCCCAAAATAACTCTAAATTTAGGATGGCTCTTGTGTTCAAGGAAAAGAAGGTGTCGGCAATCAACATTCAACACTAAATATGCTTAGTAGTATGTTTCAGGAAATCATCATTGTGGAAGGCCTAAAACTCGATGACATCCAACCTGGAGTGTATTCTATCCATTGCTTGCCTCTAAGGTTGCTTGGTGCTGAAGGATCGCCAATACGATGCATTCTCATCAAATGATAACTTTACATTGTAAGTTTCTGGCATCTGAAGTACTGACTCCGATCTTGATCATAACTGTCTAAAATTATCTGTACTGAGCAAAGAAACATCCAGGCTATGTGCCCGTTACATGTACATTTTTGTTTGATTCATTTTTTTGTTTAATGTACGATTGATGGTTGTTTTCAACTAAATCGTATTCCATGACTGTGAGTCGAAGCTAGGTTCGTTCTAACTGCCTAATTTCTTGCAGGAAACGATGATCTCAGCCCAGGGAGGTATTGAGTAGAATAAGACAGTGTTAATAGATGATCAACCTTGTGCCTACTGGGACTCTTGGCTATGGGAGAGATGCTGTAAATATGATATAATATATTTTGAATACTCTGTTCTGTGATGTATGAATGTGCTTAGTGCTATTTATTAATTACAGTCATTCATATAACATCCTAGACTTTTACTACTGGTCATTCATACTATCATATATAACCTGGTAGATGGCATAAAAAAAAGGGCAAATCAAAGAAATGAACCAAATCAATGGGTTCCTTCAATTGTTTCGGATCTATTCTCCCAATCAGCAAAGGATACTTTGTATGGTTCTTCGCAAGTTTGCTGTCACCGATGCAACCTGATAGAGGAAGGATTGTTGGAGGCAATCTTCGAGAACACAAAAAAGAAAATCATAACACGAACCCATTAATGGAACCTATTAAATATTGAAGGATTTGTTTGTCTGCTGCATGAAACTTTTGGGACGTTTGTTTCTTTCTCTTTTGCAACTTCGTAGCTTCTTACCTCTAGGGACCAACACCTGTATGCGGTGAGATCATTAATTTCCATACCCAAGATATAGATTCCCTTCAAATGAACAAAAAATAACAAATCAATACCAAACAAGAACAAGTCAAATCATAGCAATTATAAAATCAACCACCTTCGTCAGGAATTTAAACAACGCCGCTTTGATTTGGGAATCGAAGCAAAGAGGTGAAAGCTTGATTTGAATAGTTTTTCTTTTTCTTTCGTGAGCTTAGTTTGAAAGTTGAAATGGATGTTGATGGAGATTTTAGGGCCTCCAGCAAACTTCTTTTTCCTTTGATTTAAAAATATAACAACATCAAACGCTAGATAGGCATTTAATTTTAATTTTGCAGCATAGTAAACAAAGAAATTATTAGATAAATTTAAAATTATACTCTTATCTCTAATAAAAAGGATTTATGGATAATTTTCATGACATGTATTGTTCTTTTATGAAAACAAAAAGGATAGAATCAATACTGGGTATTTGAATCATCCTCCATCCGCCATTTCTAATGGACGCAGCTACAAGGCCAAAATTAAGCTTACATATAACATGAAGTGAAGTGAATATCTTTGGGCAACAATAAGAAATAAAAATAAAAAATAAAATGATAAGAATATTTTTTTAAAAAAGTTTTACTTAATAATTTCTATCATGAAAATATTTATGTAATTGTTATTTTTGAGCTAAATGAAAAAAAAAACTAAAAGACAAACAAAATTTCCAAAAAATAAAAAAAAACACAGAAAAGTCAAACCTGAAAGTAAAATTTTAAGAAATGATTTTCAAATAAATTAAAGTTTAGAAAATGGGCTGGGCTTAAATATTAGAACTGGTCCATAATGAAGTAATTTTTTCAATTATACTAGTGTGTACTTTTTGTTTGAATGCGTATATATATGTGCATAATGAATGCGTATATATATGTGCATATATATAGCCTTTGGTGTTTAAAAAACCAGGACAAATTCTATTGGAATCACGTGCCTAAGCTTAAATATCGTTATCAAAAGAGTGGAAGCATTGGCGAAGAAATTCGCAGCCTGTGTACACTAGTGTGTACTTTTTGTTTGACTTATGATGCATTTCGTTAATTATTATACCAGTCCAACAAATCATGTTTTTGCTCATGGTTTAGTTAATTTGGTTTTTGAAAAAAAAAAAAAGGAAGAAATGGAATTTTGTTTTATTTTTGTAATATTTATCTTTTGAAAGACGAAACCTTGTCAATTGTTTTTTTGCTCCAGTGAATGTTATTATTAATATAATTGTTTGTATATACTTAATTGTAAAGGTCCAGGGCTATTAATCGTTGCTCCAAGCGATACGAACATAACTGGTATGTATTTCAGATAGCATTGCGGTATTAATTATCACGTGTTTATGGTTTTTCCTTTGTGTTTTTAGTCTCTTTTGTGTGGTTTAGGCCCACCTAGTTTTGTTCAGCAATAATGTCTATTACGTACTTTACAACTGAAGTTATGAAGTCCTTAAATATTCCGAGAGAAGTAGGTGCAATGTTGTTTTGTGGACTAAGGAGATGCAAACATTTTAAGCATGGTCAAAATTGGGTGGGTCAAAGTCTACAGTACATCACATTTATTGGGTTTCAGACCATTTCATCGAAGATGCTGATCTTGATTTCGGGTCATTGCTAGTATTTAATTATCTGAAGAAAAATAATTATATTGAAAGTTCTGAGGCGACTTTTGTGCAAAAATCAGTTTGGCAGGAGCTTTGTGGGATTTACGCAGGACGGGGCAAAATGGTTGGTAGAAAACACTGATATTAAGCTCATTGGACCTTCTCCAATAAAATATTTTCGTTCTACAGCTAATTTTTTGTCAAACTTATGCATACTCTGTTTTTCTTGCAAAACCCATGACTTGTTTATTATACAAACGTAGGAATTGATATACTTATCTGTTTCTGCTAGGATTGAGTTGGCTCCAGCTCATCTCGTCTTTAAGAAAGCAGATCAAGACTAATTATCTGGCCTACATTAATTAAACTTTAAAGGATATTTAATTCTGACTAACATGTGTTCGTCAAAGTTGCGAATCATGTCTATCAATTTGAATTATATTGAACCACTCTTGAAATTTTAATAATTTTTTGACCCTCGAGTACAATAGATAGCGAAATCACTTATAATTGTATCTTTGATCGGGCCTTTGATTGAAAACAAATCATTTCGTTTGATCCAGTTGTACTGATTTTACTCGATCTTCAACTGAAAACCAAAACCATATTTGAATTAAGGATGGGTATTGGATTTGAGGAAAGAAAAGTGTTAATTAACACTAATTATATATATCATTTCAGAAAATCATCATTATAGAAAGCTTAAAATTAACTTGATGACGTTCAACCTGGAATATATTCTATCCATTGTTTACCTCTAAGATTGTTTGGTGCTAAAGGATCACCAATAAGATGCATTCTCACCAAATGATAAATTTTTTCACTGCAAGTTTCCAACATCTTCAGATATTTAATGATCCGCTATGTCGACAATTTCCTGTACATAATAAGGCCAATCTAGGCTTTGTGTTACTGATATGTTAACGTTTTTTTCTTTTCATATATATATATATATATATATATATATATATATATATTTTATGGTTTGATAGACAATATTCTCGTCAAATGTATTTCCTTTTTTTAAAAGAAAATTTTCATTCCACCTGTTGTTCCTCACACATAAAAAGAAACATTATTAAATAATAAATTAATTGATTAATTGTAAATTAAGATAGACGTATAATTGAAACTTTTACTTTTATCATTAAAAAAATTAAGGATTAATTTTATGTTATCATGTTTCATGGTATAAAAATAATTGTACTATCATAATAGTTTTATCAAAATATTTTTAGATAACCGCCGTGATTCATAATCAAGTTATTTTTTTGAAATAATATACATCATTCGTAAAATTTATCCGATGTAACAAATCAATTATATGTTACACGTGGTCTATATTAGCCACTTTGCAATGTCTTAATAAATTTGTACTGCTCATTAGATTTTAGACTCTATAAAATAAAATAGTAACACTATTATTGAAATATAGAATAAATAAACATTATATGGTAATAATGGTTCATGGTGGGAGATTAAAAAACAAAAAAATTAAAAATTATATTTCTTCATTAAAAATTGCTGCTATATTCTTCTCTCTAACAAACCAGAATATATAAACATATAATATTATTGTTGCGTCTGAAACGTCAAGAAAATGTCATATTTATAAGCTACCAGAAGGTAGCCGTTTGAAAGATTAAATATTAAAATAAATTTTAATAGCAACGGCCAAAAAAGTCATGAAAACGTTTTTTTTCGTTTAATTTGGACAAAGTGACTGTTTTGAAACATAAGACATAGGAGCTAGAAGATTTTGCCCTCCAATATTTCTTTGGTTTTAGTGATTGTCTTTTGCTCTTGTTTTCTGGTTTGATCTTTGACCATGCGAATGTTAGGTGTTTGAAGGAGGGAAAAAAAAAAAAGATTAAGTGACTTCTCACACTCACATATATATAGTTGTATTTGATTGAATTGGAAATGAAAATGGATGAAAACTCATGACCAACCATTTATAATCTAACTCTTAAGTAAGTATTAAAATTATTTTTTTATAACCATCATAAATCAGGAGCCAGGCCATATGTTTGAAATCATCCAAAAGTTTAATATCAGTTTGCATGTTCTATAGTATATGTGTTGACCATTCGTCTAGCATTTATCATTACATTAATGCAGCTTTTACATTTTTTGTATCCTAACATTTTAATTGAGTCCGGCTACGGAGTCATTTGGATCAATTTGAAAATGACCCTGCCTTGTTTATGATGTGGCAGCTCCATCTTAATTTTTAAGAGAATATTTTTTAACAGCAACAACATCACTTTTTCTTTCTTCTTCTTTTTTTTTTTTAAAAAAAATCGTATCTTTGAATTATTCTAGGAAGTTAACGTCATGTTTCAGAATAAGGTATTTATAATTTTATTGAAATATTAATTTGGGCAAAGCTAAAATATATCAATTTCTCTTTCAATTTATTTTTATTTTTCACTTATGCACTCATATTAAAATCACTTAATAAAAAATATTTTGATAGTTTTTCATTCATTAAGTGAAATTTTTTTTTTTTTTACAGAATGACGTTATATATTACCATATTAATAATTTGAATAGAAATCTTTTTAAAAAAGAATGGAAGTCTTCAATTGAGAATTTCTGAAAATTTGAAAGTAAAATCAATAAAAATATATATATACCTAGAAAAATAATTTATAGTGAACAGGAAAACTGACCCCTTTTTCAGAAAACATACAACTTAAGGAGAAATTTTATAATACACAAGGAGTAACTAGTGGCATGTACAGTAGTTACTCCTGGGTCCATTTTGAGAAAAAAGATAGACACATAAAAAGAGAGAGAGAAAATAAAAAAATTTAAGTGGACGTGAAAATCTTTTTATCACTTTTGGTGGGTATGAATGTAGTTTGTTTTTTTTTTTATGTATCTATCTCTCTTCTTCAAAATAAGTTTAAAAAATAACTATTATATATGACACTAGTTACTCATTGTGTTTTTTAAAATTTTTACAGCTTAAGGATTTGAGAAGAGGAAAATATTTTTTTTGTATTACTTCAAATCACTGACGGTCCTGTTTATCGAACACTTGTGCACCATATATATATATATATATATATATATATATATATATATATATATGGCAGTTGATAATCATTTGATATTTCTACATTCTCGATAGGTGTTTTGCCTCTCTCTCTCTCTCTCTCTGTTCTGGTTTTACTTGTTTTCAAAAACTTATTTTGCCATGCATACAGAAAAAAACATAAACATGAAAAAGATAAGTTTCTACTATTTTGATCATCAAACAGTCAAATATCTGGAGAATGATTAGTTTCACCCATAATTTATTTTGGCAAATTAAATAGCCTTGTAAAATTTTTCACCCGGAAATACGGCAGGGCTTGAGGAAACTGTTTCTCAAGATCATCAATATGTTGGGAAACTTTACTGACGAACCAGCTAAAATCAATGCATTTTACTTGGTAGTGAAGGTCGGAATGTTACGAAAAAGATCGACAAGTTAAAGAATTATTTGTTAATTACATTAAAGAATAATTTCAAAGTAAAATTTAAACTATTAAATGAAATTTTAAAATATAATTTCTATTATTTTTTAATGTATTTTTTCAAATAAAAATTTACTATAAAAAAGATAGAATGGTGAGATATGAGTTTGTGATTGTTTAATCATTAAAACTCTAACATTATATGAAAATAATTTCAATCCAAAAATTTAAGATATTATATGAGTTTTCAATATATAATTTATATTACTCTCTAGCAAATTATTTTGTTTACAATGGAGATTTTCGTTATTATCCTATAGTTTTATTGTCTTCCCAATAAGATATTAATTGTTGCCACATCTACTGCAGGAGGCAGATCTAAAATAGAATAAATCAAGAAAATGTGCAGAGCCATAAAAGAAGACAATTAGAGAAAGTCAATAAAGAAAATCAAAACATTCATTAATGATTTGTTATTTATTTCATGAAGAAAATTCCTTTCTTTTGCTTCACCATCGGAGATCTTGTTATCTCTGTATCTACGTACCTATATCAATGTAATGATTTGCCTTCATCATTAATATACTTATAATTAAGTACTCCCAAATAGATTTTCTCGATTAATTTAAGAAATTTATTAATTGTTATTTCATACAATATTTTTTTGTTATTTTTTTAAATACATTTTTTAAAAAAATATTAATTATCAAATTTGATCTTACATGCATGGAACCAATATTAATTTAAGGAAAAATCTATCCAAAATTAAGATAGTAAATTAAAGAAAAAATCATCATGTTAATTAACGATAAGTTTAAAATAATTATAAAAAACTAATATACTAATGAAAATATATATATAACTCTCAAAATTTCAGCATGCAATAAAAATTATGCAGGAAAGAATATTTGTCATACAGTTTTTTTTTTTTTTGAAACTTTTACGTTAAAAGAATTTGTATATATGACTGCAAAGTATAAAAAATACTGATTTTTTATTAGTGAAAACATGAAACGAAAATGAAAGAAAGAATTCATTTTTTAATCTATCAGATATGTTTCAGGAAAGTACATTATTTTAAATTTTGAGCAGATAAATATTTTGAAACATATATATAATTTCGTAAAATAACTCATCCAAATTAGCATCAACATTAGATGTAGCATTAAAATTGGTTAAATGGGTCAAATCATTCCTAAACTTTAACTTATTTGAAATTCTGTTCATGAACTTTAAATTTGGTTTTAGAAATTCATAAAATTTTAATTTTTTTTTTTAGTTTAGTCTATCTAATGATTTTTAGCTATTTTCTCCATTTTAAAAATTTTAATTTTTAATATTTTGAGTTCAAATTTTTTAAGAAATTTTACCAAATGATTTTCGTCATAAGACTATTGTTATTTTTTGGGATACATGATAAACAACTAAAAAATGGAATAAATGTTAAAAAAAAATTAAAACTTTAAAAATTCTAAAAATTAAATTTAAAATTTAAATACTCAATTTCAAATGAGTTAAATTTAGCCATAAAAATTAGGTGATTACCTTCTAGATCCCAGACAAAGTTAGCAAGCCAATATTTTTTAAAAGGCTACCCCAGGTACTTTTCCAACTATCGTCTGTCCCACGATTACCTGTTTTCTATGTAAACTCATTCAGCCATGTGACCAACAAATTTTGAAAATGGTCCCATTCCGACTTGAAAATGATGCTCTAAATAACCACATCCATCAGTCTATATAAGCTATTATACATATGGGTCTCTGCATCTACCTGCTCGCTAAGCGCCAAGCACTCTGATAGCCAAATTTCCTCCCGTTAACAACAAAACCATGAGGGCCCTCCAGCTTCTGCTTCTACTATGCATCCTGCTATCTCCAGCAACCCTTTCACTAGCTCGTGATCCTGTTCGTGTGAGAAGAGAGATCAGAGATCGTGAGGTGTATGGTAATGGGAGAATCTTCGATATCACCCACGAGATCAATCCTAACATGCCCACATGGGACTCCAAGGATGGTCTTGGCCAGTTCATTTGGCTTGTTGATAGCATGAAGAATGGTTCCGACCTTAATTCTTCTCAGTTTAAGCTGTCCACACACACAGGCACGCATATTGATGCACCCGGACATGTCTACGAGGAATACTATGAAGCTGGATATAACGTCAATTCACTTGACTTGGCTGTGCTTAATGGTAATGCAAATCTGTCGTGTTTCTGGGTTTTTTTTTTTTTTCAGCATGTTGATTGTATGCCTTAATTGCTTAATTAGATGATAACGTGTTTTTAGGTCGACGTTATCTGATGATTTTAGAAAACAAAATTGCCTTAAAGATTAGCTCATACATGGAGTTTAAGCCCTCGATAACTCAACATGTTGGGTTATTGCTGGTTTTAATCACATTCTTATAATGGTTTATGGGTTTGCTTTGGAATCTTATTACTAGCTTCCTAGTTCCTACAATTCATCTTGGAGATCACCCATTGTTGTTGTGCTTTTTTTTTCTTCAACAGGCCCTGCCATGCTGGTTGATGTTCCGAGGGATAGTAACATAACTGGTATGTGTTTTAGATGGACTCATTTTTACTATGCACTGTATGCTATTGGTCCGTATTCTAGAAAATTCTAATTTCTCTAGGACCAATGAGACAACTGTATACGTCTAAATAGACAAGGTCAAGCTCATGTCAATTTTAATTTATGGAATTGCTTAAAAGAAATTGAAAGTCCACTTGCCTTTTACACTGATGACTGATAAGACCTATCTTATTAGTTTTTTAGTACCTAATGCTCTAATAAGTTGAGCTTCTTGCATCAGCTGCGGTTATGAAGTCCTTGAATATTCCCAGGGGGTGCGTCGTGTGCTTTTCAGAACTTTAAATACTGACAGGTAATTACTTACTCAATTTGTTTATTATGTTTCTGCTTCTCAAGTTTTAATACCGATAACGAGCAATCCAGAATGTTTTCTGCAGACTCTTTTCTACACTAATCTAGCAGAAACATAGAAATTAAGTAGTTGAAGAACTGGAATTGAAATTCTCATTTGTGACTTTGTGCTTTCTGTCTTCAGTCCTGTGTCAGAAGACTTACCTTGACTAAAGTGATTACAAATTCCCATGGACCGCCCTTGTTTCTGTCATTAGTTTGATTTAAATAGCATAAATTGCTGCAAAATCTAAAAGAAACAACATTTTAAAGGAAATAGAATCTAATCCAATTTCAGGAAGCTTATGTTCAAAAAGGAATTTGACTCGAGCTATGTCGCATTCATGGAGGACGGAGCAAAATGGCTGGTAGAGAACACAGACATCAAACTAATAGGTAAGATTAGATGTGTCTCTTGATTTTGCTTATGGTAATCCAAATTCTCTTTGCATTGTTCTAAATACTGCAAATTTCTATATCATTATTTTTACAAAACTGATGGTCTTTCTGTTATGAACTGCAGGAGTTGATTACTTATCCTCTGCTGCATACGTTAATACAATCCCACCTCATCTTATTTTTCTCAAAAAGAGAGTAAGAAATTAACCTGATTACAATTACTTTGGAGGACACCTTTCTTTTTCGCTTGATAACAGTCTGCTTTATGCGCTAACCGCTTTACATGATTAATATAGTTTCTTGTTTTGTATGTAAATTGGAAATTAAAGAAAATGTCAAAAGTTGAAACAAATTGACAGTGCACAAATATTGCAGGAAATCATTCTTGTGGAAGGCCTAAAACTTGACAACATTACAGCAGGACATTATAATGTCCATTGTCTACCTCTGAGGATGATTGACGCTGATGGATCGCCAGCAAGATGCATTCTTATCAAATGATAATTTAATTTTTCTTTTCAACAATTGAAGTTATTTGATTGTTGAAGGTGATGCATCATTGTATCTGTCAATCAATAATTACATAGGGAATCATCTCTATTTCATTGGGAAACTTGGGATTTGTATGTTGATCATGTAAGAACAATGTTTATATGTATCAACATGAACTACAGCTGAAAAAAACTCTGTTATGAATCGAATAATCAATGAAATAAAACAGAATAATTAACTAAGACGTATCTACCTAGTTGCAGCTGCTGTCTTTCTTTTTTGTGTTGCGTGATACTACGGAGCATTTGTCAGGAAACTTTACTCGAGAACTGGCTAAGATCAATGCCAATTAATATGATGATTATGATTTTTTTTTTTTGTGAATGAATTATGGTTGTTGTTACAAATAGTTTTGGATTTCTATATCCAAGCCGAAGGCAAAATTTATCGAGCAAGACCTTTTATAAGAAAGCAACGTCCATCACTTTCCAATTCTGGTCTTTGACCACTATAAAATTGTTAGGTGATTAATCAAGTCTACAGCCTCATCCTTAAACTAGGCTAATGAACATAAAAATAATATAATTATCCCCATGTGATATTGTGGTGGAAGACCAAGTCTGCCAATGACTACTTTCCTCCACGACTTTTTTCGATTTGCATTCCTCCAAACAACGACCGACTAAATTTCAAAATGATGCTCTGATTGATATTTTATCAGTCTCTATATATGTGTGTGTTTACCTTAGCACTCTGGAAGCCTAATTTCTCCCTTGGACCAAAACCAGGAGAGCATTCGAGCTGCTTCTGCAGCTGGTATGCATTGGCGGGCTATCTTCAGCAACCCTTTCAATAGCTGATGATCCTGTTCATGTGAGAAGAGAGATTACTGAGGTATATGGCAGTGGGAGAGTCTTCGATATCACCCAGGAGATAAATCCTAACATGCCCGCATAGGAATCCAAAAAGGGACTGGGACATTTCATCAGACTAGTTGACAGTATGAAGAATGGCTCCGATGTTAATAAATCTTAATTTAAGCTGTCCATACGTACAGGCACCCATAACAATGCGCCAGCACATTTTTTACGATGAATACTATGATGCTGGAAATAACGTCAATACACTTGACAGGGATGTACTTAATGGTAAAAACAATTGTTACCGCATAATTGATCATAAATAATCAGTGCTACACTGCAAGTCCGTAGAATAGGTGAAATAATTTGAAAAAAAATGTATATTTTGGTTTGATTGCTAGTATTACGTTAGGGATTTATCAATATCTATTAAATTAAAGATAAAAAGGAAAATCATCTAATTTTATAATATTTTAACCAAAATTTTGTATTTAATTCATTCTTTTTTATATTTTTTCATAAATTTTTCTTTATTGATTTTTAAATAAAAACAGACAATAATCTAAATAAAAAAATTTAATCCAATTTTTTAAAAAAATATCTTAATATTTTTTATAACATCGATTGCATCGAAAAAATATAACAACAATTAATTTAAAATTTTGAATAAAACTTAACAAATAGTTTTTTAAAAATTTTATTTAATGCTAATGAGAAAATGATTTAAAAAAAATTTACATTTGATTTATATAAATTTATTCAAAAAAATAATCAATAATATTAATATAAAAAACTGTATTTAAATCATTGTGTGGTTTTTCTAAAATATTATTTCAATTATTTTATATAAAAAATTGGTTTGTATTAAAAAAATTAATACCAAATGGTTGGTATTTTGTGTGTAGATGTATGATTAATTTCTAATAAAACCAAAAAATCTCTCTTTATACACACACACACACATCATGATCATACTTGAGTGTGAAACATAAATTAAAAAAAAATTAAAAAATCACTTAAGTTATAAATAATATATTGAAATTAATAGATCAAAATAAAAACAATTAAAAAATTGTTTCGATAAATTTTGATTATGTAAAGAAGAAGCACACCAAACATGTGAATTTTATTTATTTTTAAAAAAATTGAGATAAATAATCTGAATACAATTTTATCTTTTTAATACCTTGTTTAAAAATTATAAGAATTCATCATATAAATTACATCAATATATTTTTTTAAAAAATAAATAATTATGTTTTAAAATTTTATTTGAAAATTCATGCATGGAGAAAAATAACTTATATTTATTAACAAATAAAATTATATAAAAAATAAAAATTTAATTTGATGAGAATTTTCATAAGAAAAGATAAATTAAAAAAATTAATTTTAAATAATAAAAATAATATAAGTTGATATATATGGTCGCCTAAAATCTAAAAATATATCATATATATTTCATCACCAGCAGCCTTTATAAAAAACAAAAAAAAAATATGATGATTAATTTTTCATAATTTTTATACCTAATTTAATAATAAAAAAACTTCTGAAAAAAGTAAAAGATTAAAATAAATAAATAAATAAATTACCAAGGCAAGCCAATGACCTTGGGCTTGAAGAAGCAAGCCCATGTGGCCTTTTTTTTTTTTAAATGATGCGTTGCTCATGTTGGGCAGCAACGCGAGCAATGTGTTCTTGCCTGAGTTTATCAGAAATATTGCCAGAATTATCGCTGGCAAATATAGAGTCTTGTTTTAGACATTTGAAAGCTATTTCCAGCATCATTTTTGCCCAAAAACTCTTCAAAATCACTGAAATAAGGTTAATATAGTCGTTTGGAACCTTAAAAGCATTTCAATGTACATTAAAAGAAAAAAAATCAAATAAAAAAATTTAAATTTTATTGTGCTTCAATCTATCTCCATCAATCATTTTGTAGCTTGAAACTACTAACAAACTCTCCTTATCAATAGAAACAATATAAATACAAGATCAACGACAAAATAGATCGAAATCAAGACCGATTGTGGCTTTCCCTCTTCTTTCTTCTTCCTCTTTATTTCTATTCCCTCTTTGCATTCAAAAACCAAACTACGATATTAATGAAATTATGGACCAAAATATTTTTTAAAAAAAATTAAGGACCAAAGTACAATATTGAGTAAAACTTGTATATAAATATATGAAGACTTTTGGAAAATTACAAAAATACCATTGTACAATGTAAATAAATAATACACAAAATCTAAGTGAATAATATAGTTTCACATGGGTGAACAATTATCTAAATAGTAAATCCTCCTACTTTTTTTTTCGGATAATAGTTGACTTTTTCATGCTTATTATAGTTCCTTTAATTAGCTGACTGATGATTTAGGAAGAGGGTTGGCCCTTAATGGCACACAATGTTGTGTTAGTATTGTCTTTAAAATATCGATTTTTAAAGCGTTAATCGGATTATTATATTTGTTTTCTGATTACTTCAAACAATTTCGTGTTGGAGATCAGTACCAATTATTGTTTTCTTTTTCTTCAATAAGAAATGCAATGCTAGTTGATGTCCCAATGGATGGTAACATAATCAGTATTCGTTTCTAACTTTCTGATGGAGTAATTTCTGTAGCAATATTTTTCAAATATAACATAATGTATCCTTACTCTAGCTGCGTGCCATTGGCTTGTACGCTAGAAAATTCTACTGGCTTTCTACTGTGAGGAGCCAATTAATGAGATAATTTTATGGAGTTGCTTAAAAGAAATTCTGAAAATCTACTTTCCTTTTATGGTGTGGCTGATAAGACGATCTTATTAATTGGTTAGCTTTCGGTACATGTTTTATTTTTATGAATAGTTTTTCTTGGTACATCATGTTCTGATATGTTTATACTTCTTGTATCAGCTAAAGTTATGGAGCCTTTGAAAATTCCTAAGGGTAAATTGTTTTACTTTTCAGTAATATCCAGTCCCCAGTTAACGGTTCTGTAATCTAGCAAATAGCAATGCCATCTTTAGCATTTGAACCACTGGTTTTGATTCTTACAGTCTACCTCATCCATAACTCCTCAGTGACTTAATTATAAAGGCTAGGTGTCCAGAATTTCCTCATTGTTGCCTATCGTATTAGATTTGACTTGAAATTAAAAACAACTGCTATAACTCAGTTCAAATGTCTCATACGAACGAGTGAGGTAGAACAAGTGGTCATAAATTTTGTCCACAACAAACTATCATGCTCGAAACCACAAGGTGAAAGCTTAGTATATACCAGATCTTCAAAAAAACTCTCAAATAAACAAGAATCCCATTAACTGTAAAGCATTTGTGGGTGATTGAGATCCGAAAAATACAATGAATAGTAGTAGTTTACACTCTAAAAACATGACTTGTAAACTCAAGTGACGTTGAACCAAGGTAATGAGTGGAAGAAGGAAAAGGGCCCTTATAATATCTTTCTTCGCAGGCTACATTTATTTTGTTTATCGAGATGGAAGCATTGATTAGATTGCAATTTCTTCTTAGTATCCACATGGTTGGGTATGGTTTAGCACCTTCGCCTTCATTCTACCCAACATTAAGGACTAAGGAACAATTTTGAATGGAGAAAAGTAGCATTTGCTGGAAGTATGCTGCCATTCTTCATGGATAAGTGATACTGTTTATGTTCACGATAAAAGCAACAGAAGTTCAAATAAACTGATAAGCTATATGAAATGGACAAATAAATATACAAGGAAAATTAAATTAAACAGAAAGTAGGTGAGCTGACTTTGACTTATTGAAGAGCCAAGTGAAAGATTACTTACAAGTGAACATTCAGTACTTGATCAAGAATTATGATCCGAAATATAAGCTTAATCCTTATAGATGCTGGTTTTGGACAACTATAAAATTAAGGAGCTATTTTCAATGACAATTCCATTCCCAAAATCGCACACCCGTTGGTTTCTAAATACTCATCCATGAGAGTCTCATGTCCATAACGACAAAGAGCCACCAAAATCTGAAGGATGTAACAAAAAGCCTTCACCACCCAGAAGACGATGACCATGATAAATCTGAAGGGCTTCTAAAAAGCCTTCACCACCATATTCTGATCATCCATCATCTCAAACCCCTCCAATCTATGTTACTTCACCCTCAACTCCATCATCTTCGCCACCATCACACTCACTTTCTACTACCACTCCGTCTTCACCACCATCTTCAATATCTTCGCCAACGCCTCCTACTACCACTCCATCTCAACCTTCACCTCCATCTTCGTCAACACATTCTCCAACATCTCCTAACACTACTCCCTTTTCACAATCACCTCCTACTACACCATCTACACCTACTCCAACACCTCCTACAACACCATATAATCCTTTTCCACTATCAACTCCTACTCCGTCTCCACAAACTCCTAGTGGAAATCCACCTTCATCCCGTACACTGACTCCACCTACTTCCTCTTCTACCCTTTCATTAACTCCTTCTACCTTACCCAAGACAGCCTAGTGTAAAAACAAGTACTACCCTCAATGTTATAACACTGAGCATGTGTCCCAGTGCATGCTCTGGTGGATGGGAAGTTAATTGTGTCACTTGTAAACCTGTTTGCAGTAAGTAGTTCGAAACAATTAATATTATTACACAATCAATAAAGTTCTCCACTAATTTAATTTTGATAACAAGAGGAAATATGATGCTCTTTTAGCAATGTTTTTGAGTTATAATCGGAGGGATCCATTGTATCATCTAATAATAATTGCTTTTGTCATTGGCATAGTGTGATAGACCTGAGCGGTGTGCTAAGACTCGCGTTTCATTGATGGTGATGGCAGTACCTTCTACTTCATTGGCAAGAAGGACCACGATTCCTGCCTTGTATCTGACCCGAACCTCCACATCAATGCATATTTCATTGGAAAGCGAAATGAAGAACCTAATAAGGGACTTTACTCGAGTCCAGCCCATTGTTATCCTCTTTGCCAAACACCAACGTAACGAAGTGGATGGTGTGCTGGGCCAAACGTATAGACCAGGATATGGGAGTCTTGTAAACGTGGGTGCAAAGATGGCTATAATGGGAGGAAACAAAGAGTTTGTAACTTCAAGCTTATTCACCCCAGATTGCACTGTAGCCCGGTTCAGTGGTGGCGCAGGCTTTGACGGCACGGGCTATATGGAAGGTCTTGAGTTACCAAGCATGAGATGTGGAAGTGAGACCGATGGTGAAGGATTTGTATGCAAGAGAGAGGCTTATCAATTAGTTATGAGCCGTAAGCATTAATATAATTCGTAAAAACTCAAAAAATAAGATTAAAAATCTCAGGAGGCAAAAATAAAAAAACCCTCTAGTGTTGTACATTTATAAGCTTGATTGATGGCATTAATTGTGTCTGAATAAATTTTTTCTCGCAATTTAAACTTTAATTTCTCATCTTTCTTTGGATAACAATAAAAAGTTCTAATGATTCTCTTCCTTTTGCAAGGGTCTTCATCATCGTATGACTTGCTATCAGAATGTATCAATTAGTACCATATATCTCAACAAGAACATTGAAGGATATTTGTTGTGCAATTGCAAAAAAGACAGGGCTATCTAGTTAATGCATTAATAATATTACTGTTACTAAATTTTTTGAGGGCTAAACACTTTACAAGGCTGCCAGCTCTGTTACAACTTACAAGGCTTACAAAAACAGAGCAATATGCTGAAATAGTAAATATTTACTTATGGCATTAGCTCACCATGAAAATTTTTGAAAGCTATAATCAAATAATGAGTTAAAGCGGCAGAATATTAAGCATTATCTAATTAATACATTTATTATAATTTATTTATTGTTAGAATGGGGTACAATTTGGAACATTTTCTCTTCTAGCTATCTTATTTGCAGTCAGTGTATCATATTTAAACAAAGTAATATTTTCATATGTTTAGCCTCAAGAAATATTCACGATTGCTTTTTCTCGACTTGCTTGTATGTTGTTCTTCTTCCATTATTCTTCCTACCTGCAAATCAGTTGTGAAACTTTTAAATAAATTTAAATATTAAAATCTTCGAGACAGTGATCAGTTAGTTCATTCATGTTCAAGTCAGCAGATATATACCTGATCTTTGTCTTGTTCTAGATTTGACAATGTGGGGTATAAACACCCCAGTTCCTCCATTGTCATTTCTCCATAAGTTTCCCAACCACTTTGGAACTGAACTGCTATGCTCGTTTTCCCAACAATTAAAGTAACTTCCTGGTTGTGCTGCAATAGTTATGTTGGTTGTCAACCTCTTCAAGCTTTGCTTGTTAGCACTTATGGAGTTTAGATTTTCGATTTGGAGGAAATCCTCATCTTCATCTTCTGTCAAAAGCAAAACCTGCCTTCTAATTTCAGCATAAAAGACATCATCTTCATACATACCTTCGTGCTCAAGAGTTTCCTCTCCGTTCATGGTCATGTTGGGTCGTAAACTGTTTGGGCTCCAACTAAATATGGACTGCAAAATACAGAAGAACAATATATAAAGGCCAACGTTTTTCAAAGAGTCTGGCAAATGCATCTAATTTAGATTCATCCGAGTCCAAGAATATTTATAGTGATGTGTGTGAATGTCTTTTACTTGTCTGCTATATTTGTTTCAATCGATCCGACAATCTGACGATATAATATCTTAAGAGTTAAGAAAGTCCGAAATTCGTTGGACTGGCTCCGTTATGCTTAAACAATAAGCAAACATCAATTTAGAGCATCAACAAGGTGATTAACTACCGCAACAGAAAGCTTATTAGTGGAATAACTCAAGACCTTAAAGTTTATCTCTTTGAAACATGGTTCAAAATAGAATTCAAGAATAATACACTATTCGGCCCGCATAAAAAAGAGTCAGGAAGAAATGTAGCAGTCCACGGAACAATTCTCCGAAACAAAATGGGTAATTTTATAGTATGAGTTTGCCAAAAAAACATTTAATACGAGTAAAACAATGCATTGAAATAGGATGAATTATGTGTTTCGTTAATTTCCTTTCTAAATTTTGGTTCAGTTAGGTCCCTTCACCTATCCTTTTATTTAAATATTATCCTCTTATTTTCTATTTCTTAATAATTTGATTCTTCCATCAATGATGATTTTAAATCCTATCTTTAGACATAAATGGATTGGTTTTCTCATTTTAGTTTTAAAATACTATAGTACATGAAAGTATGCTTTGAATATCACACAAGCAAATTGATTGCATTAATAAACACATTTGTGTGTTTCCTTTAATCCCAATAAGGTATACGAAAGCAATAATAATAATTTGTGGTATGATGAATATTTTCAAAACAAATTCATAAAATGGGTTTCCTAACATCTTTGTCAAATCCAATCATTCAAATCAATCTCTGCCTTTATGTTTTACAATCAGAGTAAATATACTTCTTTGTTTTTATATAATATTTAAAATCTCTCATGTATCTTTAAATTTTTAATTATAGTTTATTTATTTATGAAAGTGTTTAAAAAATATTAAATTTGTCATTCGATTAATTTTTTTGGCTAAATAATTTGATCGAAATATCTCTAATTAAAATACAAAAAAATTAAAATAAAATTCTAAAGACTTTAAAAGTAGAGGATGTAAGTTAGGTGACTTTAAGTTTTTTTTTTTTTCATTTTAGGTTAAAAATATTTTATATTATCAAAAAATTTGATCAAAATGATATATTGAACATTTCAAAAATTATCAAAGACATATTAGATGCAATTAAAAATGAGTCTAATATAGGCATTAAAATTTTGAGTATTATATAAGGATGGATGGATATATTTTACTTTATAATTATATTAAAATTGTTTAATGTCTTTGATTAATACTATTGATTTTTATTCCTTTCTTAATTAAATCCAATTAAACAAAACGAGTCTAATATATGCATTTAGATAATACTCTTTTAGCTTTTCAAAACAAAAAAATTGTGATAAAAAAAAAAAAACTGAATGCTTTTGTGGCAAGAGCATCTCTAGTTGCAGTAGGAAATTTCTAAATAGTTATGCGTATCGTAATAATATCTTTAAACAAGTGTAATAAATTTATTGATATATGTTGGCATGAGCTCGTAAATTAGTTAGAGTATTTTTAGGAAGAGATTTATTCTTTGTTGTATATATCCCGATTGTTATGGGATTTTTATTATTAGACTTCTAAAACTAGTTTTACTTCCAACTTTAGGTCCGAAATTAAGCTCGTGCTCTTGTATAAATAAGTGTACCGTACATTGAGAAGAAAATAAGAAGGAAAAGATATTTCAAAAGTTATCATGGTATCGAGCAAAGATCCTTGGAATCTCATTGTTCACTATTATATTAAAATTTGTTCTTGTGACAATAAACAACCGATAGGTTGTAGAAGATGACGACTTCAACCGATTTGGTGGAACAAGGACAAGAAAACACTTCTGCTTTCTTTGAAAATTTTACCGAAAGGATGATGCAAGCCTTGAATCGAACCAAACCCGGACTCCAACGAATGACAGGAGACTCGTCGTTGCACGAGATCGGTATCAAACTTGACGGAACAAACTATGCCCTTTGGTCCCAAATTATCGAGATATATATCTCGGCAAAGACAAGTCGGGATATATCAATGGTGACTTGCTTCAACCGAAACAAATGATTCTGCATTTAGAAAGTGGAGGACGGAAAACTCAATTGTGAAGGGATGGTCGATTAATTCAATGGATACCTCCCCGATTAGCAACTTCATTCGATTTCCAACAACTAAACAAGTATGAGACTCTGTTGCTACAACATATTTTGATGGGAATGACAAATCTCAAGTTTATGATTTAAAGAGAAAAGTTTCACGAATGAAACAAAATAAGGAATCCATCGAGTCATACTATAATGGTCTCCAAGGTCTATGGAGAGAAATTGACTTCGGTCGTCCAAATCCAATGGAATGTGCGAGTGACATACAAAGGTACAATACTCTTATTCAAGAGGACTCGTGTTTATGTCTTTCTTGATGGATTAGATGACGGACTTGACAAGATTCGGAGTGATGTGCTCCAAATTCAACCTTTTCCCACGAGTTGAACAAGCCTATGCCTATGTTAGAAGAGAGGATACCGGACAATCGGTCATGCTCTCACAAAGCAATAATGTCAATGCTCGTTGCTATGATTTCTAAAGGTGCTAAAACGAGTCCCTCAACTTCGGATGACTTCTCAACCGATGAAACAAGGGCATTCCGCAATTGGTGGTGGAAAACCAAATGCTCCAACGAAAGCTAAGGGACAAGTCGAGAATGGAGGGAGCAACTGTTCCTATTGTGGAAACTCCAAACATACATGAGAAACATGCTTTAAGTTACATGGCTATCCCGATTGGTGGCATGAACTTAAGGCTCGAAAACAAAGAGAATCAAACGAGTCCAAGCAGAGGTACAACGACGGGTAGCAATGGCGTGTGCGGAACCACAATTGTCACTAGCTTCACTTGTGGAACATGAACTTCAACTTACTTCGGACATCGGGGATTCGAGTACCAAAAGTGGTAATGCTCTAGTAGTTCCTAATGAACGAAACAAGATGCTCGGATAGTGGATTCCGATGCAACGGATCATATGATATTCTGCTAAAATGACTTTACCACAAATACAAACGCACGAAGGACAAGTATTACAAATGCAAATGGAGTCATGTATCCATCCAATCACTGGTGTCTGGAACAAGTAGAGCTATCGCCCATAATATCTTTATCTAACACTCTTTTAGTCCCATCCCTTTCAAATAAATTATTGTTCGTAGGACAAGCCACCGAGGACTTGAATTGTGTGGCACTAATGTATCCAAAATTTTGTCTTTTTCGGGATATTCTCACGAAGGAGATCATTGGGCGTGGTACTAAGAGAGAGGGGTTATATTATATGGATGATTTCAGCTCCGGTAGAGTTAATCATGTGAACCACTCGATCAATTCAAAGGAAAAGCAAATCTGGTTATGGCATTCTCGTTTGGGACATCCATCTTTTAGCTATATGAAGCATTTATTTCCAAAACTCGTTTCTCAATATTGATTGCTCGGTTTTCAAATGCGAAACTCGCATCTTAGCAAAAAGTCATCGTGTACCTTTTCCTATTAGTAATAATAAAAGCGATGTTCCATTTGCTTTGGTTCATTCGGATGTTTGGGGACCATCTCCCATTACAACCATTCATGGCATACGATGGTTTGTAACCTTTGTTGATGATTGTACCAAAATGACATGGTTATATCCGATGAAACACAAGCGAGAAGTATTCAATTTGTTTTGTGCATTTCATGCTATGATTCGAACCAATTTTCAGCCAAAGTCGGGATTCTACGATCCGATAATGGAGGGGAATATACAAATCAAGATTTCATGAATTATTTTCAACAACATGGTCTCATACATGAATATTCTCGTAGTCAAACTCCATAACGGAATGGTGTGGCCGAATGAAAAAATCGTCATATTTTGGAAACTGCTCGTGCTTTGTTAATTGGAGCAAAAGTTCCTCACCGTCACCGGGATAATGCAATTGTAACTTCAGTTCACCCGATGAATCGCATGCCTTCTAAAGTTTTGGGTTTTAAAACTTCTTTGCAGTGTCTTGTCGAGCATGTTACACTACCATCTATACTCCTCATTCCTCTAAGGGTATTTAGTCGTGTAGCATTTGTTCATCTCCATAAAAATCAACGAACAAAATTGGACCCTTGTGTTGTTCGTTGTGTTTTTTGGGATATGGGACAAATAAGAAGGGATATTCGTCGCTATGATCCCGTCACAAAACATACATACATCACTATGGATGTTACTTTTCTAGAATCGAGAAAACTTTTACTCGTCATCGGTATCTACTTCTCCTTTTCGGGGGAGACATGGGTAGAAAAGCGAAGTGGTGTGATGTCGGGTGAGTGATGGAACCGAAGGTGACAGTGTTGAGCTGGGTAATGTAATCGAAGTAAATGAACCAAACACAATAGAGATTCTTCATAATTCCGCCGTTGACACAACGAGAAAATCTTCATGATTCATCACTCGAAGAAGCGTAAAATTTTCTTCATGATTCCGCTATTGAAGAAACCCCTCTACTCCAAGTACCAAGCAATGATGAATCTCCTGCCGAGGATATTCCTCAAGTAACTTCTCCTCGCTCCATCTTCTAGTCATGATTTGGATACATCTTCTACTTGCTATCACTTACCTTTCGAGCACAATAGAGGCAAGCCTCCGGTTTGATACTCACCTGATATTGAAGGGAAAAGATCAAAGTACCCAATCGCTAATTATGTAGCCACTCAAAGGCTAACCGAACCACTCAAGAAATTCAACAACGAGGTGTCTACTTGTCAACTCCCAGCTGGAATCCTCGAAGCTCTAAATGATCCAAAATGGTCTAAGGCAATAAAAGAAGAGATGGAAGCACTTCGGAAGAACAAAACATGGGAATTGGTTCCACTACCGAAAAGAAGAAAACAATTAGATGTAAGTGGGTCTTCGACATCAAATATAATGTTGATGGGTCAATTGAACGATACAAGGCAAGACTTATGGCTAAAGGGTACACTCAAACATATGGAGTTGACTATCAAGAGACTTTCTCTCCAAGTGGCAAAACTAAATACAATACGGGTTTTATTATCTTTGATGGTAAATTTGGATTGGCCACTTCATCGGCTTGATGTAAAGAATGCTTTTCTTCATGGAGACCTTGAAGAGGAGGTATATATGGACATTCCACCAGGATATGTTTCATCATCCGACATTGGCATGGTGTGCAAACTAAAAAGGGCTCGTATGGATTAAAACAAGTCACCACGTGCTTGGTTTGGCCGTTTTAGTATGGCTATGAGAAAATATGGATTCCAACGGAGTAATTCAAATCATACTCTTTTCCTAAAAAGACAACACGGGAAAGTGACTCGCCTTGATAATTTATGTAGATGACATGATAATTACAGGAGATGATAATGAAGAGATTAGCAAGTTGCGTAAACATCTTACCGTCGAGTTTGAAATGAAGAACTTAGGAGGTCCGAAGTATTTCTTGGGGATTGAAGTAGCTAGATCAAAGGGACGTATCTTTCTTTCACAAAAAAAGTATGTCTTGGACTTGTTGATAGAAGTAGGGATGCTTGATTGCAAACCGACAGACACTCCAACGATTCAAAATCAAAAGCTAGGAGAATACTCGGACCAAGTACCAACAAATAAGGAGAGGTACCAAAGGTTAGTGGGTAAACTAATTTATCTATCACATACTCGCCCGGATATTTAGTATGCTTGTCGGTAGGGTTAGTCGGTTTATGCATAATCCTAGTGAAGATCATATGAATGCTCGTGATTCGAATAATTCGTTACTTAAAGTCCGCACCGGGGAGAGGACTTATGTTTTCCAAGAATGATCATTTACATGTTGAGGGCTATACGGATGCCGATTGGGCGAGGCAATATATCCGATAGAAAATCTACTTCGGGTACTTCACATTTGTCGGTGTTAACTTGGTTACTTGGAGAAGCAAGAAGCGAAGGTGGTTGCACCGTCGTCAGTCCGAGGCCGAGTTCCGAGGAATGGCAAAAGGGTTGTGCGAACTTCGTGGATTAAAAGGTTGTTGTCGAAATTGGATTTGGTCCTAACTCGAGCAATGATGTTATATTATGACAACAAGGTCTGCCATTGAAATTTCTCATAACCCCGTTCAGCATGATCGCACGAAGCATATCGAGATAGATCGACATTTCATCAAACAAAACCTTGAAGAAGGAGTGATTAAATTTCCATTTGTTCGGTCGGAAGATCAACTTGCGGATGTGCTCACAAAGGCGATCTCTAGTAAAGACTTTCATAGCTCACTTGACAAGTTGGGCATCGAAGACATCTTTGCACCAACTTGAGGGGAGTGTTGGCATGAGTCGTAAATTAGTTAGAGTATTTTTAGGAAGAGATTTATTCTTTGTTGTATATATCCCGATTGTTATGGGATTTTTATTATTAGACTTCTAAAACTAGTTTTACTTCCAACTTTAGGTCCGGAAATTAAGTCGTGCTCTTGTATAAATAGTGTACCATACATTGAGAAGAAAATAAGAAGGAAAAGATATTTCAAAAGTTATCAATATATATTTGCTTCTATGGGAAAAAGGTTTTTGCCAATTCTCCCAAATCTTATGTGATATCGTCGGGGTAACCGAGGTTCAACGGCAACATAAAGTGAGAATAAGAAAACCTCTAAAATATAATCGGTATATTTTACTAAAATATGAAGGCAAAAAAACCATGTAAAATAATTCAACATCTATTTTAACAAAATTAAATTAAAAAAATATATTCTGAAATATAGTTACAATACACTACTTGCCATAATACCAATATTTTTTTTTCAAAATATTTAATGTCTAAACAATTGTGTAATTTGAAACTCAATAACTAAAAAAAATCAAACTCGTACCCTTCATAATAGACACCGCTCCGATCATCAACTTCAAGCTTAGGATCTTCCGCCTCCCGGCATTCTTCATTTGCTTGATGCTTATAGAATAGGTATTGCTTTCTTGCATGGCTAGTTTCTTTTTTCCTTCTCATTTGTACCGAAAACAATAATAATAATAATAATAACAATAATAGATACCGTAAATTGAGTGGACATCTAGCTAATAATTAAACAATAAAGGTGAATCCAATAAAAAATATATATCCGTCATTCTCCGATGAAATATTTTTAATGTACTCTTATTCCATGTTATGCGGGACGAGTAACTTCTAATTTGTTACTCATATAACGTATTTTTTTAACCTTGATTTGTTTCCATCTTCTCTCGATTTTCCTTTTTCTTCGAGCATTTTATGCTTCTTTCTTAATTTTTCAAATGTGGTAAGGTTAGTTGATCTGCTATAAATATGAGAGTGAATTATAAACATGATATTGAGAGGAATTACGTAAGTTCAATTTTACATTCCCGGATGGAATTCCATTCAAAATTGTCCAAACTTGTTCATGTTTCTCCTAATTTTCTCATGTGGTCATTCTTCTTTTTCCTTCGAATACTTTGCTTTTCCTTTCATGCTATTATTTAATTTCATGGAAATCTTTTTATTTATTTCATTTAGTAATAAGTAGTAACATGAAAAATAAGGAACTTCAAGATTAAAATCCATATTGCATAACACTTATCGATCATTACTTCTCATTTGCAAAGCTAATACTTGAAATTTAAAGGAAGAGAGGCGACTTAATTAGTTTATTGTTTATGTTTTCAAACAGGGAGTATGACAACAAATGGATGACAACTCGTTAGCTATAAGGGAACGAAATTGTACATTGATCGTTCTCGGCAAGTTCCCACTATGCTATGTTGGCGAATGCGATGCTTTTTGCAAATCCTCGGTTATGGGTCGAAAGGTGGCGGATGTAAGGACGATGACGAATGTTGTTGTTATCGACGACAAAACTTCATAAATAAAAACCAACATTTCTATTTCTTACTTGTTGGTGTGTTCAAATGACATTGTTATTTAAAATAATGAGAATTTACCTCAAAAAAATTGTCTATCTTTTTTATTTATATTTATCTCAAAGTATTTATTTGGTAAATTTTAAATAATGTATTTTCTAAAATGTCTATTGCAAGGCAACGCAAGAGAAATGATGCGATTTTGGAAAAATAGGAAAATGGGTAAAAGTAAAAGGAGTAGCCATTTAGTATTATAGTTATTAAGAAATCAATTTGCTTAGATTTATAGGTAAAGGGTTTGTTATGTGTAGAAAAGATTAAAAATAACTCAACCTAATCCCGCCTAAGGAAAACCGCATTGTATAACAAACTCGATTTGATTTTTTATTTTTGAGTTTTTTACAATGAAAATCTGTACTTATTTTCCAAACATTTGCTCATCGGTTGAGTGTTCTATGACTTCCCCGGTCAAGGGCCTCGTCCTCACTCTAAAATGGATAACTATAAAAATGAAATTCAAAAAACATTATGAGTGTGCAAAGATATGTGGCTAGTGCGACCTAAATGACATGTGTAAAAACAAAGCTTGAAAATAGATAAGATAGATAAAATAAGTAAAATAGAAAAATAGGCAAAATAAGCCAAATAAACAAATATGTAAAATAGACAAATAGGCAAGATAGACAAAATAAAGCGATATAGGCAATAATGACAAAAATGATAAAATAGGCAATAACGGCAAAATGGGCAAAAAATGGTAAAATTAGCAAAAATCATCAAAGTTGGCAAAAATGATGACAAAAAAAAAACGACAAAAGAGATCAAAACGGTAAAAATGATAAAATTGGCAAAAATCTTGAAGTTGGCATAAATGATATGAAAATAGATAGAAAAAATAAAGATAGAAAATAAACAACTTGTGAAAAAAGAAGAAGAAGAAGAAGAATAAGTGACAAAATTCGAAGAGAAAGAGAAAAAAAAAAGCACCACATGATGCATGCAAGAGGAGGCTTAGCATAACCACAACAAATACAGATCCGCATCCAATGACCCGGAATAGAAAAGATCATGTGCAATAAACAATCAACAATCGAGATGAAACAAAAGAAAAACACAAGTACAAATGGGTCTTGATAAACAAGTAAATTTCAGCCACGGTGAATAGTAAAACAAATAGTAAATATTTTAATTCTTTTAATTTTTGTTGTTAATTATTATATTAATTTTCAAGATTAGTTTTAATTTTAAAGAAAAAATGAAATGCTTAAACAATTTTATTCAAATATTTCAATTAATGGTCAATACTTTAACTATAAAACATAAAAGAAAAAAAGATAGAATTACCTAAAAAGTAATAATTTAGCATCTAAATAGTCCAAATTAGTAATATATACCTTATTTTATTACAATTGAGTATGAAGATGTATTATATTAACTAATAAAAATACTTAAAAAAACTTTGAACTTATAATCGATGAAGTTTCAAAAATACTTATGGACTTATATAACTAAATGAATATTACACGAAAACTTTTATGTTGAAAACTTTCATCTTAATTAGAGATTGCAAAAGCTCAAATATGAAGCAAATATTTTTTTATCTGATCTAATAAATATCTATTAAAAATGCTCAATAGATATGAAAACAAGTAAAAAACAAAAAAGAGTTGCTAATATAACTTTTGGATAGAAACACTCACTTTGTATCCTACTAATGCTCATTTTATACTTTATCAATATCCACTATGTTTAACATATAGGAATCTAATTGTAAAAAAATTATAAAATAAGAATCAAAATGTTCTTATAAAAATTTTTTAGACAAGAACCTTATAAATAAAGGATCAATTTGTAAAAAAAATAAAATAAAATCAAGGACCATTTTTTAAAATTTAAGGAAGTAAAATGAAACATTTTTACATATTGTTTTTAGTGGGTGGTAAATGAGCGCATAAACTAAACATGGGCCGGATATAAATTCATAAGATATTTTTTTAATGGATAAAGAAGGTAGTTTTTTAATAAATAATATAAACAATTGAATTAATAAACCGTTCCATTGCCACAATGATATTTTATAAGATATTTTTTTAATGGATAAATAAGATAATTTTTAATTGATAAAATAAAAAAATAAATTAATAGACCGATACATGATCTATTGTCACAACTATATTAATAAATAAGAAATTATTTCATATTCTTGAAGTAATATTTTATAACTCATGTAATAATAGAACCTATTAGTGGTTATAACTGGAAATCACATTTTTAAGTGAGCGAAGAATATGAACCTGGGAATACCGAATACCTAAATAATTCCTCCCAATTGACACACCGACTTCCGCTAATTAAACCCAAAACCCAGCCCGATTTTCCTGTCTCTAAAACGAACTCAGCCCAACTAAACCGAAGGCCCAGCCAACAGCCCACAAGACATATCAAAAACCGAGACCTCCCTCGTGTCCTATATCTTAGAACATTTCACTCTAACTTTTCCCTCTCTCAAAGCTCCAAAACCCCAAAACCCGCAACAATGGAAAGCATCTCCTACCAACGCTTCCCGAAAGTCAAAATCCGAGAAATGAAAGACGACTACTTAAAATTCGAGCTCCGTGAAACGGATGCGTCAATGGCCAACGCTCTTAGGCGCGTGATGATCGCCGAAGTCCCAACAATCGCAATCGACCTCGTTGAAATCGAAGTGAACTCATCGGTCTTAAACGACGAGTTCATCGCTCACCGACTTGGCCTCATTCCTCTCACTAGTGAGCGCGCTATGGGGATGCGATTCTCACGTGACTGTGACGCTTGTGACGGTGACGGTCAGTGTGAGTATTGCTCTGTTGAGTTTCACTTGAGAGCTAAGTGTATGACGGACCAGACGCTTGATGTTACCAGTAAGGATTTATACAGTTCGGATCATACGGTTACACCTGTTGATTTCTCTGATCCTTCTGACCCTAATGATCCGTTTGAGAATACGGAGACGCAGAGGTAATTTTAGTTGTTTTTCATTTTTATTTTGGGGATTTTATTTAATTTTAGGGTTCAGGGTTTTCGTTGATTTTGAGTATTCAACTGAGAAGAGGCACTTTTGTTGTTTTTGAAGAATAACGTGGGGGGTTTTATGATGTTAATGTTTGGGTTTTGTCAGAGTTTTTTTTTTTTTTTTGACATTGTAATGTAAATATGGGTTGTTCATAAGTTTGATATTGCATGGTGATGCCTTTTAGGTTTGATTGTGTTGTTAGGTTTTTTTTCTTCGGGTTTTAGGGGTATTTTGGGTGTTTGATTTTTAGCTCTTAAGATTGCAAATGTGATTCTTGTTCGCTTTGTTTATTTTTCAAGTAATTTCTAGATGGTTGAACATTGAATGATTGGAGGGGAAAGTTCTGGATTCATTTTTCTTTTTTTATTTGTAAAGTGAAGTATTTGGTATTGAATTTATTTGCAAATGAATGAAAAAATATTACTTTTTTGTGTGGTGGTTCATGTTGTAAAAGGAGTTTAGCTGTTGTATTTGTTTATGGTTTTGTTTTATGTAGGGGGGTTATTATTGTGAAGTTACGCCGTGGGCAAGAACTGAGGCTGAGGGCCATAGCAAGGAAAGGGATTGGGAAAGATCATGCGAAATGGTCTCCTGCGGCTACTGTAACTTTCATGTATGAACCAGATATTCATATCAATGAAGATTTGATGGAGACTTTGTCACTTGAGGAAAAAATAAGTTGGATTGAAAGCAGTCCAACTAAAGTGTTTGATATTGACAATGTTACCCAACAGGTTGGCTGTTTATTTCATTTTCTAATTAATTTTGTCTCATTTAATAACTGTATATTGTATCACTTGCATGTAGTGAAAAATTCTGTTCTCTAATCTTAGACATTGTTGAGGCTTGAATCTGTTACCTAAAATAATGGTTTGAATGTTTTTCCTGTTCTTATCTTTGCCTACCCATAAAAACGCGATCTTCTTACTGTCTTTTTTAGTGCTCAACTTCTCCAAACGGATGTGTATTGAAGGTACACAATAGTTTTGTACTTAATTGACTGAAGTTATAAGGTAGTTTCTGTTGATGCTTCTCACCTTGTTAGCTGTTTTCTTGATTTAGTAACACATGCTATGGGACTCAACTAGGGCTATCCCTGGCACAGGGATTGGTAGTTGAGGAGTTCTACAAGTGCTTCTTGTTAGAAAGTATGAATGTTCTTGTTTTTGGGTTTGTATGAGCAACAGTTTCTGGCATAACGAATGGGTTTAAATAATGTTTTTTAGCTCAAGGTTTCACTTTGAGACTTTGGGTGTTCATCTCTGTGCTTGTCTTCCATTTTTATGATTTTATTCAATCCATGTATGCCCAAGGATGCACACTTTGTATCGAACCATGCAAAATTCTTTTGTTATATAATGATTGTGCTGTATTTTGATTTTCCAATTATGTCAGAATCCTAGAACTTTGGCAGATGGTATACTATTATTTTTATAACTTAGTTGAAATTGGAGAGCTTTGACAGATGTGGTGGTGAATTCCACTGAGATCATATGGCTGTTCTATGTCACATAGGAAATCCGAGGTTGTACATGCTGACTGCCTCAGGCAGCAGGATTTGAGTGTTAAGTGGAAGCCTATAACAGCTGATAACCTAATAACTTACCCAAGTCTAAATGTGGCATTGACAGGCATTATGCATTTTTGTGAAATCGACTCTGCTCAACTGTAATGAGAAGTTATTTTAGCAATTGTGACTCAAATTACACACACACACACACACATGTAGTTATGATGTTATTCTGATGTTGATTTGATTTGATTTTCTGCTGCTACCGAACATTGTACTTACTGCTGAAACAAATTCCTTTCTAGGTTGTAGTGGTTGATCCTGAGGCCTATACTTATGATGATGAAGTGATTAAGAAAGCAGAAGCTATGGGGAAACCGGGACTTGTCGATATTCGTGCCAAGGAAGACAGTTTTATATTTACTGTGGAATCAACTGGTGCAGTTAAAGCTTCTCAGTTGGTTCTTAATGCTATTGAGATTTTAAAACAAAAACTTGATGCAGTTCGGCTTTCTGATGATACTGTTGAAGCTGATGATCAGTTTGGTGAGCTCGGTGTTCACATGCGTGGAGGCTGATCAAGTTGGCAAATGCAACCTTATGTCTAGACTACCAGTTTACTGATTTTGCTTTTATGCAACTCCATTTAACACCATGGTCGTCATGCACCAATGGATGCTAATCTCTTACGTGCTAGGTTATGTACTTGCTTCTTGACGAGACATTAACATCTACCATGATTTTGGGGCTCTACCTTCTTAACATATATATATTGTTTTTTTTTTTTCCCTCATGAAAAATATAATAGGTCAGGTGTAGGATAAAAATCTGCATACTAAATTGTGATGCATGCATGCATGTGTGTTTGTGATTGTGTGGTATGGATTTGAAGCAAGATAGAACATACTTGATCAATGATGATTGTGATTTATTTCGTAGAATTTTCTCTCTGATTAACCGTTTAATGTGTTCATTTACTTGGATTACGTCTTGCGTACTTCGTATGTTGGACATCTTTAACTCTGTACTAGCATGAGTTGTCTTGTAATTTGTGGATCATCTGTTTATGTTTGTGTAACCAAAACATATCATTTCCAACTTAGTTTACCCAAATAGATTTGTGGGGAATACCGAGTGAGGACCTGGCTTTGAAATTAAGATTCAAATGGCCACTCTATTTGTGTAGAGAAACGGAAAGGAATTTTATAGTAATAGAAATAGCTCACCAAGCCTGCGTGAGAATTTCCACTAGCTGAAGTTTGGTTCAACGCGTGTTGGTGAACGTTTTGGGTAGATGATTCAATTTACAGTCATAATTTTCGTAAGTTCTCATGTTGAATAGAATTCCTGACCTATCTATGTTAGCGTACTGTGAAAATACTTGATAACTTTTTGAAAACCCAAAAGCTTTGAAATGGCATACTAATTATTATAAAACATAAAAACGGAGGTCAACATCTTGTCATGGAGCAGAGCGGTCTAAACATCCGGTCCAATGCTGGTTTCGCACCTTTTCAGTGCCTTAAGGCACCGAGGTTACCCATATGGTTGTCGTTAGTGTTGAAGAGGAAGGTAAGTCAAGCTGGGAATTAATCTGACTATCAGGGTTCGTAACTTTGTTAAGAACTGACTTTTTGGTTTGGATATTATCAAATCACCGTTACCGGTTGAATTACTTGAGCTAGCGAAAATCTTATTTGGATATGCGCGCAAGAAATGGTTGGGAAGGTGTTCTCCAAATACTCCTTTGGGAGTTACTTTGATGAAATAAATGCTGACACTGTATCGACAATAGTCTTAGTAGTTTGTTGTTTTTGGTCCGTTAAGCATATTAACACATGCCATTTCAAGAACTCCTTACAAATTTCTCCGAGTTGACCAAAAACCAACTGTCTTCATGTAATTTCTTTGTCGTCAAGTCTCGTGTGATTCACAGACGATCCGGATATGGGCTTAGCTAGGAATCGTAGTACAATTGTGTACCATGTAGAGTCACGGGTTGTAGTTTTGAAATGGGCCAATTGATCCCCCGTTCTGGTTGCAGGAAGTGACCTAATCCAGAAGTAATATAGTATTAGCTAGCAACCATGATTGACAGCCACACTGTCGAAACGTGTACGTAGCTACTATGTCACATGGAAGAGAAAACCTTTTGAGCAACAAATGTTGTTAATGGTGGCTTCTTCTGATATTGGCCTACCAGGGCACTGCATCACAAGAAACGGAGGAGTGGAGTATTGCATCTTCAATAGTTGTGTGCAGAAGGTACTGTCAATTGTGTCTAGGAAATAAATTTGATATGGACAATAGGAAAAGCCAAATAGGGATTTAAAAAAAAAAAAAGGCTAATCCAGGTGTTACCGCAAACAAAGAGATTATCTAAACTACCAGCCTATCTGAAAGGACTGTAGCCAGGGATGTTGGGATAACGTTGTATTGGTTCATGAGCAACTTGGAGATTCCTCTACTATGCATATCATCATCTCCAAGCACATTTTCTTGTTTGGTTAGCACCATTAATGCAACTTGTCGAGAGTCATGTCTTCAATTAGACGGTCAATTTCACACTAGTAAAATTCAAATCATTGGTAACTAGCTGCTTGATATAACTTACTGGTGGGGAAACATAGTATTTTATTGATTGGACGTTAATGGTTATTATCCTTGTTGTAAATGGAGGTTTTTGAAGCCCCCTCCCACCTGTATTAATGTCAATTAATTTGAACTATTTGCTGGCATTATCTCTTGACAAGGTTTATTCAAAAGAGATAGTATTGCACAGTTGGAGGGAAAGGAATGGGGAGAAGGGACCATTTGAGTCGGCTTATTCGAAGTGCAACCAAAAACCTTAAAGGACAAGAAGAACCCTTCCTCTCTTCGAAAATTTCTGATGATAGGAGTTGGGTCACCCTTGCCTGCCAAAAGATACCCCAAATATTTGTCTGAGAGGACAGACATGCAGGATAGCAACCAAGTTTCAGAGATTTGAGACATAGGCATGACCCCTGAAGACATCAAATCCTATTGTCCTTTTCTACTGTCCATGTAAAGAGACTCTTGAGGCCCAAACAATAACCTACACAGCTTAGGACAATAATTTTTTTACCTCCTAAAGAATGTTATTATTGGACCCATCTATCTTTTCATTTAACCTACCATAGGACCAGCTGCTATCCATAACACTGATCTTTCCATTATTTCTCTATTGAATGCTACTTGTCTGCTTCCCATTTAACATTCAAGTCCAAGAAAGTAACACATGTGGTGGAGAGGGAAATTAAATCTCCTTGACCTATATATTCATTAAAGTCCGCCTTCTTGAGATTTCTAAAAGCTTGTATGAACAATTTAATTACATTCCATTACGCGTATAAAATAAATTAATAACAAGAACATAATCATAAAAACACTAAATTGATGTGAATTTTTTTTTATTATAGAGAAAAAAACTACGAGATTAATTTTAAAATAATTCATTATAATTAATAAAAATATATGATCATTTAAGTTTCTTCATAAATTTTAAAAATAAAAATATTGATAGAAATATAATTTATCTTTCTAATTAAATCTGTCTCACTGTAAAAATTCAAAATCTATAAAAAAAAATTGTATTTTTGAAATGTCTAATATTGTGAGATCATGGCTTTGAATACTATAATTCTTTACAATACTAAAAATCATTATCGTTATTATTATATATATATTTTTTTTTGTAGAAATCAATAAAATCAAAATTAAAAAAAAAAAAAGAAAAAAAATCAAATAAGGAAATGAAACTTTTCCCTCCACACGTACACATGCACTTTTGCTTTTTCTTTTTATTTCCGTTTTCGTTTTGGTATAATTTGTATTTAATTTTTTCCTATTTAACTTTTTTTTATTTAATTTTTCAAGGGTTTTTTTAAAATGGACCTATAATTTACTGCCAACAAATGGGTAATGTACGAACCATAGCTGTCTCCATAGCAGGCAAAACAGACCCAATGGCCTTGAAGAATTACGCTCACTTCATTTAGTGTGCTAGATGGGTTCGTTTATGGAACAGTTCATAAAAGCTCTCAAGTAGCATGTTAGTCCATTGAATAATGAAAGGTGACATTAATGAGCCATGTGTGGGTCAAATCTTCTTCTACTTTTTTTTTTCTTTGAAAAAAAAAAAAAAACTTAGTATTCTTGTATCAATTTTTCCATATTCAGACAAATTCAACGTTACACGAATCATCTATATCCGTGCACATATATATATATATAATTTAAATTTTGAACACTAAATGATAAACGTTATGGCTTTCTATTGAATAAAAGTTTATATATTGAGAATGTTATCGTGGTCAAAAAGATTTATTTATTTTTTGGATTTAAATTATGAAGTAAGCATTTAGAAGAATTGATTGAACTCTTTGGAACGTACCAAATCAATGTGGAAAGTACATTCTTAAAATTATACACACACATATATAATTTAATATACATAAATTAGCAAAAAGTATAATACTTTTACCCGTCAAATAAAAAAAATCAACATTTAGTACAAACTTATTAACTTCCTTTTAAAACTCGATAAATACATACATTTTCTGTTTTGATTCCAACTTTTACAATCTCATATGATAAAATTAGATGAAGTGCGGCCATCAATATTGACATCAAAGGGACATAACACTGAAATTTGAATACAACAATTTAACAGTTTGTACTCTCTTAACTAACGCAACGATAGATGAGTTTGATAATTGATTTACAGGTCGGACCACCACAGAATTGGGGTTAATTATTTTGTGAATGGCTTCATTCAACGTCAGTTTTTACTATGACATTGAATCAGACTGTGCATGTCTAAGAAATGGTTTACTGCAAATGGAGTCAATTTTTGGCATTACCTGAGATGGTGACCACTGGAAATAAGATCTCTGTGTCTCATTGGATGCCAAGTGGGTAGGTTTTAATAGTAATAATAATAAAAAAAAAAAAAGGCAAGATAAAAAGAAAACTCAGCCCAATTACTTGATTCACGAAATGGATGTGCAATGTGAGACAGATGACACTTGCTTCTTTGGGGCCTATGTTCTGATCTCTTTCGGGGACATACTTCTCAGGCGACCATCTGGTTCTTTGGGGACCATATTAATATGATGGATATACGGTCCATTAGAGTTTGAAACCACGTATATAGTTAATGTGTTTCTTCCATTACCTTATGGGATGCAACAATTACGAAGGTAGCAGAACCTTCTGTCACAAGAAAAATGCTCTACGTATGTAAGTTTCTTAAATATTTCAGAATATAAGAGTAATTCTATTTTATTTTATTTTGGCTTTATACATTAAAAATATAAGATTCATCCGATTTGGGACGAGAATAATAAGGTTTAAATCCTTTCAATAAATACAATTCTAAAATTCTAATATTATACAATCACAAAAAATTTGTTTAAAAACCAAATACAAGAGTAGTTGCTTTCGTTCTAGACATAATCTCTCCTGGTACCTATTATTAGTGAAATAAAGAACAAATAGTAAGTGACTTTTACAATAATAACTTATTTAATCTTTATGGTTTTCAGTGAAACAATTA